ATACATCAGAGATGGGAAAAAGAGTACATAAGAAACATTATATTCAAATAGAGAAGTTGTTTTTAAATGGTATGAGATTCAATGATAGTTTATTCCTTTATATCGAAAATAGTGAAAGCATCTAAGAAGTAAAGTATTCAATTTGTTTGTTTAATGCAAGCAGTGGGGAACGTTCTGGGCCACGAGCAACGTCAAAAAAGTGTGTATTCTCTGGTGCATACAATGTACGGTGATCTTTCAGCTAAATTTTGACTGAAATTTGACTCTGCTCAAAAAAAATAGAAGGAAAATAGGGACAGTACTCTATTAAAATAAGTCCCTTAGTCGGTAGTGGTTTTTCCCTCTAAAAAATTGGATTAAATAACAGACGCATGTGAAGAGGAAAAAGAGATCCTATTGTTATTTAAGAAATAAGGTATCATCTTAAAACATCTATTGGGATATAAATACGGGTTGGTCACGAGATTAAAGTCTGAACCTGTATTTATAGTCCGATAGATGTTTTAAAATGATACCTTATAACTTATATTCATATTTGTGACTTATTCATAATTTGCCTGATTGTGACTTTTAACATGTGTAATGCATTATGTTTCAAAACCAATAGCATGTAATCCACTGAACATGCGTCGACCCTTTATGATGCACTGAGAAATAACGTCGAACATTTATCCATACGCACATCTATGACCTCTTGACCCTGTACTGGTATTTATACAGTTATAGATACGCATTGCTTTCAGTGGTGTATTATAAAGGAAAACATTTGCAAATGTAAATATAAGGAACATTTATGTTTGCTTTCGTGCGCCGATCTACACCTGCATGCTTTCTTAATTTTTCTTGTTAAATGTAATATCATCATGAAACTTGAAAAGCAAGATAATTAAATGTTTTTTACTATGACAAGAAAAGAAAATTAATTAAGCAAAGAGAAACTTTTTTCCCTGTGTATGACTTTTTGGGACAACCCTCGTATTTCTATTTATTGCTACCTGTTGCAAAGTTTCAAATCCAAGTGCTACTTTTCCTTTGTTTTACGTACAGACCAGTAGAGCCATAGTCTCATCAGAGACTTCTGGTTTTCACTGGTAGCGGACAAGTATTAATGTCGAGCCCTAATGACCTGTTAAATATCAGAATGTTAGTTACCTTGATACAATAGCTGTATCAAGATTTACATGTACTGCAATATTTCTCATTTTATTTTTTTTTTCTTTAATTACATGTCATTGACTTGACCAAGGCCCTTTAAAGACCCAATTTTTTTACCGTACGGTTACCTGAGGAGGGGGAGTGGTCGAAGTAACAGTGGTGTTATTTACCTGGAGACCCCCAATACCCAAGATGTCAAAAATCTGTGTATACGTAGCATTACACAGGAAGTCTGTGTTTGGTAATCAGGGTCATCATTACGTGTTTTGTGTCTGTTTTTGCGTGAAACTACGTAAAATAATTATTTCAATATGTTTATTTGTAAACTTTTTAGCGCATTCATCGTAATCATGGTAATGTTTTGAAGGAAAAAAAATAATAAGATATATGTTTATCGTTTTAGACACATAAAGAAAAAAAATCACGAGTAAAAACTACAAATCAATATTAATATTTATCTTTTTTAATCTTCAATAAAAGAAATCACTTGATTAAAAAAGTCTGAATATTAAAAAAAAAATATATATTAATCCACCTACCCGACGTGCATGTGAACATGCATTTACCGCGATCGGAATGTTTTTTCCCCTGGCCAACCATGTTGTCCAAAACATTCCAAATTTTTGATTCTTCGTGTGTTAACAAAATTTTATTGTTAGAAAGATTTCTTTTCAGAGTTCATCACTATTAATTATTTTCGTATTTTTTAATCTTCAATAAAAGAAATCACTTGATTAAAAAAGTCTGAATATTGAAATAAAAAAAACTATTAATCCACCTACACCCGTCGTGCATGTGAACATGCATTTACCGCCATCGGAATGTTTTTTTTTTCCCTGGCCAACAATGTTGTCCAAAATGTTCCATATTGTTGATTCTTCGTGTGTTAACAAAGTTTTATTGTTAGAAAGATTTCTTTTAAGAGTCCATCACTATTAATCATCTTCGTATTTTCATTACGTATAAATATATATATATACAGACGCTAGAGGAAATTCGAGCATTAATTCAGACATCAATTTCTGTACAACATCGTGCGGATTGTAGCCATAGTACAAAATAAAACATCTTTTAAAAACTATGCTATGCCTTTTATTAGTGCTAAATATTTTTCTTATATCCCATTTCTTAAAAAATAATTTAAATCGTCGGACTTCCAATTACGGCAAATAGAGCCGGTTTCTGTGGACGCGGTCTTTTTTCTACAGATAACGTGGACGATATAACACTTAAAATAACAAACAGCAGTGAAGATAGAAAAGAAATATTTTATAATGGCAATGTTTTAATAATCTACTTTCAATTATTTTTTTAAATAAAATAAAATTCAAATACATAGGAGTTTTCCAACCCGCGTGTATACTATGCGGGTACATGAAAGAGTTTGACGCGTGACCAGGTAATTGTTTCAAAACATGCAAACTCAGATTATCAGGAAGCACAGGTAGCTGACCTGTCAATCAAATCAGAAGCTATTGTTTTTTATGATTGACAGGCGGTAAATTATTGATCTTGAAACAGGTAGATTTTGGGGGCGTTAACATAAAATTGGGTGTTTAAGATGACCTATATCTTAGTTGTCTCTATTACATAGAAATGGTAAGGTCTTTAAATTAAGACAAATATAGCATTTCTTATACATGCTCAGGATTAAATATAGTTTTAAATAATTTCATTGAACACAAAGTTACAATTAAATCATTAGTATCTAAAATGGTTGTTACATCTAATCCTATTTGAAAATTTTAAGACATTTGAAATTCATAATGCTAAAAGAAAATTGCTAATAAATTAGAAAGCTAAATGCCATAAGGTCTTTGACACAGACAAAAAAATTGCCCCCCTTTACACTCTTTCCACCAATCAAAAAAAAAAGCTTATTTAGGATTTAAAGTGACTGTAAAATAGGTTTTACAAGATACTGACCCAAGTGACCTCAAAATATAGGCCTCTTTCAGTTGAAACATAGTCTGATCTTTTCGATTAAAACAACTAGTAGACTAATTGTTCTGGAATGTAAGTCGGGTCTTTCTACCTTCTTTAAATTTAATTTTTAGGGGTGTTGAAAGTTTCATTGAATTTTCTCAAATGCTTGATAAACTCCAAAGTGAAAAGTGTTGGCACCATAAGATAAGTCTTATTACAAGGAATAAAACTGAAATATGAAAGTCCTGGTTCAAAAGATTTTTTGCGCTTATTCTTTGTCTTTTGGTGCATTTTCTATTAGTAAATAATATATTAACTTGTAATTTTTATTATACTTTTCTCCTGTTTTGGAAAAAATGTGTAAAATTTGATAATTTCATCGCGACTTAGTATAACAACAGTTTTTGAATCTGAAAATCAATGTACATCCCTGATTTTAGTACTCACAGATAGTATGAATCTTCAGATATCTTCAGATATCTCAAACTGTAAACTATTTTTGTGTTGGGACCCACTGAGTTTGAGATAATGATGTTTGATTTCACATCATAGTGCACCTGTCAAATTCATGCTGACATTTGCAAGATTTAAAATTTGATGGTTTAATTAAATTTCAATCCCAATCTGAATCCAGATGAAGGAAAAAAATTGAAGAATAACTAGAAAAAATATACTGTAAAGTCAGGATTCACAGGAATGCCCCATCCAGGGTTCATTAGTAATCTATGCAAAAATGAAAATTTGTTTTGGTGTAGAAGGTTAGATGAAAATATCTTGAGCAGTTTACTCAAGACTAGAATTAATACAAATTGAGATAACCATTTAGAAAATGAAGTCAAAGATAAAGGAAAGGTCAATGTCAAAAATGTTAATGATGTTGAGATGAGAACCTAATAATTTTTGGTTCTTTTCCTCAGTACTTGTAAGAATAGCTATAGACATTGATTAAGAATTTAGTAAGATTAAAAAAAGAGAAAAAGAGCATTGCGATGGCTGTCACCTGGTGTTGATCAAATATAAGTTCCGCTGATTAAAAGTAAAGGGAATTTCTTTGTCACACAATCTAATTAAAATTATATGTTCCAAACCTGCTACTGCTTCTCAAACATCTAGCAATATCCCATTCAGGGTCACACCAGAGCAACTTTTCGATTGTAAATAAACAAAAATTTTTGACCAATCAGATTCGAGCTTCCGTAAACAATTCCAAAATTAGTTCCAGGGCTACATATCATGATTATTAATGATGTCTTACGATGAATTAAAGTAATTCTGATAAAAATTTAATGTATAGTCTGCCAGTCTGGCATCCTTACGTGAATAACGCAAACAAAGAAAAAACAAAGTATACAAGATATCCTGCACGTCACATACGTGGAACAGCTTTTGCAATGCATATTTTGTTTACTTCAAAGCTCCTCAGGCATTTAGGTTCAGCAGTGAAAAGAAGAAACCCTATAAGCCAAGATTTCAGAGGCAGTGATTTCATTGGCTAATTGATAGCCTAAGGTCACTCTGACGTGATCCCGAATGGGATGTTGCTAAATGTTTGAGAAGCGGTAACAAATTCCAAACATCTAATTTTAATTAGATTGTTTGTCAAGTGACTGCATAATACCGTATAGGTAGAAATTTTAGCGAGGATTTAATTTTGGCATTATTAGCGAGGGTGCTGCAATCGCTAAAATTGAATATTGCTAAAAATTAATTGCATTTTCTTTGTAATAATTTCTATAGAGAGCTTTGATGAAATCGCTAAAAATACTTATCGCTAAAAATAAAATAACAATTTTTAAGGAGAAATCGCTAATTTTGCGTCTCGCTAAAATTTCCACTTATGCGGTAGTTGTCTAGCTGTTCCTTGAAGGACAGACTTGTATTTTTCAAAAAAAAAAACATTTCCACATACTTCATTTTAGGTTATCTGACTATGGACTAGAAGAACTGCCTACAGATGTTCTCAAGCACATGAAAAACCTCAAAGTCCTTGACCTTTCCTGCAACAAGCTAACGACCTTTCCAGATGTAACCTTGAAGACTCTGGAGACCTTGGATATCTCTGAAAATGACATCAAGTCCTTGGACTTTGTCAGAAATCTCCCCAGCCTGAAGCATCTCATGTTGGAGGGGAACCCAAACATTAAGGTGAGACAGCCATGAACCATGTCAATGTTAATTGCCACTAAAATACTGGTTTGTGTTAATTTGAGTTCTATACTGGTCAAAGACCAGAAAACAAAAAACAATGTGAGGTAAGGGGTTTGTCATCTTTCTGTTTGTCTGTGAGTCGTATTTCAAAATGCAACTTCACCTACAGCTTTGATCTGAATTCAGTGAAACTTTGAGCACAAGCTACACTTGGACACATATAGACATTATATATTACACATTGTATGTAATTGAGTTCACCCAGAAACATATATTCTCCTAAATCATTGAGTTTTATGAATTGGCATAATTGTGAAATAATTTCTCTAGCTTGATGGAAATATCAGGTTATATGAAGATGAAATGTCACCGCAACATTTTAAAATAGTAGTATTCTGATTTGACACTTGGGCATATCCGACCGACTCAGTATATTTAATGAGTGATGTTAACTCAAATGTGAAATGTAATTGACCTAGACCAAATGGTCGTGTGGATGAAATCCTCATTTCTGTCTTTTGAAATGAATATTTTAAACAGTTTTAAAGAAATTATTTAATTTTTCCTATTGTAATCAATGCTCTGTACATAAAGGGAAAACGTCCAAACATGACACAATTGCTATTTTTGGCCATGCTTTGAAAAACAATGTATGTCAAAACTTGTTTCAGTCAGTATATCATTTGGTATAAATATTCTTTTAATTATTATATACAAGTTTGTTAAATATTCTTAAAGGTTTCTAGAATGTATAATACTGCATACAGGGAAATTTTCGCCCCCAATTTATGTTCGCCCCTTTCGCTTTTGTCACAAGTAGGCGAATTTAAAACTTGGTGAATTCAAAGAACACGAATAAATTTCTTAGACAGAAGTGGGACTGTCAAAGTAAATTTTGACAAGTGTGAAAGGGCGAAAATACCCTGTTTGCAGTATTTGAATGTCTGGATTTTATTTTTACCAACCTATTCTAATTTGTTCATGCTAGAGATCAGGTTAAAAAATTTTGAAAAAAAAAAAATAAAATGAAATAACTTGATTTCCTCATAATTCTATTGTTTTATGTATTGGGTTGGTTGAAAAAAAAATGATGTGGTTGGAGAGAGAGAAAGTGTGAGATTTGGATGTAGCTGACAGTAGCTCGTGAATATACGAAATCATGTATATCTATACTTATAAATTAACAAATTTTGCAAATAAACTCTAAAACGGCTGTTCTTACTTAAGCCTGTAGGAATACACTAGGTATAAGGTGATGTCCGTAAACTATATTCAGATTTCACGCGCATAGTTATTATTGTAAATTTAATTAAAAGTCTACTTTCATTTTCGAATAACAGCCTCGAAATAGCATTGAAGAGAGTAAAGTGGTGGCGGATCTAAGTATAACTGGCATTTTATAATAAAACTGACAACAAGCAAGCACTTATTTTTTTCATAAAACGTCATTAATGAATTATTCAATCAAGACTTGATTTAAGTGATATAAAAGAAATAAGCTGTGGTCATTGATTAAGAAACAAAATGTGCAAATACTTTCCGTTTATGTCCGACCTCGCTATTTGTTGAAAGTTCTAGAAAGTCAGGTGGCATTGAATCCGAAGTCTAAAAGAAAATCGAGGCGATTGATTATTTATTTCTTATAATTATCTATTTCTGTTCCTACACTAATTGCAGGACTTTGAAGTATTTCGTCATGCAATATTCCTGTGTAATAAATTGTCAATAGAAGCTGAAAGATAGTTTTTGGAATAGTTATGTTAGCAGTAAAAAAATAATAATAATAATTTCGCCCACGCTTGCATGGTATTTCAGCTTGTACTAAATACATTGTACATGTATGAGGAATAATTGTCAGGTTTTTAGGTTTTCATGATGTGTGATAATGTATGCATTAATGCCTTCCATGTCAGAGGAACTTAGATAACCCAAGAAAATTGCTTGATCACATCATAAAACCAAAAATCCTTCAAGCATGGCTTCAAAAGTTACTTCATTTAAAAATTTTGTCTAGTGATTAGTCTAGTCTAGTGACTAGAGATTTTATGATCAGAGCTAGTAAAGATTATGGAAAGTAGTCCGACTGGTCTAGTGCTAAAAAAAAAGTTAATGTTACACCCTGAATATCTTAATCTATTAAATTGATTTTATATGACAATTGATATGAAATTGAATGTTTAATTTTGATTTTAGGAGAACCACAAGATTGAAGCAGTGCTGAAGTGCCCCAGTCTGATGACAATAGACAACCACCATGTGGACTTAATTCACCGACAGATCCAAAATGACAGGGAGAAATGGCTGCCTCAGGTAATATCAAGTATCCAAAAAAAATTCATTATTATTAAAGAATTTTGAAATGAAACTAGTGAAAGTTAAACTAACGAAAGATGACAGCCATTTCAGGATGCAATCATACATGTATATTTATGTTTCAAAGAGAGTTTCCTTCTAATATTTAAAATACATCTCTAAAATATGAAATTAATGATTAATTTTGATACCATTTCTTATAAATTAAATGAAAAGGTCCAGAAAAAACAGATTTTATATACTATGTATACATGCATGAAGAAATATTTCTCAGGTTTTACAATATATCTTTTGTATATTTACTTTAAATTTTGTGCATTGGGTTTTTTATTTTGTATATCTCCAGAGCTGCCAACCCTTACGATTTTGGTGTTAAGTCTTACGAAATTGGGAAAATTAGCAAAATACGTCTTTGATAATTCTCTCTATATTCTCCTCTGATTTCTTTAGTTTTTCTCCATTCAACCATTTTATAGCCAGTTTCATAACTTTTTAAAACTGGAGCATACAGTTTCTACTATTATAATTAAATATTTATAATCCTTACATTGGTTGCTTTTATCGTCGTTTCGATTTTATCTGGAAGATCGCATTCATGTCAATGTTTTTTCAAGTTTTAAACAAAATAAAATATGAAAAACATAATGAAAGCTCTGTTTCTGAAGATCTTTCATTTTTTGGAATTCCAAATCCGATTTCAAGCATGTCCATTTACAAAACATCTTCAGCAGCACTTTATTTTGATATATGAAATGGGAAAGAGGGTAATAGTTAATTAATTGATACAAGTACAGGGCCGTTTTATGCATAAGATGGCTCTTACTCTTTTTAGGGCACAATGCCTTACTATTTTTCTTTGAAAAGGTCAGAATGTTGGCAGCTCTGTATCTCAAACTGAGTTAAATTCTTATTTTGTATATGTCAAACTGAGTTAAATTCTTAGACTTAAAGAAATTAATGTTGAAATTTTGTCTCTTTTATTCTTTAAACTAAAAGAAATCAGATCCCCAACACCTCATGGATGCAGCAGTAAATTTATTTGTTTTTTAATTTATTCAGGTCCAAGCAAAGTTTGAGGTGCTCTTTGAGGAGCGGTTTACAGAGGATATGTCTGAGGACCAGTTTACACAGGCTGTGACAGAATTCCAGGATTCCCTCCTTGCAGACTCGCTGTTCTCAAGTGCCACCTCAGAGGCCGAGAAAATTGTTGTAAGAAACTTCAATTTTATTTGAGTTTATCAAGCTTCTTTTTTCAGCCACATATACAGTTCAGTTCCACTGACTTTAATGGGGTACACCTGTATTATTAGCCTTATTTTGTCTGTCTTTGAAAATAAAATAATACATAATAAAAATCATAATTGTGTCCATTGCATAAAAAATATTCTAGATTTTGATTGGACAATATTATGATTAATGGGTTCCAGGTTGTTACATGATTTCCGTTTCCTTCAGATTGACAAGCTTGCCAAGGAGATAGCTGAGGATGCTAGGTCAGGAGAACTCTTCTCTACCAATCAGCAGGCCCCAGGAACACCACGAAGTGCCCGACTGTCCAGAAAACTCAGCTGTAACACACCCAAAACATCAGGTAGTAAATTTATTTATCATAAAATCTACCTGAGAAGTGAAATATTAAATAGTTCTACACAAACAAGTATTAGATTTCAGTACCACTATATAAGTAAATGATAATCAAACAAAATTGTAGCACTACATTAGATAAGGGTTATTCTGCCATAGAAAGAAACTTAACCTAGGATTATTAATTAATCACTGCTGCCATAGTTTTAAGTTGAAGTGCTACCTTTTTCTTCCTTCTTTATAAGCTTAATGTAGAAGAGCTACAGTCTCCTTAGTGATTTCTCATTGGTTAAATAGTATTTTAGCAAAACAGCTATTCTTTAATCATAGGATCAACAACAACCACGCCAAAAAGGAACAAACGGAGCCTGTCTTCTCACTCTTCTGTCCTGGACTCCCCCTCCCTGAAGTTGCCTGAGTCTCCGATATCCCCCATCAGTACCCCCAACAAACGGAAGAGACAGAGAGACAGCGACGAGGAACTGGACACACAGAAATCCAAACGAGACAGGAAGTACTCCCCGCTGACCTGGATGACGAGGAAGAATCCGGTTGTGGAGCACAACATGATGTCCTTGGTTAGATCTTCTGTGTCATTTATTTGTGATAGAATGATAACGGGTATTATTTGACACAAGTTTGATTTTCGAATGAAGTTTATCGCACTGAGGTTCTATTGTTGGAATTTTTCCAGCTTTTTATGAAGAAGGGGATATAAATTTTGATCTGTCCATCCATTTTTCTGTAAATTTCTGGATGCTGTCTCCAAATGTCCTATAGTTTTTGTTGTTTAATTAAGTTTAAACTTCCTGTGACAAAGAAGACTCAATTATAGTGAATTTTAGGTAAAAGGTTATGGTCAAATGGTTTTTGCATTAAACTGTATGGGGATAACTTTTGATTTAAATAAAAGACAAATTTTGATTTTAAGTCACAAGCTCATATGAAAAGGTTTATTGATTCACAAGTCTGTAAATCAATTTTATTCATGAGCACTTTGGCTCTGAGTGCCGAGTAAAGGTCTAAATTTGAAGTCCTTCAATTGGTATATGTGATGTCTCCATATGAGTGATAAATTAGAAAATGTATGTTTAATTGTGAGCTAAGTAATACATGTGTTTATTTGATTTTAGCCTGCATTACCTGACTATGACCCCGTCCACTTCCTGCGATGTCACTCCGAGGGGAACGACCCGTCTGATGAGGTGACCAAGGTGTGGAAGTGTGCTTTTGAACCCAGTCTGGAAGATCCAGGTGAATATAGCCTACTTACTTATATATAGTTTGCTTGGTTTGAAAAAAAAAAACACAATCCCCCCCTGGACTTCAAATATTTGTTAATTTGAACACTAATTTTGGGGGTAATTATCGTTTTACTGAGCTGATAATGAATTGATTTTATATCAGTTATATTGAAGTCCTCCCAGCCAGTAAACACCACAGTGGGAGGCGTCATGATTTCACAGATGCTAAGGTGTCAGTCGCTATATTTTCACCTAATGTATTTTCGTTGCGTGTTTTTATAAAAAGAAAATGAGGTAAATTATTGAGGGGTCTTTGGTTCTCAAGTACTGACTATTTTGAAAGAATTTTTTACAGCACTCTGACTTGTAAATAAATAAATCACAAGAAAAAACTAATATAGTTAAACTGAATGAATGCATGTAGATAAAAATATCAAATCCCAAACCAAAAAAGTGAATGGGTTGTAATCCTAACCTACTTGCTCTGTGATTATTGAAGCCCCCAAACAAAAAGAAATTATATATAAGTGAAAAATATTGTCTTTTTTCAGTTAAATCCTGCATAAACAAATTATTTCATTTTAATATTTAATGTTATAAAGTTTGTACTACGTTTGTGTACTATATTAATGTATCAGTGTATTTTAGATAAGGGGCATGATTTGCTTAGATTCTTCATACTTTATGTTAATTTTGTAGTTTTTTTCATTCTCTTCATTTATACAATTTCTTAGGAAGGTTTTTGAAGAGATTTGATTGGGAGGGGGCTGCAAATTTCTATTCCGTTTGAAGAGATTAAAAGTCTTAATGAAAGTTTTGTATATTTTGCCAGAGAGGACCACCAACTTGCTGGCCAGCTGTGGGGGACAGATTGTGTGTCTGACGGATTGTAACACAGGGAAGGTGATGAAGCGCTATAAAGACGACAACAAATTTGAGGTACATGGCACATGGTGTTTAATTGAGATCTTAATCTCACATTAGAATTTCTTTATTGATAACCTAGGGGACCTGTTTTATAAAAACCTTACGACTAAGACCAAAAACTTTAGTTGATAAAGAAAAAAATAAAAAAAAGAATAAATGATTCTATTCAAAGTTGCATTAAAAAAATGGTAATAATAATTGTCAGGAATGCATTACATGAATGAACTTTTTATCCATCACTTGCAGAAATTTACAACTTTAAAACTTTTTACAGTGTTTCTACACTTTAGCCTGGACCACAGTTCAGCTTGAGAACAACAAACAAGAGAAGACAAATCTACTGGCAGTGGCAGGTAATGGAGAAATAAATACTTGTGGTCTTTGGAGTTAGTATTAAATTGAAATGACTTTAATAATGTGTGTGCCCCTTGTAATTAAAGAAGACTATTGAGAACCATTCATAAATTATCTGTCATCCCCCTTTTGTTCCAGTAATGTTAAGATTTAGTAATGTTTTAAACATTCAGTGTATAATCTGAATGAAAGAGATTTTGAAAATAACTAGAGCATTCACATCATTGGGGACTATTTAACCTCAGATTTTAGCATGGACAGTGTATTTTATCATAAAGCTTAAATTTTTAGGTCACCTGAGTAACTCAGGTGACTTATTGCTATCCGTTTTCGTCCGTCGTCGTGTGTCGTGCGTCGTGTGTTAACATTTGAACATTTTCAGCTTCTTCTCTGAAACCACTTAACCAATTTCAACCAAAGAACTATATGCGGTATATTGCATATGTTTGCCCCCACAAAAGTCAAATTTTGAAAACTTCCTGAAATGTGCTGAATTCAATAAATTGTACGAGAAATATAAGTTAACAGAAAATATTATAGTTCCAGAGCAGTATTTCACAATTTCTGTTTTTATGACGTCACAAACTAGTCCGATTTTATATCCTTTTTCAGAAAGAGGACAAAATGGACAAAATTTCAACAATTTAAGCTTTAAAATTTATAGAGCGCATGTGTGTTCAGGAACAATATTGACATATTTCATTGATATTATCATTCTACACATTATATCAAAATATTTATCCTGAACACACATGCGCTCGGTATTTTGTTTAAAATATAGACGAAATATGTACATTTTTCTGCAAAATTCATAAAAAACTGAAATTTACGTCATATTTGTGACGTCATTACGTACATATGACGTCATTACTTATGAAATTATTCAGTGCTTTGAAGTCAGCATATACTCCCCTGTTTAAGGACTTAATTAAATATTACTCCATCAAAGTTTGATTTTGGGGGGCAAATGTTGGTTAATACCGCATATAGTTCTTTGGTATACAGCATCTATGGGTGAAGGGGAAAAAATTTTGTGAATTTCATGGTCCCTGCCCCCCTGGGGCCTGGGGGGTGGGGCAAAAACCACTAAAATTATTGCAATCTTTAAAAATCTTCTTCTTTACTCCTGGACATCAAGCAGGCAAACTGTTGTTATGAATGTAATGAGCATTGAGTCCTCTACTTAAATTTTGAAATTCATGGTTCTAGTGCTAGGGCGGGGCTATATAGGTTATATAGTGAAAATGCATGATTTCTTTGAAAATCTTTTTCTCTGCTCCTAGTTATTAAATAAACTAACCAAGTACATAGTTATGATGAGCAAGAGTGCCTCTTCCTAAATTGTGAATTTTATGACCCCAGGGTCAGGGGTTCTGGTGTTAGGGCGGGGCTCTATTGGTTATATAGTGAAAATGCATTAATTCTTTGAAAATCTTCTTCTCTACTTCTGGGTATTAAATAAACTAACTAAGCACATAATTATGATGAGCAAGAGTGCCTCTTTCAAAATTTTGAATTTTATGACCCCAGGGTCAGGGGTTCTGGTGTTAGGGCGGGGCTCTATTGGTTATATAGTGAAAATGCATTTATTCTTTGAAAATCGTCTTCTCTACTTCTGGGTATTAAATAAACTAACTAAGTACTTAGTTATGATAAGCAAGAGTGCCTCTTTCAAAATTGTGAATTTTGTGGCCCCAGGGTCAGGGGTTCTGGTGTTAGGGCGGGGCCCTATTGATTATATAGTGAAAATGCATTTATTCTTTGAAAGTCTTCTTCTCTGCTCCTGGGTATTAAATAAACTATGTAATTAAATAGTTATGTTGATCAAGAGTGCCTCTTTCAAAATTGTGAATTTTAACCCCAGTGCAAATTCTGAAGGCGTCTATTGGTTATATAGTGAAAATGCATTTATTCTTTGAAATTCTTTCCTTTGCTCCTGTGTTTAATGCCTATGATCCAAATATATATATTTGATGGTGCACCTAGCAAAATGGTTTTTTTTTTTTTGCCCCAGTGGTCGGGGTGAAGGGGGGGGGGTACAAACTATTCTGAAAATAAATTAATGCTTTGAAATTTGCTCTTTGGTGTGTTAATCAACCATTTTATGATAAAATTTGCAAAATTTTGAAATATGTGGCAATCAGTGGTTCCTTTGGGATGAGGTGTACAACTGGTTATAAAGTGGAAGTGCATTTTCTCTTAATGTTACTCTGATCTACCTCTGGGTAATAAGTAAATAGAGTTAGCATGCTAAGTCTAAATTATTATAAGCAATCTTACCTCTTTCAAAATTGTGAATTGCAAATTCCATGGCCTCTGGTTTAAAACATGATGTTTGAAAGTTGTTGCACAATACTCAGGTGACCTATAAGGCCCGTGGCCTCTTGTTGTGAAGAATCTTTTGTTTTGATGTGTTTTAATCATGCTGGCTCATTTTATGACTGTATCAAAAAGTTTTGATGCAACATATTGTATTGTACTGACTTAGTTTTCCTTCTTTCACAGGTCAGAGTGCAGACATTAAGTTGATCCACCCCTCTCAGTTCACAATGTACGCCACACTGGAAGGTCACAGAAAGTACATCAGCTGTCTAACCTTTCACCCCAAACAGCCAACAATTCTCTTCAGTAAGTGATACTTCCATACATTTTATGGTGAGAACCTCGTACGTTGCGTTCAAACCATTTGTATAGTATTTCTCCAATAAAATGTTCAAACCACTTCCACAAATATTCTTGAAATTATATGATTTACCAATTTCTGTTGAAGTTGAATTTTGACGTTTTCATGGCCATTCTCTGAAAGATTTAGTAAAACTGGTTTTGTTTAGTTTATATAATTATGATTTATTTTTTATCTAGGTGGAAGTAATGATAGGAAGATCATAGTGTGGGACATAGGAATTCCAGACATGAGGGACTACACTGTGCTGTTCAAGTATGTAATCAGAAATTTTTAGGAAAAAATTAGAAGTGTTCTCAAATACTATTAAATTTGAACGTCCAATTCAACTTTCCTGATGGAATTAAGTTTCATATGACCAAAAGAAAATGTTGTAGTGTGTTCAAGAAATTCAGTATATTAGTATTATGTATTCCTAATTCACCAATTGTCCATTTTCTCTGATTGTTGTTTCTCATGTCAAAATATAACAATATCTGAAATCTCTTACAGGAAGTTACATGTACTGCAGGCCCCGGACACAGACGCTCTGAACCTGGTACTGAGCATGCCCAGTCAGACCCTGCTGGCAGGTTGTGAGGACTCCTGCTTTGGATGGAAGGCAGACAACGTGGACAAATTATCCAGGTATTGGTGTAAAATGTTAAATGGGTAGTAATTTTGGATTATCTAAATTATTTTGTGAAAGTACATGTAGCTTTAGTGCTTTCAGAATTGGAATCATATTCAAAATTTGTTAAAAATCAATGGTTGTTCATGACTGTAGCTACAAGTTTACATTGTACATTTGTATTAGTTTATAATTCACTATTTTGTTCTGTTAAAGCAAATCCTCTCAGGAAATTAATTATCTTTTATATTATTGATTTATATCTTTGATTATTGAGATATAGAGTTAACATGACATCCTACTGATCAACAGGGCCCCTGATTACCAGTTTTACCTCCCCACCGTGTCCAGTGATGCTAAGAGTAATGTCAGCACGGAGAGAGAGACCGTGGATGGGCTGGCAGCTCTACAGAACGGATATGTGGGTATGTCACTGATAGAAATAGTTTACTCTTTGTAGGCTAGTCACTATCAAGCATGTATGTTATTACCTCAGAAAAATGCAGAAAATTCAGAGAAATCAATTCATTTGAAACCGGCAAATACATTGAAAAATATAGTCTTGGCAAAATGTTGCTTTTTGATATCAAAGATATTTTATTCATAAAATAAAGGGATTTGGCAGCAGACATGACCTTTTTTTAGCTTTCTCCTTGTTTTATTACTTTATAAACAAAATGTATCTCTAATGTGTTAAGTTTATTCACCTAACAGACTTTTAAGTTAAATTTTAACTTTGATTTTATTTTATTTTCAGTGACGAAGTGCGTGGGAGATGACATCATCAGTGTGTGGAATGTCAAAGATCAGCTACCCTCCAACAAGTCTACCTCAGACAAAGGCAAGGTCAAGTCCAGCACAAGGTCAATAGGGGTCAAGCCAACGGCTCTGCTTCACTATACCAGACAGACTGTGGACTACATCAACATAGGGGCAACCAAAGGTAGAAACTTGTCTATTTACTTGGTGATCATATAATTATGTTTGATAAACATGTTATTCCATCATTTTGAGAAAAACAAGATTCTGGTAGAAATTTTATTCACCTTTATCAGCTTACTTTGTAAAATAGCATTCTTACGAAGAACTGTTCATACTTTATGAGTTTGATGCAAGTGGATTTTAAACATATTTCCAGTATTTCACGTAGAATAGTCAAACCTATTTTATGCAACTTGGTTAAACAGACAAGAATAAAGAAATATTAATGTACTAGAAATATTTAAGTTGTAAATCAAATAAGTAAAGCTTTGCCAGTAGATTTAAGAACACTGTTCTTCTTTTCATTGAGATGAAGAGGTTGCCTGTTTAGTCAAATTACTCGACTTGAAAGAGAGACTCAACATGTTATATGAAATAATTTTTGCTCTGTCATTTGATAAATTTTGTAAATATCTTTATTTTTTCAGACGTGATGGTGGTAGGGGATGATAGTGGTAAACTGAGGCTGTACAATGTGGGAAAAGTGACCAACAGGAAGTCAAAGTCATGTGATGACATCCTGCAGCCCTCTAGGGTAAGTCTCAAAATCGGAAATATTTTAACTCTTAAAAAAACATTTTCAATAATTTCTTCTTCTGAAACATAAGATATAATAATCTCAGTTGATGTCGATCACATTTCTAATGCATTTTTTTACTGGTTCAAATAGTTCACATCTCACATCTTTCTCCTGGTAAATCAAAATTCTCCACATAACTTGATCTCTTTTCATACTGAAGATCAACTTTCTTTTTAATTTAGTAGACTAAGTTGATTTTATGAAATAATTCAGACTGTGTGAGCTGATTGTTTTCTAGCTTTGTACTTTTTTTTTCACCATAATTTTTATTTTTGCTGCAGGTTTTAGAGTGGCCTGAGATTGCTGATGGACCTATGAAGCCCTTTTGCCAGAAAGAGGTACATTTTATTTTCAAAATTAGTACTAGCTTTTAACATTATTATGTATCCTTTTAAGTCATTGTGGCCAATTTTTCAGTATTTAATGATTTGTTGGAAAATAATCTCATGGGTGAATATAATAAAATAAATATGACATCCTTCGTATTAGTTGAAATGATATCTTTGAAATGATGAATCTCATAAGTTGTGGTGCGTTCATTGTTAAAATTGTACTTTGATGTCTATATCTTTGTTTTTCCGTGTTTCAGTCTGTGGTAGTGAACAGTGCCTGTGCCAGCCATGATAAGGAGTACATCGCCTGTGGGACTGACAACAACCTGGTGTGTGTCTGGAGGAGACAGAGGGGCAGCTGTGGGGAGGAGGATATGAACTGTGACTGAAGGGGGGACAATAGGGGTACACAGGAACATACAGACAATGGGAGGAGAAATGAATTGTGACTGAAGGGGGGACTAACAGCTCAAGCTAAAGGTTTAAGCTGAAACATACAGACAATGGGAGAGACTTTAAGAGGAATAAACAGCCATAGCTGAGGGGGTACATAGCTCGTGAAAGTAGGGACAGAATTTAACAGGCAGAATGAACTGTTGAGTTATTGTTAGGTGTGTACTCCATCTAATTGTGAGAAATGAATTTCTCAAATTCTGAATCCATATCAAAGAGTTGGATACAGTTTGATTGGGGACATAATTTGATAGTTTAGACCATAATAAATAAATTGCTAGATTCTCATCCGAATTTTTTTAAAAATCGAGGCGGGCGTGCGGATTTTATTTTATATTTTTTATTTTTTCAATTTTGCAGATTTTTTATTGACCTGGTCAATGGGTGTAATTTTATCTACAATACCTGAATAAAAGTCATAGTAAAGGTTTAATATCTCTTACTTCACATTATCACCAATCTTTTTCAACCAATGACCCTTGTTTAAAATATATACGCATGTATTACAGCAATTACCATCTTTTCAGCTGTCAACATCATGTCCACTTTTCGCGGAATTTAAAACGAAAGTAGAATGGTAGATCCTGGATGGTAATACCGATCCTGATCAGAATTAAGACGAAGAAAAACAGAAATAAAAAAAATTGAGGCGGGGGTATAAAATCGGGGCGGGCGGGGATGAAAATCTAGGAATATTTTTATTATGGCCTTAAGGGAAGATTGTTTGATACAGTTTTGTACAGTTTTGATGAAATTTAAATTCTACAACCAATATCAATGATTTGAACTATGCATATGTATTCAAAGTTCTTTCTTGAGACCAAGAAAAAGATTAGTGTTTTTAATTAAGAAACAGCATAGAATGTTTCATAAAAACTTGGTTGTTGAAAAACTTCAGCAAATGATGGCTAAAGAATATTTGATGAAGTAATTGCTTTTGATTTAATTTTGTGTCACTAGTCTGTAATCAATGTATTTTACATTGATTTTGAATCTACAAAAACATAAGAATGCAAAGAACTCGTTGTTTAGTGCTATTAATGACATGTACATGGAAAACGGTAGTACATGGTATTGTGTATAGGTGTTAAATTGTTATGGTAAATATGAAGAATATGTGGTTAAGAAATATAAAATTTTCTTTCTTTGTTTGCCACATAGAAATGTGATTTATGATTTTTTTTATTAGTGTTTTGGATTGGTTTATCTTTTTATTTCAAAAAAAGGTTTTTAAAATTAGTTTTAAATATATGTTTGAAAGAGTTTTATTTTAGTATGGAAAATTTTAGTTTTAATATTAGAGTTTTTAAAACAGTAGGTATTTTGTGTTTATATTGTTGTTGATTTGCATCAATGTCATTTGAAAGAAATGTATGTAACTAAAAAGCAAATGTATAAAGTCTTTCTTTTTTCCAAGTTTTGTTTATTAAAAAAAAATCATAAAAAACACAGGTGTTTTTCTTTAATAGAACAATAAATGAATTGTGTAGGTGCAATTCCTTTCTATTTGTAGGATTTGAATACAGAGTCCGACTATAATAATACATCATCATTGATAATATTAGTATATTTATAAAACTCAGTGCACTTCCATTTAATGAGAGTTCAAGCATCTATATGTGGGCAGGGGTAATGTTTTGAGAGAAATAGTGCAAGGACTTGCAATATATTTCATAACACTGTTTTTTTGTTTATTTTTCTGTATATTTAAGCTGCCATCTCAAAATATTGCAAACCATGTGTACCTAACATATTTTTTCACAACTTCCACAATAAAACATTCCTCAAAACGTTGTGAATAGCCCTACTGGTCCTGAAATTGATACTATTGAAAATTTAGCTTACCTATTCTGCCATCATGGGTGGTAATACAAATCAGTCCAACTCTCTTCAAGCATGACTTGTACATGCAGTTTTGTTGTGGAAAAAGTAAAAGAATATGTTAGGAACACACAGAAAGTAATATTTTAATATATACAGAGAAATAAATTGAGAAACAACACATTTCTTTGTGCGCAATAAACATACACTTTTTTCAGTGGATGGTACTGTAGCTGAAGCTCTGGTCATCAATCCCAAATTTTTAGACCAGCGAGATACAGATCTGCAGCTATTCCTTGAAATGATTGCAACAGAAAACAACAAAGTGATTTGATTCCATTTTGTGTTCCTCAGAGATCCTTGATTGATGTTTAAGTTCTTTTATTATAAGACAATTAAACTCCGAAGTAATGAAAGAAAACAAAGACTTCTAAATCTTAATTTATTTACCTACTGGCCAATTTGATATTACATAACTAAACTCTGAATATTTTGTGGAGATAAAAGAAATATCGGTATTTACTAAGATGTTACAGTCTATTTTTACAGTCCGGTTACTGAAAGTTGTGTAGTAGTAGTACTTTGGAATGTTGCTGTAAAATTATGACTCTGTTCCGTTGCATTAAATAAAGTAGAATTTGAAACATTGGTAGAATTACTAAATGACTGTAGGACAGAGACATCTTGATAAAGAAGACCTGAAAATAGATTATGAATAGTTTAAGGTTCATTGACCCTTTGAATGCTTTGATAAGATAGATAACTCTAATAACTGATAAAACTACCATTCATTTATAAAATTGTCAAGTTAAAAGGCAATTTCTGTCAAATTTTGGACATGTGCTTTTTGAAATCTAATTGTAATAAACAGAATCCTTTTGGCAAACCATAGGTGTTTTCCGAAAAAAAAAAATTGAAAGAACAAAGGTACAATGGACCTTAAGATTCAGGGGGGAGTTGTAACAGCATGAACGAATCAAGAACGTGTTTTCAAATTGTTGTACATTGCATAAAAAAAGATGGCAACTTACCAGCAACACATGCTGTCATGAAACACGCGATATTCCCTGCCACTACAGCACGCAGCATCAGTTTGGCTAAATCTTGTCGTCTGCGTGGTTCGGCAGCCGAAAGTGCCCCCAGATTAATCCCCATGGCGGCTATACTGCCAAACCCACATAAAATATAGGTAGACACCACCATACTGCGTCCCTAAGAATCATATAAAAAAAATGGTGTTCATCGCTGTATTCTTTTTGTCCTTTACGTATTCATAATTGTCTGAATTAAGCAATAACTGACAAGATTGGCAAAAAAGTTTTTATTCCGTTTTGTAAAAAAAAAAAATGCGTGCGCTACATATAATTACAATACCTCGATCTCGCCTGCTTTTATAAATGTACCGAGGTCAGCAAAGGCCAGGAATTCATTGATAACAATCTTTTTCCCTATGAGCTTTCCTACCAGACGACATTGTGGCCAAGGGATACCCATAACAAACGCCAAAGGCATAAAAATGTACGAACAAAGGAACTGTAAAGAAAGATGGATACATAACAAAATATATGCTATTCTCTTAATGGAAATGATGAAGAAAACGTTAAATATGTTGGACTACGATTATCTTAGACAGTCAGAACAGTCATGTACAATATAACTGATGGCGCCACTTGCGTGATGTAGACTTACGTCGAATGATATTTCTGGGTAGCCTATACGACTACCAAAATAAGACAGAACGGCGTCTAGAAAAGCAAGTATGGCGACAAAGGCCACGAGATTGACGACTACGTTGGCTATCAGCCTCACAGCTCCCATCGCCCCGACAGAAACCGCCTCCATTATGTTCTGTTCTTTTCTGGAAAATGGGTAAAAAAATACATTCTCAATGCAAAAATTCTTTTACCTTTAAGTAAATGACAATCAATTTGATTTTTCTGCGCTATTGCATTTACCCAACTTCTAATTCCATGTCTTTACCAATGAGAGGCTTCGCAACTTTGGTCTCTGGAAACGCAAGTTTGGCAACTGCGAGAGCAGCGGGCGCCGACATGAAGGAAGCAGATATAACATGTTCTGCAGGGACCTACGAAAATGTATGTTTCATAAAGACATTATGGTAAAGATTTATTTGTGTTATACAGGATATCCAGATTATTTTATTCTTTGGCAATTGGCTACACATACCCCGAATTCGATGTAAGCAGCAATTACGGTTCCAGCAACTGTTGCAAAGCCGCTGGTTAGAACTGCATGCAACTCCGATAATGTTAAGTCATTGAGAAAAGGTTTCAAGACAACGCTAGACTCCACCTGCAAAGCATACGGCACTTCCAAAAATATTTATATATAAAAACATAAATTTTTTATATACAGTTAATGGATATTTTTTAAAAGAAGGGCGTATTGATACCTGCCCAATGAATATGTGAGCTGCGGTAGCGAATGATTCGATTGCTGTCGTCTGCATCACAAATCGCAGGACGGCAGCTATGGCGCGGATCACAAATTGCATGATACCAAGATAGTAAAGAACAGACACAATTGAGCTAAAGAATATTACAACCGGAAGAACCTAAAATAAATCATAAGGAAATGAACAAAAAAATTATTTTGGTCTTTGGTACAGACAGGTGCTTATTTTTTTCTAACAGAAATAAACCTTTTCTTGTATATTATTTGTAGATATCATTATTCATATAAAATATGTTAAATTTTCAAATCAGTCTTTCTAAAGCCAAACCCAATTATATACGTATTTCACTTCATTGTGAAATAGTTGCAAGGGTATGGCTTTAAGTCAGACTGGTTTTTAAATATATCAAGATGGTATTCAATGTACTACTGATATTTCCCAGTTACCCCAAAAGCCACAGGATGCAGTGTGTATCCCGGATCACCGAACACAAACTTGGAACCTTCATCTGTATAGGACAAAAACTGGCTGACACAGTCCCCCAAAAATTTACAGGCGGCATACCCCGGGGGCCATCTTAAAATAATGAGCCCCATTCCAAACTGAAGGAGAATTCCCCAAATAACGGTCATCCACGCAACCTGACAAAAAATCAAATTAAAATTTTCGTAATTTAATTTCTAAAAAGGTATAATATACATGTATCAAGAATTCAAGATATAAACAGCGACAAGCTAGGTTTTGTCAAGGAACTTTCATCCATGGAGGCTCAGACTTTCTGAATCTCCACTTGCTAGATCCACTACTGAGTATTGAAGAATATACACGATTTATCGAACAGCTGATCATACCAATGCTAACAATTGGGGGAGGGGTTCATATAGAAAGGATGATTTGATGGTGAACGTATTTTTTTCCACTAGTAATTTCTTTCTACTCAGAAACTTTGATTATGAAAATAGAACAAAATACATTGTAAGACAGGGGGTAGATTTAAACTACACGCACTTATGCAAATGTTCATATTATATAACTGACATTTTATAGCAGTTTTAGATTAAAGAAAACTACGTAATTTTTTTCATTTATCGCGTTTTAGGAAATTGTGTTAATATGACGTCGATTAAATGTCCTTGGGAAAAATAAAGTATAAAAGTTTATTAAATAGGTCTAAGCGTTAACATGAAAAATACTACTGATATCAAGATATACAACTGATCATTTGAATTTCCTACGAAAAATACAAGCTGGAATTTGACCGAAATAGCACAATAACATCAAAAGAATACTTATGGTCTTTGTCTTAATCAATAGTTTAATTGTCTTCATTAGTTTTAAATCTAATATCGATTGAACATACAGAATACGCATTATTATGCAGGGTATCAGATTGTTTTGAAGAATAACAAAAGAAAAAGAAAGGCAAATGCATTTTGCTTTACAAAACATAAATCAACCGTGCCACGTGCAGTAATAGTATGATTAGTATGTTTATTCACCAATCAAGGGCACACGGGGGGCATGAACAATTATTACAAAATGATAACATTGATTACAATTCTATATTAAAGATAATGTAACATGACTAGTGATTAAGTTTGACATTGCAAGTGCATTTTGCTAGAATGATAAAAGAAAACACAATTAAATAAAATGATAGATATAAGGTAAATTGAAAAAAAAAAAAGAAAAAATCTTGTAGTAATGGCAGTACTCTAATATAAAACTAGTGCACCTTGAATACAAAGGGCACCAGGGGATGATACCTCTACACAGCCAGTCTGGCAAACCTGTACCCTAAGTATGCAAGATCGTCCAAATTAGCACCTGGTATTTCATCTATACTTTACCTGACATCATAGATTTTTATTAAAATTGTGCGATATCTATATAGTTTTTTTATTATTAAAATTTTGAGCAAATATTTCTAATTGATTGATCATGCATGAAAAAAAAATATATATATAGAAACCATTATTTATTTCAAATTTTAATCATGAACTTATTGCTGTCTTTAAATTTCCAGTTAATATACTTTCGTGCGGTTCTTTTAGTACATTTTATTAAGTACATGTAAATGTCATTATTTCTTACCTTCTTTGGCGAGGAAGAAGTAACCCATAAGCATATAACAAACAAAGCTATTCCTCCAATAGGAATAAATCTGTGGACGTCGGACCATATGTCCCATACCAGAAAAGCAATCAAACCAAGGGCCACCAAAACCGTTATAATTCTGTGGAAGGAAGAAATCTTCAGTAATTGTCATTCATGTAGTTTTTGATGATCGTTATCAATTAATTCAGTCTTATGCAAAACATCATTATTTGTTCTTTTCTATACTAAATGGTATAATCTCGAGACATATAAGAGAATGATTTTATTTATATAAAATTTATACTTACATTCTAATTTTTGTCCTTAATGGTCGTTTCACATGAATTAGACATTTTTTCTGTAATGACAGCACAGGTTCCCAAATGTCAACTTTAAAGACGTTAAAAATCACCACAAAGAGAAACACCGCCTCCAGTAAACAAACAAATATCGCCCCATTAGGATCGTAAATTAAAGAAAATATGACATAAACGGTATACAGGAAAAACAGTGTTAGATAAAGACCACGTTTGCGGTACGTCTGCAAGCGTCGTTTCCATGGTGACAGAACGATGCTTCTATCTTTCAACTTGATCTCTTCAGGTGGAACTTGCTGCATTTCCTTTCCATTGAGATGAGAACTTTTGTCAAAAGTCACACGTTTACCGTCCATATTGTCAGCCAGGGAAAATTCCTGCCCACCTTCAACGTTTGTATACTTAATTCCCGAGTAAGCCATGTGGAAAATTATACTCTAAAGTAAACACTTCATTTCTCCCGTTAACATCAATGCAAACACTTGACAAGAGGACTTTAGAAGTACAGTTTACTCATCCTTGGTCAGAAGATGAATTTAACTACATTATCATTGAGCTGCATCCGAGTTCATGTATTTTTCATTGTTGTAATATGCGTATGATTTACTTGTTCTTGACCACAAAATCTTTGGTCCCAGCGGTTTTATCCAGGATATATAGATAAGACCAAGGACTAAGTCCGAGTTTACAGAGGAATATAGAAGATAATGTGTAAACAAAACCACGATGTGTACAAATAAATTAACTTACAATCATTTACTTCAAAAACCTGCCGATTACGCATCTTCACAACTTTTTGTTTAGTTTTTTTTCTTAAAACTTTTTCATGAACATTCAAAGAAAATGAAATTCTAGTTCCAGATCTGTCGCTCGTTGGTGTGAAATACTTGCTAATGGGATGAACGAACATGTGCTGCAATTATTCCATGAAATATATTTTAAGAGTTCATAGGACGAGTTCTCCAAAACAAGTAAAAAATCGAGTCCTTATAATGTTATCCCTCAATACTATTCTAATATCACAGCTGTTCCATAATACATATCGTATAAATAATAGCAAAATAACGAGGGCAAACATCGATCTCTTATTCTAATTCCCTTAAGCGCTATTTTGAGAAATCGACAAGGATTAGTTATAATAACGTAATAATGTCATCCAACGAAAAACACTTTCTACATTTTCGCCAAATTATGTTCCATTCTAACAAATTTGAAACCATTTTTCTGTCTTAAAATAATTTTATATTGTCAGGTTCGGGCCTCCTTAGAATGTTCTCTTCAACCAATTTTATCTGAAATTAGACCAAAAATCCTCCCAAACCCCACGTACGATAATACTCAAGATATCTGAGCAATGGAAAGCCCTGTACATATTCAGCAATGACAAAATAGCCTTTTTTGTCGAAATCGAAAAAAAAGGCAGGGGATTAACAAATTATAATTTTTTTTAATTTCATTTGATATCATTTAAATTTTGCTTTTAACTTTGACCTGGAACTCTGAAGTCATATACTTTATACATGTATCTGATTTATCATAAGCTTTAAAAATATGTGGAAGTTGTCTCACTATTAATGCAAGATTTCTGAACTTGACACTGTCCTTGAAATTCATTTGACCTTGAATGTTTCTTTAATTTAAAGAAAAAGGCAGTTAGCTGCTTTTTCGTATATATTTACAAATTCTATTGAAGGCTTCTCCTTTTTACCCCTGCTGACCAGTAGATTTCTCTGAATGCAAACAAGAACTTGTTTTGAACTTGAATGTTTCAATGCTTTATATATTTTTTTCAATATGTTCAATTCATACATTTATTAACAACCCAATCTGTTCAGAACAGATAATACAATGATTGATATTAAATCAAGGGTACTTCAACAGAAAGTACAATATATATTACAGGTATAGCTAAAAATTTCTTTTCAAATGTAAGATAGAAGCAAGATGACAATAGAATGATTGAATGCATGCTCTAGAAAGTGAATTAACATTTTGTATAGTATACACCTGAAATGCTTAATCAAGTATGATAATCAAAAGAGTTCATACAAAATTGTCATCACAAGGAACTAGTAGTTCAAAATCTACTAGTACATATTGTAGTTCAAAATCTATTTCGTTCTCTTTACCCAACTGTTTCAGATTACAAAATAAATATCCCTGACATATCTTTTTTCGAAATCTCAAAGATAAGACCATCTTTGAAACAATGTTTGTTTGCCCTCTCTTGACTTGCCGTAAAATAATTTGGCGTGTAAATAGGTGGGGAAAAGTTTCTCCCTAAAAAATTTCAAGATACAAGTTCGGAGGTTGAAAGAAATAAAAAATACAAAAAGGGAGAGAAATTGTTTCATGGAGGTAAAGAAGTTTTGAGGTGGGACTTTTTTTAGGCAGTCAGTCCGGAGAGGGCTAACCAACAATTTTTGAAGATGGCCTTATTTCACTCTTTTTCCCCATGCTATAACATAGTACAACATATAGAAATAATTAAAACATGATTAATTATTCCAAAAATAGTAATAATATGTAAAAATAGCTGCAAGTTATTTTAATAATAAACTTTAAAAAAAATCATTGATAATTTTTTTATATAAAATGCACTAGAATTGGTTTGGAAGTTCTACCAGGGAAAGTGTTTGCGGGTATGTGTATATGGATTACCATCTTTCAAGTATGGAATATTGAGAGTGGTTTTCAAGAAAGAACTTTGTTTGGTAATAACCAATATTTGCCCCCCAAGTCAAACTTTGATGGAGAAATAATTATGTTCTTAAACAGGGGAATACATGCTGACTTCAAAGCACTGAATATTTTCATAAGCAATGATGTCATATGTTTGAAATGACATCACAAAAATGACGTAAATTTAAAATTTCCATGATTTTTACAGAAAAATCTATATATTACATCGATATTTTGAAGAAAAAGTCACCGAGTGCAGGTCTGATCAGGCTCAGTATTTTGATATAATGTGTAGAATGATAATATCAGTGAAATATGTAAATATCTTGCACTCTATAAATTTTAAAGCTAAAATTGTTGAAATTTTGTCCATTTTGTTCTCTTTCTAAAAAAAATGATATAAAATCGGACTTGTTTGTGACGTCATAAAAAAAAATTGTCAATAAACTACTTTGAAATTATAATATGTTCTGTTAATTTATATTTCTCATACAATGTATAAAATTCAGCACATTTCAAGAATTTTTTAAAATTTGATTTTTGTGGAGGCAAAGATATGCAATATACCGCATATATTTCTTTCCTATAATTCGTGAAAATCATGAAATAAATACATCATTAGTCCAAGCTGCCTACTAGCTGCACTGTCAATTATAATCAAGGTATGAAAAAATCATACACAGACAATGCATGTAAAGAAATTTAAAATCTACCTCACATAAAATGACTTATAAGAAAAGACATGTATGTAGTCAAAAGAAATCTTAGCACTGTTATCACTAGCACGGATCTCTAAACAAAGATAATTCAGGGTAATTAGATAGGCTTAGCCTAATAAATGCAATTTAAATATCTGTAGTGATGAAAATTGTACTTATTTCTATCAGCAAACAAATTGCTGTTTATTACTTAATTTCTAATATTTTTGCTACATTTTTATTCATCACAGCTTTGAGCAAAGTAAATGTACTTGTATGCAGTATCAGCAGTATACAGAGTCCATTGGAGGATTTGAATTTGTGACATTTGGTTAAGAAATCTGCCATTTTTCAACACCTGATATCCCAGAATTCAACAGTGTTCTATGTGATATCCCAGAATTCAACAATTACATAAGGTCCTAGTTCATCTGTCCTCAATAGACTCCAGTTGGTCATGGTACTCAGTAAAAAGTCTTTGGAGTTTAAGATTAGAGCCAATGCTTGGTAACATCTCTTTAAGTAGTGTTCTTTTATCCATCCCCTAATAAAAGAAAAATACATTTGGATATCATTTTCTTTCAGATATTTAAAAATTGTTCCTCATAGAGAATATTTTTCATTTTGTTATGTCTATAATTTTTTACTGTAAAATGTGGAACTTCAAGATATTGTTACTAACCTCAATAAAGTAATCAAAGTACTGAAAGTAATGGAAAGCACTAAGCCTTATTTGCATTTATAATATTAATCAGAATTATTATGAATTAAAATTTCCAGATGGTTATTTACTTCTTTGGGTCTGTTAGCTATATGTAACAAAGATGGTGTGTGCCGACACTTATTTTTTACAAAGATAAGAACCACCTTATCCACTAACACTCATGAAGGTTAATCTCTACCTTAAAAACTTGAACCTATTGTTAGAATATGCAACTTTGCTGTAAACTAACATAGCTGAAAGAGGGTTGGGTTTAGGGCTGTATCAATATATCGATATATCGATACGTATCGATATTAAAGAATCATATCGTATCGAAAAATAATTTTCAATACGTATCGGACATACAGTTTTTAGTCTAATTCTGTTAAGAAGATGGGAATTTTAATCACCAAAGATTATATTTCACATTTCTTAATTAAAAATGATCAATAATTATATAATCACTGATAATTATTAAGGAAATAACACAGTTTTATAATTAATATAAAATAGATAGACAATGTTATTTCAATATGTTGATTTTACAGACATTAAAAGTTTAAATTTGAAGTGTTTTTTGTGATGACAATGAGTCAAGAACTTTAAAATGGGTAATAAAACACTAACTTTTCATAAAATTCATGCATTAAATGATTCATAAGCCTTTTTTTATTAACTTTTTTTAGAAACCAATATATCGCATATCGCTTTAAAAAATATCGTATCGTATTGTATCGAAATATTTTGTTCAATACACAGCCCTAGTTGGGTTTTCCAATTGCATACATTTTGAAGAGTCAATCATGGCAGTAGAAGTACCTAAATTGCTTAGTGGTACTGGATCCCAAACAGAAGTAGTTTTAAGATGTTAGCAAGCACTGCACTTAGTGCTTAAAAATCAATGTCTCAACCAAAGAATGTGCAATGCCTCAACCAGAAGGAAGCTTAGAAAAAGCCCCGTTCATAACACTTTCAACAAAGAAAAAGATTAATTATCCAATCTGTAATTCCAAAGGCAGTATTATGAGCCCTGTATTAATATGAGTCCCGTATTTCTTGATATGAGCCATGTTTTTATTTTACAAATATGAGCCCTGTAATTCGATATTTAGCAATATGCAATATAGCCCCATATTTATATGAGCCCTGTGTTAAATCTGTACTTACCAATAGGAGTGGATTCCAGGAGGACTTTCCCTTTGTCTTGTACACTGGTCCTAAGAGATCATCACAAACATCTCGAAGTTTGGACTCAAAGATGTGCCTGAATTCTGACTCGAGTCCTGGGAACAGAAAACAGCCTTGTTATTTGTTGCTTATTTAATTCTTTAAACCCCCCCCCAAAAAAAAAACATTTGTAAAGTAGTAAAATAATAATCATATTAGACCTAAATGAAGGGATATCATATTTTAATTTGTTAATGTTCAACAGTTACAGAACAGATCAAGTTAACCTTTGATGAATATTTATTGAAAATATGGAAGCCAGTGCAAGGTACTAATAAAAGTAAGGTGTAACAAAACATTTATTGATTTGGCAAAATGCATCTTCCAAATCCTTAAAAAAATGTTTACCTTTTGCTTACTAGTATTTGCTCAGGCAAACAGTATAACATCAACTGTACTACAGATATGTCTTTATACAAATGACTCTTTTCCCAGAAATTCTTAAAAGCAATGGGGAGTAAATATAATGAGTCTACTCATAAAACTTCATAAGCTATGAATCCATGCAGCATTTTTAATTCTGACCTTCCTGAGAGAGATATCTTGTGTAGGTCTGCAGCCAGAACTTGTACTCTGGGGCAGACTTGAGCAGTAGACAGGCTGACAGCTGGGATTCTATATGACTGAGGGTGGAGCTCTGCTGCAGCGACTGTCCAGCACTGAAGATACGACTGGCCTGCATACCCAGTCTAAAATTGTATAAAATCAACAAAAGATTAAAATGACATTCTGAAAGGATCATAGATTCTAGTCAGACTTTAATATACCCTTAAACATGGATTAAAATTATATTAGCACCATTTATCAGAAAATAATGATTTCAATTTTTTGAGCCTAAGACTACTAGTCTGAGACATGGATAAGGTTTACCTTTCATGCGAGGTCTGTAGTGAAGCCAGTGGTCCCTGAATTTTGGTGGAGTCTCTAGGCGGTGCACAGCTGTGGTGGTCTGAGCACTGCTGGAGAGAGTCTGCTTTGTTATGGAGGAGCATCCTATCATCAAATACAACAAAGACTGGTCACCACATATCAACATAACATATTTCTATAAAGATTAGTCTATCTTTGTCATGCTGAAAGTCTTGCCCAATCAAGAAAACTTTTTTTCCCAGATGAACAAGCTGTTCTTTTTCAAAGATAACATAATTATAATTCTAAAAAAATAGAATTTTTCAAGAAGGAACATGTATCAGTTGACACAATGAATGCAGGAACTGGACTAGCCATATATTTAAGACACATCTGTATTGTTAGGCAATAAAATCATTTGGTATTGAGGATGACAGAAAAACAGACAAATGTTATGAAAATTACCAGGTGCCCATGTCTTTGGAGAAGGTGTAAGATTTTTTGTTGTGAACTGTGATAATGGGCATCCCCTCCTCTGTCAACATTGACCTCTGAAGGTCATCACTCCCTAAAAGTAAACATACCACATATAAATTTCCTGAAAAAATTAAATTTTGGAAAAAGGTAAACATAAATTAACTTTATGATATATATTTTGGACAGTACTAAAGTATACCTGATATGATTGTTTTTAATGATTCTTTCCTGATAACTGCAGACTGCTGCTGAACATTCCTAAGTCAAATGCAAAAAAAAAGCCTATAGAGATTTTTGATATCTTCCAATTGAATCACTATCAAAAAAATTTTTCATGTTATTTTACACATACCGAGGTACATATTCAGATTTAAATTCTAAATATAAGTTTTAAAACCTTATTCAACTAAACTTATATACATCTCATTCATTTATAAACTTCAGAGCTGATAATACTGGAAACAAATACATGTGCCTCTAATTCAATTTAAACTCTGATTGTTCACATACCATATATACAGGAAAGCTTTCTGTGTGATGACCATGACAAAGAAGCCCTTGATATGGAGTTTGGAGACTTTGGAATCTAGGACAATACAGGGGAGGATCCGAGATCCTGTACTGGTGTACATGTGTAGGGACCCATCCTCACACGACGCACACACAACAGTTCTGAAATGTCAGCAAGTTTTACACATACTCACAATAAACATTTTAACTTTCTTAAATACAATTATATTAAAGTTTGTTTCCTTATTTAACCTTGGAAAGGTTTTGGTGAGAAAATTCAAAGAAGGTCCATAAATGGCTTTTTGGTACCTTAATAATGCATCTGCTTCAAATCCTCTAACTTACTTTGATCCAGTGACTGTTAAAATAGGAGAGTTCAGTACTTGTTCCCAGAGAGTGAGTCCTTCCTGAACACACCTCATCTTGTGCAGTGTGTGGACTCCAATACTAATGGTGTTTTCTACCTCCACTGTAAGAGAGCTATCCCGTCCTCCAACCTGTAATAGGGATAGAATGTGCTTAAACTTTAACCCTAGAAATAATTTTTTTTTTCCCCCACTTGAAAAGTGGGGAGATATTAATTTGGGCTTTTCTGATCACATTTTGTCCGTCCGTCCGTCTTTCTGTCTGTCTGTAACGCTTTCATTTCCACACGATATCTCGAGAACCCTTTGAGCTTTTGCAATGAAATTTAGCATAGCAACTCCCTATGGACTAAGGAAGACCCCTATTGATTTTGAGGTCCAAAGGTCAAGGTCATAAATAAGCAAATTCTGTCTGTTAGAACACTTTTGTTTCCACACGATATCTCTAGAACCATTTGAGCTATCGCAATGAAATTTTACATAACAACTCCCTGTGGCCTAATGAAGATCCCTATTGATTTTGAGGTCAAAATATATTCAAGGTCGTAAATTTATACATTCTGTCTGTGTGTAACACTATCATTGGGCGATATTTCAAGAAGATTTTGAGGTATGCAATATAACTTTATACCAAAACTCCCTAGGACCTCTCTCGGGGCCACAAAGTGCCCCGCCCCGTTTGTTTTATTAGTATTTATAGTATTACATGTCGCTATTTTTAGCACAGGGGCATGAGGAGAGTTATTGCGTATAAAACAGGTTCTCGGTGGACTTTATGTTCTTATTATATCTATTAGAACTGTTTAATTAAGGCTAAATAAATCAAACACCATGGATTGTGTAAAATTTTGAGAACATGAATATATACATGTATGTGACTTCAGTTCTTCATATACTTGACTTCATAGGAAGCGATTCCGTGGTCTAGTGGTATGTCTCTCACTTCACATGTGAGAGGTCCTGGCCACAATGGCCGATCCTTTTCTTTTACTTTTTTATATAAAAATACTTTTCTTTTTTTTAACAAAATGATAGTATTCAGCATGTGAAATGAAAAATTTATGAGGTTATAAAATCATCATTAAAGTTGGATAAATATTCCATATAAAAAGAATCTTCTATACACATATAATAAAGAATAAGCAATCAGATCTTTATATGCATATTGACATACGTGTATTTTATTTGCTTCAGTATACATGTATACTTTTAATAATTCTACAAATTCTTCTCAAGAATAGCAAAACCATAACTGGTCAAAGGTTTACTTTTGGATTTAAACTTTTGAATAATAAAACCAATTCTCTTTTTCCTAGCCACATTAACTTGTTCAATATTTATTTAGATAGTGTAACTACTCCACATGTAAATGTTTAAATTTGTATATCCAGAAATTACAGATAATTAGCTTTAGGTTCCATAAATTTTTTTTTTGATATAATTGTCTGTATTTTTGATAAACCATTATGATCTCAAAGATCTATTACAATAAACAAAGGCTTGCTACAAATTCATTGCAGCAATTGATCCCATCCAAACTGCCACTACAAGAAAGAGGCACTATATTTTGAAACAAAATAATCCCTCACGGTATTAATATTTAACGAATCACTTACAGTTTTGGTAAAGGTTTTCTGAACTGAGGCCACTGGTAGCTCCAGCTCTGGGACAGCTGGTAGGTAAGAAGCTCCCTGACTGTCCAGCACTGGTGGTACATACTGTTACAGACAAAATACATATATATACAGCTTACTATCTATAAAGTCTGCCATCATTCTTGTCACTGCTATTCATTTACATATAAAATATCTGCCGAATTAAAGTTCATTAACTTCATTTGCTTTTTTTGCTTATTCTTTAATCTTCAAAATACATGTACAGTATAAGTCATATATTCTGCACATATGAATGGCTGACGAAAGCTACATATGTACAAGAGAATTTACTGAAAATAGTCTATCACAATCTGGACCACTTACATGAGACACAGGAGTAGACATGAGGGATCGCTCCTTGTCGATTTTACGAGGGCGGCCGCGTCTCTCCTCCTTCTTTTCACCGTCATGTTTGCGTTTTACTCCAGCTGAAGATTTGTGGTCTTTTACCTTGTCAATTCTGAAAACAGATAAAAAATGTAAGCCTGAAATCTTTTCAGACAGGATAACATTTTTATGTAGACTTCTGAGATACTTCTGACTAAGTGTATCTTCATACAGATGAACTTCAGAATCTCAAACCTTTTTCTGCACCAGACTGCATAATAAAGACTGTATGGATTGCTTAATCAAATGACTTTGTAGAACTGTGGAGCTATACATGTACATGTTGTTTCCTTATTAAAGAAAAATTCAGCTTGAAAAAAAAATCAAAAATATAAGACCATGACACTAACTTCTCCGAAGGAGTTTTTATCTTGTCCTTGACACTTGGAGTTTTATCCTTGCCATCAGACTTCTCAGAGGATTTCTTTTCTGATGAGGTGTGCTTAATTTTTGGCTTAGATAGTGCAGTCATTGGCTGAAAAAACAAAACAAAAAGTTATATTTACATTCATCAATTAGTCTGGATTTCTTTTAGTTCTACTAAAATAACTTTAATTTTTCATTTCCATTAACACTGCCAAAGCACAACTTAATACAATAGATCATCTAATTTATGCAAAGTCTAACCTCTCAAGATAGTTACAAGTATCTGGTATTATAAGCAATCAAAACATTTCTTGAATTTAAGTTATCGTTTGTAGTTAATCTTTATTGATACAAATATATTTTGAAAATGACATTCCCTCAAGCAGATGATCCCACTCCATTACCTGGATGGAAACGTTGATGACTTTGCTTGGAGTTGATGGAGGAGCACTTTCTGAGGGTGGGGCAGTGTCCATTTTCTCAGCCACCGGGCTGGTATCCTGGGTTGGTTTGGGAGTGGTGTCCCCTCCAAGGGGAGGGGGCTGGGATTTGGGGGTCCCCTCCCCACCTGGTGGGGGTAGCACAGGAGAAGTGTTTTGGTTTGAGAAGTTGGAATTTGACAGATTGGAACGTGAGGTAGGGGAGATCATCCCTTTAGTTGTGACAATGTTCTGTTTCTCTACGACTATCTTGCTGGTTTCTTTTCTGGAGGTGAAGTTAATGCCCTGGCTTTTGAAGGGCAATGGTGCCTCTCTGTATTAAAAGAAGACATAAAAGTATTTTCCCTCATATGATATAGCAATAAGGTGAATAATTTAACGTACAGATGAACATTAAATAAACCTACCCAACATTGACATCCAGCTGTGGGGCTAGGAATATTGGAGTGATCCGTCTTCTGCCATCAGCCGTCTTTGTTTCAATTTGTTTGTCAGTTGGCTAAAAGTAATATATTTAATTAAAATGCAGATAAATTGATGGTACAGGTAAACAAAACGATATATAAGCACAAAACACAGACAACCCCACACCATTAAAAATTTTTTTTAAAGCAATCGTAAATAAGTATCGTTCTAGTGAATGTCACCATCATCTAAAATCAGTATGGATTATCTTTAAAATTCTATTTATGACTAAGAGATATGTTCATTAGAAAAGTATTAAGTTTTTATTTTTAAACACATCCAAAGCACCATTTTTGGACTGAAAGACACTCCCCCACTCCCAATTTAAATATGGCAAGCAATATATCCAACTATTCTAAGGTAGCAGACTTTTCCCCCACCTTGAATGGACTCCCCTGCTGACTGTTCTGACATTCTACTGAGGTTACATATTTTACTCACCTTGAATGGACTCCCCTGACTGTCTGACATTCTACTGAGGTTACATTTCTCGTCCATCTCTGGCAGTTTTTTCTGCATCTCCTCGCGTTTCTGCTGCTGTAACTTCAGTAAGGCGGCCGACTCTATAATCTGGGTCCCGCTGGTGGAGGAATTGTTTTTGGTCATACACTTCCCGTAAATCTTCTCAAGAAAGAGTTCCTAGGAAGATGAAATTTACAGTAAAAAAGTATACTGCAAAGGTATTACATTTAACGGTGTAATCTATTTAGCTATTTTGGCTGAAAGCAGAGTCCGCTAAATCAAGTACATCGCTAAATGTTTTGTAAATGATATATTTATATCTAGCACATTCAGATAACACTAAATCAAATCTACCTTTACTTGCTAAAAAATAAATTTTCACCAAATATCGAACATAGAAAATACTAATAGATTTACAGTATATAATTCTTCAGAAATTTAAGGGAAAAAAGAATGTATAGACAAAACAATAAATTTTTGACAACAACTCACCACATCATTTTGTGCCATTGGATCGCCTATTTCATCCTTACTGAATTCAATATAGGCCACAGTACCATCACTGGAACAGGCCATCAGTTCCATGCCAGATTTACTCCTGAAATTAATAACCAATCAGCAAAGTTAATTACACTGATTTCATATTCTACTGGGAGGTCAACATTGCAGCAACATTGCCAAAAATTTCAACTCATTACCACTACATTTTTTCAGTTTTTCGACTGATCATTACCACAATATTTTTTTAGTCGAAAACAACTCATCACCGCTACATATGTAATCAACCAGGTATGCAGGTACGGAATATAAGTTCCAATCTCAAAGCTTTCACAAAGATGTTTTACAGTTCTCATTCTAAAATGTTTGAATATTGGCAATGTTGAAAGATCTAAGTGAAATATATGACAGAGTCAAATAAAAAGTTTGGTTGCTGCCATGTAAGCACAAACTGTTTCAAATATTTGAATATAATACTTAGTCCATGATTTGTTGTATCTCATTCTACATACATGTATTTTGGAGTCGAGTGTGAATGTGTGGGATTTTGTATTTCAGGGGATACAGGTCTTATGCATGTATATGTTGTACTTTACATCAATCTGTACACGCATAAGTGGCTGGCTAACGAAATAGACAATGTATACTTTTATATGTAGCGGTAATGTAGTTTTTTTGTAGCGGTAATGACTATGTAGCGGTAATGAAAATTTTGAAAATGTAGCAGTAATGATAGGCACCCATTCTACTGACTGTTAAGAACAATCAATCTAAAAGTGAGAAGTGTACTTAAAAGAGTTTTTTCTTTGTTGAATACAAACCAGCTGATATCCAAGATGGTGTTTTCAAAAAGGTCATGGGTCACCACCAAAGGCCTTTTCAGAGCAGTCAACTGAAATTTCAATGTTTTATATTTTTAGATTGAAGAATAGAATGAAAAATATGACAGGGTATAACAACTTGGAGTAATTCTTACCCAAACAGAAAGAGAACGATCTTTGCTTCCAATGGCACAGCAAGTATACTGCTTAGTCTAAAATTAAAACAAAGCATGAATTCTTTATTCTTCAAATTTAAAGTTCTAGATATGTTTTCTTTTATTATGTAAGCTTAAAATTGTCCTCCCTGTAAATGAATAACGGTACTACATGTACATTTAATTAAACTTCAACAATTGATCGTGTAGTTGCTGATTTAACTGTTCAAGTTCTGAATGGCAAATTAAATCATGTAAACTATTTACCTGTTCACATCCTTTCTTCATTTTCTCTGAAAATATGTTTGGATTGAATCTCTGGAAAAAAAAAGATAAAACATTAAAATCCAGGGATGTATATTCATGGGATGGGCAAGTTCTAACTTAAAAAACTTCGTATACTGTAAACCAACTTTTATTGCGAAGTTCGCGAGAGCCTCGTCATTGCGAATATTTCTCGCCGCGAACCGGTTCTTAAAGTCTTGTGTCTATAAAAAAGAAACCTTAATAGGCTTTTTCGCGAACATTAATCGTCACGAACTGGTTTACCCCCGGCAAATCGCGAAATAAAGTCGTCGCGAATAAAAGTTGGTTTACAGTATCTCAAATTTTACAAATCTTTATACACCTTCCATTTACTAGATCTTGACCTTAATATAAAGTAATATACTGAAGAGCTTACCACTACAGTTATGGCTTTTCTGTGTCCTACAAAATCCAGGGAGGTTTTGAAACCTTCCCTTTCTATGATCTGAGCTGTAGGTCCTGAGTTGTTCATAGCATGAGCAGAAACAATGTAAGCACCATCTGGTGACCAGTGACAGCGAAGAACATGAGTGGTTCCTCCACACTGAAAAAAATGTTAAAGAGTTTCAAAATATTGTAAGATGAAGTATTATTGGCATGAATAATGCTAAGCTAATCATTATTTTGACTGGAAGCCAATTTAAGCACTTTTTTTCCAATTGCTAAAAGTTTTATTCAGCAATATAAAGTTTAAATAGCTGATTTTCCAATCTCCAAGCATGTCATCTTGAGGCTCATTTGAACAACTTTTAGAATAATTGAAATAATCCATTATAAATCATGAATTCTGCAATACTAGGTGACTTACACTTTATGCAAAAATTCAGTTTTTTTTATTTTATACAGTTCAAGTTCATACAATTATTTTCTAATTCATAAGAGTATGAAATGATGAACAGTTTTTTGATGCTTATTTAGGAGTGAGAAAATGATGATAAGGTCACTCTTACCTCTGCAAATGGCTCTGTTATTTTGGCCTCCTCTTTCCAGTCCCTTGTTCTCCACACCCTCAGACTCTTGTCATCAGACTGGTCAGTCATAAAACAAACAGATGGGGATAATTTATACATGTACAAATTGAAATAGATCTGGTAAATAATTCAGGTTTCCTCCACTGCCAGTAAAGGCACATAAAAGTGGGAATTTGCTCTGTATATCTCTTCCTACAGAATTCGAATACTTTAAAGCTACAAGTTATAAGGTCTATACCTGAGAAGCTAAATATTTTCCCACTGGATCCCATGTGACTCCTTTCACTAATCCATTGTGTCCTTTGATCACAGCAACTTGGGCTACAAGAACATAATTTTTTTTGCATTCAATATCTTTAAAATCAATCCAAATCTATTAGTGTATTGGTAGAACTCATATTCAATAATGTTCTATATTCAACTAGGTTCAATTCACCATATCCCGATTCATAACCCACCTGGAAAGTTGTCAGCATTCCACACAATGATTGTGTTATCAACACTGCAGGACGCCAGCCAGCTGTCATTGGGAGACCATGCCAGGTCAAGGACATCTACAAGGATACAGAGAAAGGCCAAGGGCATTTATAGAGCATCAAAACAGAGTCAAGGACATTTACAGAGCATTTGAAAACAATACTTTACCCACTTTGTAGCTTAACTTCATTATATACAAATCTACATATACAAACTCCTTTATTTAAAAATAAGATTTTTTAAATCATTTTTTTGAAAAAATAATTAGTGTAATGGCTAACTCCAGAACTGTAGCTCTCTGCTAGAGAAAATTTTGACAGATAAAGCAGAGCTCTATGTAAAGGCATAAATGGAATCCTCCTAACTCAATCTTGCTGGATTACTACGAAAGTCTGATAGACTCAGAAAATAAAATGCACACAACCAGAGATTTTCAAATGGTAAAGTTACCCCCTGTGTGGCCCCTTAGTGTTGCTGCTGGCCGCCATTGTTCATAAGTTGGAGTCCCAGAACCAAACGAAGGACCAACTCCAGCTCTGTAAGAACAGTAGAAAATTACACAATTGAGAAGGAACTATAAAATATCTTATTGTCACTCATGTTATATACTGTACCTGTATTTCAGTAAATTATTTAATAAATTTATCTCTTCAACTGTTAGTATCTGAGAAACTAAGATATCTAATGTGATAATTCAGAAAATTAAAATGACAACATAATCATAACCGATAAATTTATCATAACATCTTATACTTTTCTATTTTTTTTTATGGAATGATATTAATGAGGCAACTACTGTAACTGCTATATATTTATAATAATAATGGTGCAGACCTGGAAGTCTGCCATATCATGATAAGTTTATCATCTCCTCCAGATGCTAGGGATTTCCCATTATTTGACCATCTAACACAATTCACGCATGCTGTAATGACAGTACAAATAATTGTTCATAACCTGAAGTATCAAAAAAATAGTTTTTCTCTAACTAATCAATTAAATTTGAATTTATTACCTTTCTGTCCACAAAATTTCAAATAAGAATTTAGAAACTTGAAATAATAAGCCAAATTTTCCTTCATAATATAATGTTTCACTTAAATAATAAAGATATGATAAGGTAAAATCTTCTGTAATTTAACCCAATAAACAATAATTTTACCCAGATGATTATTCATCTGACAAAGGACCCTGGGTACATTTTCATCATTCTCTGCTTTTTCATCTCTGACGGGTTCAAAATTCCAGATGACAACCTTTCCTGAATCATCTCCTGCAAAGTGAAAGCAATCAGTATCAACAGATGTTAAAAAAAAAAATCAATGTCATTTCATTAACTTGGATTATAATCTAAACGTATCCCTGAAAACAAATGAAACTTACAAACTGACAATGACAGATTCAAAATTTAGTAAAAATAATTGTTCTCACTTAATTAATACCATTTATTACAATTTATCAAAAAAGAATAGATCTTCCCTCTCTTTTGCTATTAAATGAATCAAAATTTTCTATCCCTTTCTTTAGCATGTTTAGATTCAATATATTGCATTGCAAAATTCACAACTACCACAGTTCCAGTTCATTTATAGAGCTTACTGTTTTAGGACTACCTACTAGTACATTTCTATAGCTAAATACTTTACTGTATGCTACCAATTCAATTTGATAATCAATAATAAATTTTACACTAATAGCTAACTGTTTTTTGTAACTTACCTTGACCACCCGTTGCAAATCTTGAACCATCTGGGTGAATGTCAATTGAAAATATTGGTTTACCTGAGACACAAAAATTGCATACATCATTTACATGCAATGATCTTTCTTCATTGAATCGTTCTTTATTATAAAAAGTTATCTGTCATGTACAACATCTTGATTGAACTCCATGTAGATACCTTTACTTTGAACTTTTCTTTATACAGTTAATTCTCGATAAACCGCCACCTTTTGTAATTTAGAAATCATGGCGGCATAATGAATTTGGCGATGAATTGAAGTTCCCATCTTTTAGAAAACAAGAAGTAGAGTTATCGTTCTTAGAAATACCATTTAGCATTTCTATTCTTATTATTACATGTACATGTATATAAAAACATATTTCTGATTGAAAATACTTCAAGTAATTTTTTTAATGTACCATTTCGCTAAAACAAAATGTGTAGTTATGAAATAAAGACAAAATATTTGTATATGAATGTAAATCTGCACGTTCGATATTGAAAAAAAAACATACTGGGTCGATCGTCATGATATATTGCCGATAATAAGTAAAGTGAATTCTTGAATATGTTCATTGTTTATGGTATCATTGTTGATGGAACATTCACAATTTATACCGTATAATTAGTTTTCCCAGCAAACTTTGCACTGTTTAAAACAGAGATCATCAAAATAATATCGTTATCGGCGTACTTTAACAACGACCGCTTTCGTGGCGAAGCCATGACTAAATGATTATATTAAACAGAAAACAAAATTATTATAACATTTATTGTTTATTTAATTTTTGTTTAATTACTAAATTGCATGTACCATGTCTGCGTTTGCATGCTTTACAACAGGAATAGAGTCAACTAATTAGCCGCGCTTCACTGACCACATGCACCTGTGGCGGTATATCGAGATAATTGACACTTAAAAATGGACGTTTGTTGTGAAAACAGGGTGGCGGATGGCGGTATGCGAATTTGGCGTTATAAAGAGAATTTTATATAGCAGGAAAAACGTTCTTGGGAAATCATGGCGGTATTGCGAAAATGGCGATGAATCGAATGGCGATAATTCGAGAATTGACTGTAGTCTTAGAGGTAGAGGTAATATTGCAAAAATGATTCTAAAATTAAAGTGTCAGTCATGTACATAGAAAAAATTAAAAACTTGCTGCATGTATATGTATGGTGCCAGTTAGATAGAATGTTCTATCGTTAAAATGATATTGTCCTACGGACCCGGTTTAACGATAGAATTCGTTCCGTGTCTTCATAATGTAGCAAAATAAGCACGGGCAATAACTCATAGTCAGTGCATTTAATACAAACAATCCAGAGAGTTCCCAAAGTACATTTGTAAACATCCAAGGTAAATTTGAAGCGAAAAAAAATGTTGAGAAAATTAGTTGAATTTTCGTCTTCATATGGATTATTTTATGGGATAAATCTCAGAAAGGTTTGTTTTGATTAATTTGGTTATTAATTTCAGCTCAACCCCTTTTCTTTTCTTCAAAATCATTTCGGAGCCAGATTTTTTAACATTAATTGCAGTGTTATGGGACGTATTCTAACTGTGGAGAGGCCTTGTCCCGAGACACAGTTAGATTATTCTAACTAGGTGCCAGTATTTACAAGTGTGTCAAATGAAATAATTATCACGGATTGCCCACCTATGAGTATGACAATATAAAACACTAATTTTTCATCTCTTGAATTTTCATAAACCAACGAATTCCCCACTTAATACGAGTTTTCCTTTATATTTTACTGGTGACCAATAAACAAAAACAAGAAAAATACGTTTTCAACTGATAATTCACGATTAACAAATATGCCCTTATTGCCATGCATTGTCTGTCATGCACCTGTCCTGCAACGCAGATGCAAATAATTGAGAGACACACTTGACCGACATTTTATCGCAAACCAAGGAAATAACTCACCGTCATGCGTGACCCACGAAGGCTTGAGCAATCTCATATTGGTGAGATCTGCTAGTGTGATCACTGAAAACGATATACATACAGCAATTCTACTGTTTACTTTATTATTTCTTTTATTTCTTTTTTCGAACCCCCGCCATACTTGCTCCGTTATTGCAATTATTCACACTCCGAACCCGATGGAATTTATTTTGGCGACAAGAAAGGGTTATGAAACGTCAAAAATAAATTTTAAAATGCTTGTAGAAGCACCCCACCTTTATAAAGTCTTTAGTTTGGATGTTTTCATTCAAGGGTTGCCCCATCCATTGTCCCCTCCCCAAGATATAGATATTTGGATATAGTTTAGCCTCGTTTTTCTTTGCTCAAGTTGTGAATATTTTTTTTAAAAATCTACATGAACCCGGGCCCCTTTTTGAAATCGAAGTTACGAATTTAGTTTCTTATAATTACAAATCACACTCAAGATGGCAGCACTTTATCAGTGGACAGGAAGTTAATAAACAGTATAAAATAATCATTAATATTTTGGGGTTGGGGCGGGGTACGACCAACGTTACGACCCCCCCCCCCCCCCGTTTTCAATCAATGATATTTATTGCGTAAATATACGTTTCTTTTTGCATCACGTTTCTTAAAAAAGTTGTTGGATTTACATAAAATGTAGTGTATAGTGTGTCACTTATTTTTCAGAGAAAAAAGGGGGATAAAAATATACCATTTGTGAGAAATGTTTTAAATTACTTTTTGATCTTCTTGGTAACACCACGAATCTCCTTTATTGCACATGACATTTTAGAAAATATGAAACAGGAGGTCTAGTGTGACCATCCTGTACCAGCAATTGTTAAGTAATTCCACTTTGTCGCAAAAAAATTTTACAATTGTCCAAATTTTACGATTGTTAATGGGAACAGATTTCAGATCCCGGTCTTTTACCAAAGTAATGTACATCTAGGTAAGAAGCGAACCAGAGATAACAGAAAATAGACTTTCTCTAAAAAAAATTTCGCATTGACCAACCCGACTGTTTTTCCTTAAGCTTATTTTTTACTCCAGTTGAACATATGTTTGTCTAACCCGACAGCAGGACTTGAAGGTCATGCACGGAAATCGAAGCGACTTTCTATACCAGCCAAGGGCCACATTGTCGGAATGGTTTTTTACTCTTAGTCGTAAGTTCTTTTGTAAAACGGGTCCCTAAATAAGACAAAAAAATTATTCTGTTTATAAGTTTCTTATTTCAAAATATAGTTTTACACTTTTTAAAAGAAATGTAGAAAGATATTTTCATGATAGCAATTTTAAAAAATCAGTCATTAATTTTTGCAAAATTTTTACAGCAATTTAAGATTTTGGTCTTAGTCGCAAGTTCCGATGATTTCCCTGTGTTTCTTTTTCCTTTCAGTATATAAGTAAGAAATTTTTAAAAGCGTTACAAATATTTTATTAAACTTTCATTATTTCTTTTAATCTAGTGACTAAGTGAGTTGTGTCGGAAAACCCCGAGAATTTGCGATTTGTATTACAGTTTCGTTTTCAAAATTATCATTGTGACGTCATAATAATTAAAACGTCACAATCTACTAGCAGTAGTTTGTGGTTACTTGCAAACAAAGAAAGGGAATTCCCCGAGAATATCGGCGATTTTTCTTCCCAAAAAGTTTCATAGATTTTATGATCTGTGAAATATTGGCATCGACTGGAATCTACTTCTTCAAGACAGACAGCATATCAGTATAAAGTAAGTATATATATATATCAATACCAAATTCGTTTAGCTAGAATGATTGTAATATAAATTTTGCTTTCGGTAAAATTTTCGGCTATTTACATCAGCAAGAGTAACCCACGAGTTTTGGATGCCTATGTGTTTCCAGTATATTTCAAATTCATTATATTCTTCTTTTTTAAACACTTTCAGAACATGTTCCCCGGATTTTCATTGATGATAATGGGAGTGTTCGAATTACAGAAATGGTGGGGAAAGAAAAGTTAGTACTTGTACATTAACCATGCATGATTAGTAGAAAACTGTACTATTTTCTCCAAACAATGGAATGTTTATCATTTAATGATTTATCCAGTTCAATATTTTATTACATGGCCGGTAAATGAAACATCTCAATATATAAAATGTAGTTTAATCTCAAATGTATTTCTATTTCAGATTTTAAAAGACATGAAAAACGTCACATCATAAACCCGGAAGATTTGGGAACTGATGTTGACACGGGACTGAAAGAAGAGGAGTTAAATAGATTGGTATCTAATGAAATTGACAATTTGATTGCAATTATCCAATCTTCAATGTAGATGTTGCTTAATGTATTATGTTTAAAATTAAATTCATTTTATAAACAACACATTTTCTACTGTTTTCTACTGTTTACAATACGAGTATGTGTAGGCTCTAAACTAGCTGGTTTTTGTTTTTATACAAGAAAAAACATAGATCTCTCTGATGTTTTATTGACCAATGAAAAGCGCTGGAAGGAATTTAAATAAAAAGAAATTATTCTAAAAAATAATATAAATGATTTCTTTAAAAGCAATATAATATAATCAAACTTAAACAATGCGTGTATCTTACACTTTCATTGAAAATGCTCTGTCAAACTGTTTATATAATCATTGTCTTGCCGGATAATTTATCTTCACAACCATGTACATGTATTGCTTACCTCTCTTTATTTTCTTTCGTCTCTGTATTAAGAGAGCGTCATGCAAAACTCAAAACTTTTAAAAACTTTTAAAAAAAAAACATCATAATGAAATAAATCTTTGTTTAGTTACGAACAGCAGAGAGTCTTCAAAAATTTTTCGTTGACATTTTTATGATTAATTACCAGTGTACAAAATATAAGTGTAAAGAATAAAATAATATTGAGTTCAAAACTAGAAGTATTGTGCACACTCAGCTCAATAAATGACTTATTGTCAAGAGTTCTCAAAACCATGAAAACATTCGCATTATTTTTTCTTAGTTCAATAAAATAATCTTACATGATAACAAAATATGAAAATATGTAAGTAAAATATTCTAAAAACTTGCTTTAAACTAAGTATTAAATGTTGTTAATATATTTCAATTTCATTATCATTTCTCGTCAGATAATTGATAATTTATGGTTATATACCGGTAAAAGGAGGTTACAATAGATACTCCCCAGCCTCTGGGAGTGTGTAAGATATGAAAGGAAATCGTCATGATCTTCCGGAAAATAATGACGTGGTAAAAGTACATGCTGAATATAAATTGAAAAGTTTTCAACTAGTAAAAAAATGTTTTGAATATGCTCTACAGCTGCAAATGAAACAGATATTTTTTCCCTACATTTTGCACCCAGGTTTGCAGCTTATTTCACTATTGAATATCTTGACGTGCTTTCCTCCTATTTACGCTTTTAAAATGGTGAATTTTTTTTTAAATACTAAATTTTGTTTGCGGCCGATTTCATGCTTTATATCAATGCTAGTTTTTATACTAGTATTTGTGTATTAACTGGTGAACTCTATACATAGGAGTATTAAAGCTGAGAAAGATGCGTAAGGGGAAGGGCAAAGTTGATTTTGATTTTTTATTTCACGGGGGGGGGGGGGGGGGTGGGGTTAGCGTCATATATGAGATTCAAAACTGGAACTCATCAATTATCAGTCAAAATTAAAGTAGATCTAGGTTATTTGATGACTAAAGTTATACTTAGTGCTTAAATTTTTGATTACAAAATTTTCCCTGTGTTTCTTTTTACTTTCAGTATATAAGTTAGGAGACTTTTAAAAGATAGTGTTATAAATATTTTATATAACTTTCACTTTTTACTCGTATATTGTTTTTGTCCTGTCTGTCTGTTTGTCTGTTTGTTAAAAACTTTAACCTTCGCCATAAATTTTGAACCATGAAAGATAGAGACTTCATATTTGGTATGCATACTCCACTAATTAAGTTCTTTCAAATGACATCAAGGTCAATGACCTTGTGACTTTGACTGTTACCTATATGCTAAAAATAGCTTTTTCGAATGTTGTTGCCGCCGGGCGCATAGCGTTTCACAAAAACATCTCGTTTAATCTACGTGAGACTTATTGCCTCTGAGGTCGGAAAAACACGAGATGTTCCGATTTGTATTGCAGTCTCGTTTTCAATATCTAATTGTGACGTCATAATAATTAAAACGTCACAATCTACTAGCAGTAGTTTGTGGTTACTTCCAAACAAAGAAAAGTATTTCCCCGTGAATATCGGCGATTTTTCTACCCAAAAAGTTTCATAGATTTTATCTGTGAAATATTGAGATCGACTGGAATCTACTTCTTCAAGACAGACATCATATCAGTATAAAGTGAGTATATAGCAATACCAACTTTGTTTCGCTAGAATGATTGTAATAAAAATTTTGCTTTAGGTTAAAAAACAGAGAGCAATATACATCAGCAAGAGTATCCATCGAATTTTAGATGCCTTTGGATTTCCAGTATATTTCAAATTCATTATATTCTTCGTTTTAAAACTTTCAGAACATGTTCCCCGGATTTTCGTTGATGATAATGGGAGTGTTCGAATAACAGAAATGGTGGGGAAAGAAAAGTTAGTACTTGTACATTAACCATGAATAGTAGACAACTGCATGTATTAATTTCTCCCCAAAAAAAGAAAAAAAGAAAAAGAAATAGATATCATTTAATGATTTGTCCAGTTAAATATTTTATTACATGGCCGGTAAATACAGTTCAATCTTAATACCTGTATTTCTATTTCAGAAAGACACGAAAAAGGTCACATCATAAACCCGGATGATTTGGGAACTGATGTAGATACGGGACTGAACGAAGAGGAGTTAAATAGATTGGTTTCTAATGAAATTGACAATTTGATTGCCTTGATTCAATCTTCAATGTAAATGTTGCTCAACATATGATGTTTAGAATTAAATATATTTTACAAACAACAATTTTTCTACTGTTTTCTATTGTTTACAATATGTGTAAGCTCTAAACTAGCTGGTTTTTGTTTTTACACAAGAAAAAAAAAGATTTATTGACTAGTGAAAGGCAATGGGAGGCATTTAAATAAAAAGAATATTATTCTAAAAAAAAATAATAAAAATGATTTTTGTAAGTTTTGCGAAATTTTTCGTTGACACATATACAGATATGTATCGGCAAAAGATGATGTACAATGAGGTAACTTAAAATTACCCGTTGTGCGCGACGACGCATATACCTAGATAACATTGTGCCGATTAATGGAACCCCTCGGCTGCCTTATGTGGAGAACATTATATTCAATATATGCTGATACTTTAACATTAAATGCTGATACTTAAACATTATAATATCATGTGGATACTTTGCAATTTAAGCTGTACTTTGTGACGGACCTGTTTGAGGCCAGGTAGGCTAGCTGCAGATCTGCAGCTATGTTTGAGGTTACTCGGTTTGCAAGCTAGACAAAAAAAAAAATAAATAAATAAATCTCTCGTAAATTCAAAATTAAGAACATGATATAGGACAGAAAACTATTGAAGAGGTTCATGGGTCACTGCGGGATTTAATGGGGGCCGCGGAGGGCGCACCCCCCCCCTTAAAATTTTCAAAGATGTTATGACTAATATTAATAATGCCGTATACTTTTGTACATAAATAATTTTATCACTATTACTGGGCCTGGTTTTACTCTTAGAATACACGAAAAAAAAAGCAAAAAAAAAAAAAAAAAGAAAACAGGAGCTTCTGGGGACTTCGCCCCCTGGACCCCCACTATTCAATGTATGATATACACTGTAACTATTATTAAAGTACATAACTACAGTGTACCCAATACCACTATTATTGTGCCTAGTTTTACTCTTAAAATACACGAAAACCCAGGACCTTCCGGGGGCTTCACCCCTATGCCCCCAACAGGGCTTTGCCCTGGACCCAAAGGGGGATTTAAGGCGACCCCCAGATTCCCTGCCTGAACGCAGTTATCCACGCCCCCCCCCTCCCAATTACAAATCCTGTATGCGCCCATGTGGGCCACATCGTACACATGAAGAACTGAGTCAGTAACAGCAGAAATCAGTTAATTAAGTATACTAAAGATGTAAACTTTACCCCCTTCATCCCCCCTGAGCGAAGGGAGAAGGTACATGATTAGCTGCAATAATGTAGCCCTCTCCGATTTTTTTAATCTGATATTTTCTGGTACCCCCCCCCCAAAAAAAAAAAAAAGGGAGAGGGCTACATTATTGCAGCTAGTACATATGATTTGAACAAAATTTAATGTACACTGACTGAAGATTTTTTCCGTATATTATGTGACAAAGAATGGCTTAAGGTTCATAAACCCTCTGCTCACTCATATGAAATTTTTCTTTAACTTTTATGATTTTCCGAAGGAAATGTATATGCTGAATAAAATACAACCAAATATAGCATGGCTTGCGGGGAAAAATTTGACAAAAAAGGCACTTAAACTTGACAAATTCAAAAAGGAATAATAGACATTTGTGTCATTAAGACTTATCTCTCTTATCAGAGTATCAATGTACCTTAATTAAAAAAGTTTTTAAAGACCTAGAATTGAAATATTATTTCAGGAGCATCTGAAGACTATGTATTTTTTTGGTAAAATTTTGATTTTCTGCGGTGGCCCTACATGACTTTCCCCCCCCCCCCCAGAAATCATATATTGACAATCTTGAACCTACCTAATACCTACACTAGCACAAAAATATTGTTCTCAATAGAAAATCAAGCCTTAAAAAACAAGGGGAAAAAAATCTTCCCAGACGGGGAATCGAACCCCGGCCGCCGCGGTGAGAGCGCGGAATCCTAACCACTAGACTACCTGGGAACTTACTTTCACAAGATTAAAATATATTTATATACCTTATCTATTGTATTTATATCATTATTAGTAGTTTACCTTTTCATCTCTATCGTTTGTCATTAAATTCTGGGAAAACTGGTCTTAGAAATATTCTAATCCTTCAAATTTTCAAATCATACACAGTATGCGTCGACATTTTACAACATCTAATGAGCGTTTTGTTATCAAATTGGTTTCAAGCGTTCTAGTGACGGAGAGGTTGTATTTTCATTTCATGCAGAAGTCAATAACAGGAATATATTTAGGGATTCGTAATTCCCAAGCAATGCGTAATTGAAGGGATTTTACTCGTAGACATTGCGAAAACAATGTCTGGGAGTATGCAAGACACTTGCCAATGGTTGTCTGTTACAGAAGAAACGCTGTTTTTGCATGATGGGTTGATAAGGGTGACAGATTTGGTAGAACTTCCTCGAGATGTCAACAACTCTCATGAAGCGGATAATGAAGTCATAAGTTTTGATGTAAAGAACCCGAAAGAACTCAGCAATCGTCTTCTTGCTGTCTGTGGAACTCAAAACAATGCTTATTCGAAGTTACTAGAATATCGTTTAAATGCATTGAAGGGGTATTGGAATGCTCAAAGACAAGTTGTCCTTGATGAACAAAATGAAAGAGAGGCTTCCAGCAGCGAAGAAACCCTAGCTATACTGAAAAAGCAAGGTTTATACAAAGAACCAGAGCAGGCATCCTTTTCTACAAGGATCAGTGTTCTCCTTGTGTTACCGTTATTACAGTCCCAGAGCAGAATAGACCCGAGCTTGTGTGGTGTTACATCAGAACTCTTACTGAATTGTCTGAGGGATTGTGCTCCTCTCAGTTTATCAAAGGAACCAGGAGACTGTTTAAGGGGTCTTGAAAATCTGTTGTGTAGCTGGTTGGGAGAGAAGACAAGTGATGAGAATGTGAAAGTTGCAGAAGATGTACACCAACGAGAAAATATTGCATCAGCTTTGGTTGCATTAGCATGTGCAAGGTATATCAACAGAATTTTCAACAACAGCAAAAAATGCCTTGCTAAGAGTTTAAAAAAAATTAATGTTTTATGTAATATAGTAACTGTTAAATTCCTCTTTTATTTTACTAATTAATGTTTTTTTTTCTTTAGAGGGCACTTAAAAACATTCACTCATGCTGTGCACTTATTGCAAAACCTCCCAAATCTTGATACGCTGCAAATTAGTGATGTTTTGGCAAAATTACTGGATACAGAAGGAGGACCTGGCCAGCCTACCTCTATTCTAGGAAGTAAACATATATTGTGCTGGGGATTTGAGGACTTATTAAGTACACCAGAGAAGGAGACCCCTGCAGCCCCAGCAAATGAGAAGGAAAAAGAAAAATCGGGTAAGATATGACAGTATTTAAGCATTTAGGGGAAATTATTTTTAACTCCTAATCTCCTATTTTGATGTCAGTAAAATTAATAGCAACTTGTTGAATTTAGCGAATGTTAAATAATTAATATGCACTTTTAGAATTTGATAACCCTTGCACCCAGGACCCTTTAAAGGAATCTGTTGCAATTGAAAATTTACCAGTTTTTCCCAAAAATTTAGTTGAAAATTCCCAAATGCAGAGTTCTTGAAATTTTTCGGTCCTGTCGGCAAGACTGATAAAAACAACCAAGGACAGATTACTTTGCATTCTGTGTCAGTCCAAATGACCGGTAAATGTTGACAGAGGAACTTGCAAAAATCTGACAAAATTTCGTATCAATTCCATATAACGTACGATTATAATCTTTCACACTCTTTTCTATCTTGTACTGGCTTCTTCGATGAACGCAAGTGTAAAACTATGATTGGTAAAGTGATAAAAGAGGTTTGTTGACGGTGCTACGGTAAGCCAAGTGAGAAAATCAAACTAGATTAAAAACCTATGAAGTAAATCGACCCCCGAGATAATTCAAAGAAAATCGACGATCAAATTAGCATGAAGTGTGCAGTGTTTATTGAAACATGGTGCACAATGTATTGATAATAAAATCGAACAAAGTTTTCATCTTTTTATTTAATTATTTTTGGACTGATAGAAATCTGTCTGGACTTACAAACTTCACATGGCAGTCAGTCCAAATGACTGACAGTGAAAAAAGATTTCAAAAACTCTTCAAATGACATGTTAATTGAATTTTTCATTACTTTTTAAATGAAAAAAAAACCTTTAAATTTGAGATTTTAATGAATCATACAGATGTGAATAGGAAATAAACTTTTAAAAAAAATATCTCTTAAAAAAATCTATTAAAACTAGAGAATAAATTTTTTTTAAAACTTTGCCACTGTTTTTATTAAAAATTCCCAGTTGATAAACATCCTCTTAGCAGCATTACAATGACAACTGAAAATTTTCATTGACAGTGGAATGGCTGTAAACAAATGGTAGAGAGTTCCCTTTATTAATATTATGATCATGTTAATAGGGAGTTTCCTTCCTTATGTTACGTAAAATTATTGATATGCATGAATTGTAAATGTGAATTCTTGAAAATTTCTTTCATTGTTTAAATAGAAGCAGAGATTGGTAGAAGTTTAGCATGTGATGGGGTTTTCCTCTTCACAACAAACTCTCAGGGCAGAGCTCTGGCTAAGGTTGGATCAGGTCTCCATGGAACATTAAGGTAGGGTTATTTTTAATGAGAGAATGATGCAATAATGTGAAAGAAGGAGAATTATGTAATATTTTTCTTTTATAAGATAATTGGCACAGCCTCAAAGTACACAGACAATTACTAAACCTGACTTGTCAGTTTTATGCTATAGTGAATGTTGATGCATGGTTATCAATATGCATGCAATTGCATCTAAAAAGTTTCTGATATTAGATAAACTTATGTAATTTTTCCTATTGAAAAAAAAATCCTTATATTATCTTGGCCATCTAAATTTATTAATCTTTTTATTTGATTAACAAAATGAACATTTATTGGGAATAATAAAATTGTTTTATGTTTAAGGCCAAAATAAAATCATTTTTTGTTTGTCATTGTTCCATGTCATTGAAATAATACTTGATAAGAAACATTTTTAAAAATAAGAATTTTTCTTGTTGGTTATGGACAATTGTAATAGGTAAAAGAGAAAATATATGCCTAGACTTGGAAGTTAGCCAGAGACCCCTGTATCACTAAGTTGAATGCTCTACTTACACTGAGCTATCCAGGCCGTTATCCACGGCCTAAACCATTACACTCCTCCCTCCTTAAATGGTCTTCACCCTCAAAGCATAACCCAAGTTCGTGTAGCCCTACTGGCAGGACTTTTACCTGCAAGTCCTTGTGTGGAAGGCACCAACCTTTGTAACAGGAAAATATAGAAAATGTGTGTCTGAATCAGGAATCAAACCTAGGGACACCCACTTCACTATATACATTTAGTCTCCATATTAACTGAACATTCCAGAACTTAAATAGTTTTTGTTAAAAATGATTTTTGCAGACATAATTATGCCAATTAACAGATACACACATGTACTATAGCTATATTTTAAATTTGACATGCACTTGTTTTGTAATAAAAGTTTACCCCTAAAAAGTTCATCACAAAGAATCTGGGCCACTATCTTCATTGGCATTGAATAATGGCACCAAGTGTAAGATGCTAGGCCAGTTCACACATTTCATTTTTAATGAAAAAAGTTGGAGCTTGTGATATATAGCAATATATTTTATGTCTTTGAAAATATCATTTTTTTTAAAAAAGAAAATTTATTTTTCTCACTCCTGTGTTGTAAATGTTCATTTTGTCATACAGTTTGAAGGAAAAATTATTGCCATAAACAGAAAAAGCAAAGATATTGAAATATTCCAAGTATTTAAGGAGCAGCTTATAAACACATACTTTGTAAAGAAGATATGATCAAGTGTATAAAATAGTAAAGAAACATGGCCTAATTTAAGTATATTAAGTACATATATGTAAATTGTCAATTTAGAAATCCGAAAAGCTTTCCCATGTGTGAAAGGGACAAAGCATCAAACATGCTCATTATTCCTCAATTTGCAAACATGTTATATATAGATAATACAAAGTATTAATTGCTTTTATGTTACAGGGGATATGTATACAGTAGGAATTTACAGCTGGGACCAGGAAAGATTGCTTACGGTCATGGACTACTCATTTACAGACCTGCTGCATTTGATTCAGAGGCTGAAAATTCAAATTTTTGTCAGATTCTAGATCCGAGTTCACTAAAGGTAATTATGTTAGATTTTTTTTTCAAAAAGAAAAAAAAAAGTTTAATCTCCACCCCCACCCCCTTTTCTTGCCATGATCTCTCTGACACTTTTAATTTGTATGCTGTCCTTGTATTGCATGTTATATACCGGTAGTCTTGAAAAATATGACAGTTGTTTTCACATATGAATGTTAAATATTTAAAATTAATGATATGTGTGGTATATTGAACATATTGTTTCATTACAGCCTATGAAAACTTTACCTACACCTCATGGTTATAAAAATGAAGGACCTCAGACAACGATTGGATTTTGTTCAGATGGACGCTTCTTCTTCTGGATCTGGGTGCCAATTCTCCCTGGTGACAAAAATGCCAAAGGAATACCAGTTTACATGGAAATGTTTGATGTTGATGTAAGTATTGTGTTTAATATCCAATTGGTTTTCAAATTTTTTTTTTATTCATGTTTAGAAAGGCATTATGAACTGTATATTGATGATTTAATGTATTTCCCTCTATCTTTTTTTGGTTCTCTCTTGGTTACTAAATCAGGGTACAATATGCTTTACCTTTGTTTGTGTGTCAGTTTTGTGTTCTGGATTTTTTTTTTGGGGGGGGGTGGAGGGGGAGTAATTGATGAAGTTAAGGTTCAGTGTTGTCAGAGAAATTATTTATGCATTAACTTTTTAAGTATTGGAGTACTGAATCATCTGAATAAGTTTGTTAATGTACTTGTATGTTGTAAAAGAAATGCCCGCATTTATTACATGCTTCTCAGTTTGTTCTCTGTTTGCAGGAAGACAAAGAGGTTGTTATTCCTATACAGCCTCAAGTGACACTGGTGAAAAAAGATGATGGTGGTGCTAAAAGTTTAAATGAGAGCTTTCTATCTAAACTCCGTCCATTCCGAGGCAGTACCTCAGCCGCCACACTTGTAGCTTTAACAGGAGGGGATCCTCTGTCCACCAAAAAAGAGGAGTGTAAGCAAAGAATTGACATCATTAGATCATTCTAGACATCAATTTCTGTACAAATTTAAATTTCTTCAAATGGTGTTGTTTACCCTTGTCATTTCTCTTCATAATTAATTTTAATAAAAATACCAAACACTGTCAAAATGATTAGTTTTAAAATATGTTAAATTCTTCTCTGAAGAGGGAAAAAATAAACTTTTTTGTGGGGGAGGCTTTTGTTATCTAATCACAAGATTGATACAGTCAGCAGTTGATACATTGTATATACCAGTGAATAAATACACTGATATGTGCTTAATGTAATTTGTGTAACATAAATTATGTTAATTATTAGCAGCATCAGGAGCCGTAGGAAGTACATCTTGTTCTATATTGATGAAGAACTTGATGAAGAGCCCAGTGTTCTGTGATGGCACTACATTGGTGCTACTGACCAGTCCAGCAGGAGCCAGCAATAGTACGTCCACTACACGGTCACTGTTTGGAGGAGGGGGCAGTTTGTCTGGACTTAGATGTAAGAAAATTTGTCAAAAAAATGTTATTGATACAGTCATCATGGTCATTTTAAAAGAAATCTTTTATGTTTTATAATACGTGTATGTCATATTGAGAACACACTGTAAAACTCTCAGAAATAGGGCCTAAAACTAAAAAGCCTTAATATATATAGAAAGCTATCTTTAACATTGCCTGATAATGGAGAATTATGGTACATTACAACTTGGATGCAGATTTTTTGTGATTTGAACGGATGTACTGTATCATTATAAGAAACATATTCCTCTAGAAATTTCTATAATTTTGTGAATCCACAAGTCTAATATTTTCCTAAAATCTTTATTTTGTAGTACTTGCTAGTAACATGTGCTTCACGGTAGAGACGGGTCAGTTTAACACCAGATCAGACCTCAGTGATGCCCCCACCTGTGCCCTCGGGAGGGGCGCAGCAGTGCAGGGACTGGGTAAAGACATACCATTATTTTAAACTTCTATATCCATGGTAGACCTGCTTACTGTAGCAGTTTCATACACTTTGTATTTTAGCAACTTTTGCACTGCTTCTTGTCTCTAATTTAAGAACACTCTTATAATCATTCAGAAACTTAATTATCCCAAAATGTGCTACAGTGCATTTCATCATAAGAGAGACTGCACTAATTTTGAATATGCCATGCATACATCTTTACTGGATTCAGTGCCATCTCTTTGACCATTGATGACAGTGATCCTGATTTATTTTTTGACAGGTGTGTGTTTTGATGTGAGGAATAACATGATATGGACCTGCAGCTCTGATTGGGTGGACCAGTTCTTTAATCCAGGTCACCAGTCTGCACATCACATCCACAGAAGGTTAAAGGTCACAGACCAGGTCATCTTACCACCAGGTTAGTCTGGAATTATGGGATATTATGAGATGTTAGAATGAGACTTTCTTTCATTTTTGAAATTTGATTGATTTAAAATCACAGCCCAGATTTACAGATTTTTAGCTCTGCCAGTCCCTGTGAAATTCATACAAAATGATTCTCCTTCTGCAATTTTGGTCTGGTTTTAAGAAAAGTTGGGGCAATATATAATATATGGATATAAAATATCTATAAAATTAATGCTTGTAAATTAAAATCAGTAGAGCTACAGTCTCAACAGATGGTTTAATAGAAAATTTCAGTAGAGTACTTTAAGCACTTGAAAATCATTAATTACGGAAAAAATGATTAATAAAAACATTGTAAGACATACTTCATATTCTTCATGCTTAATAGAAGGAAGTGTCCCCACCCCTAAGGCCATGAGGTGTATGCTACAGCACGTGGGGAGTATGTGTCTACACCAGATAAATAACGACCTGTTACACAGCCCCCTGGGAAGCTGCATCCTACAGCAGCATTCTGTGGACATTGTTCAGCTGCGACGGATTTACGACATACTACAACAAGCCATGACAGTTCAGGACCCCCAGACCATCATCTGTAGTCTTATTGTCATGCAGGTCAGATAGAAATTCAAATTATTGTGGCTTTGAAGATTTACATACAATGTAGTTGCTGTTGTGTACAGATGTTTTAATATTTACCTTTACCATTCCAGTTGTTGCTTAAGATAAGTTTGTTCAAGCAAGAAAGACCAGCAGAGATTCAAATTCTCAAAGAAACCAGGTAGAAAATCTAGAAATTAAGAAAACACAACCAAAAAAAGGAGATAAGATAAAAATGATATCAATTTTGTAATATAATAATAGTTAGCTTACCAGAATATTTTGTTTTTTTTCTTTCACTTACTATTTGCTCTTCAACTTAACTACAGGGAACTTTTGTGGAAATTACTGACCAGCTACTGCTCTGAGGTCAAGGACACACAAATTCTGGAGGAAACGTGTCATGTGATCACAGTAGGCATATCAGTCCTATATCCCTCGACTACTGACAAAAACCAGCTGATGCAGACTCTACTGTATGATGGTAAGTCACACGTCTACAGGTACATGCATATACCCTATAAACATGTGTATACAGGAACATATAATTCAATTTTTTTGTTGAAAATATAAAAGATTTTTGAGAGGGGTAAGGGGTGTTTAGTTTCCTGTATTTGCTGTTAATTTGAAAGAACTTACAAAGAAATGTTTTCAAACAAAGACATTCTCATTCAATGATGATAAAACATACCATACTTGTTAATTTTAATCCTATTAAAGATGCATGTGATATATATTTTTTTAGGCAAGAACAACATAGCACTTCAATCATTGAGAGATCTCATTCTTGTGGATTTTGCTGAAAAGCTCAGGGCACAAGCTGTGGAAAAAGAGGGAACTAGATATCTTAGGTAAGTGGAAAACATGGTTAAACTTCAATTTTTAGCTCATCTGAGCCGAAGGCTCAAGTGAGCTTTTCTGATCACATTTTGTCTGGCGTCCGTCCGTCTGTCCGTCTGTCTGTCTGTCTGTCCGTCTGTCTGTCTGTCTGTCTGTCTGTCTGTCTGTCTGTAAACTTTTCACATTTTCGACTTCTTCTCAAGAACCGCTGGGCCAATTTCAACCAAACTTGCCACAAAGTATCCTTGGGTGAAGGGGATTCAAGTTTGTTCAAATGAAGGGCCACGCCCTCATTCAAGGGGAGATAATTGGGAATTAATGAAAATTTAGTGGCATATTTTAAAAATCTTCTTCTCAAGAACCACTGTGCCAGGAAAGATGAAACTTATGGGGAAACATCCTCAGGTAGTGTAGATTCAAATTTGTTCAAATCATGACCCCCCGGGGTAGGGCGGGGCCAAAATGGCCGACCAAAATTTTACGTAGAAATATATAGGAAAATTCTTTAAAAATCTTCTTCTCAAGAATGACAAAGCCATAATTCATCATATTTTTATGGGAGCATGCTCAGGTAGTGTAGATTCAAGTTTGTTCAAATCATGACCCCCGGGGGTAGGGCGGGGCCAAAATGGCCGACCAAAGTTTTACATAGAAATATATAGGAAAATTCTTTAAAAATCTTCTTCTCAAGAATGACAAAGCCATAATTCATCATATTTATATGGGAGCATGCTCAGGTAGTGTAGATTCAAGTTTGTTCAAATCATGACCCCCGGGGGTAGGGCGGGGCCAAAATGGCCGACCAAAGTTTTACATAGAAATATATAGGAAAATTCTTTAAAAATCTTCTTCTCAAGAATGACAAAGCCATAATTCATCATATTTATATGGGAGCATGCTCAGGTAGTGTAGATTCAAGTTTGTTCAAATCATGACCCCAGGGGGTAAGGCGAGGCCAAAATGGGCGACCAAAGTTTTACATAGAAATATATAGGAAAATTCTTTAAAAATCTTTTTCCCAAGAATGACAAAGCCATAATTCATCATATTTATATGGAAGCATGTTCAGGTAGTGTAGATTCAAGTTTGTTCAAATCATGACCCCCCGGGGTAGGGCGGGGCCAAAATGGCTGACCAAAGTTTTACATAGAAAAATATAGGAAAATTCTTCAAAAATCTTCTTCTCAAGAATGACAAAGCCATAATTCATCATATTTATATGGAAACATGCTCAGGTAGTGTAGATTCAAGTTTGTTCAAATCATGACCCCCGGGGGTAGAGCGGGGCCAAAATTGCCGACCAAAGTTTTACATAGAAATATATAGGAAAATTCTTTAAAAATCTTCTTCTCAAGAATGAAAAAGCCATAATTCATCATATATATATGGAAGCATGCTCAGGTAGTGTAGTTTCAAGTTTGTTCAAATCATGACCCCCCGGGGTAGGGCGGGGTCAAAATGGGCGACCAAAGTTTTACATAGAAATATATAGGAAAATTCTTTAAAAATCTTCTTCTCAAGAATGACAAAGCCATAATTAATCATATATATATGGAAGCATGCTCAGGTAGTGTAGTTTCAAGTTTGTTCAAATCATGACCCCCCGGGGTAGGGCGGGGTCAAAATGGGCGACCAAAGTTTTACATTGAAATATATAGGAAAATTCTTTAAAAATCTTCTTCTCAAGAATGACAAAGCCATAATTAATCATATATGTATGGAAGCATGCTCAGGTAGTGTAGATTCAAGTTTGTTCAAATCATGACCCCCAGGGGTAGGGCGGGGCCAAAATGGCCGACCAAAGTTTTACATAGAAATATATAGGAAATTTCTTTAAAAATCTCCTCAAGAACAACAAAGCCAAAATTGATCATATTTATAAGGAAGCATCCTCAGGTAGTGTAGATTCAAGTTTGTTCAAATCATGACCCCCAGGGGTAGGGCAGGGCCAAAATGGCCGACCAAAGTTTTACATAGACATATATAGGAAAATTCTTTAAAAATCTTCTTCTCAAGAATGACAAAGCCATAATTGATCATATTTATATGGAAGCATGTTCAGGTAGTGTAGATTCAAGTTTGTTCAAATCATGACCCCCAGGGGTATGGCGGGGCCAATATGGACGATCAAAGTTTTACATAGAAATATACTGTATCATTAGGAGAATTCTTTAAAAATCTTCTTCTCAAGAATAGCAAAGCCATAATTGATCATATTTATATGGAAGCATGCTCAGGTAGTGTAGATTCAAGTTTGTTCAGATCATGACCCCCAGGGGTAGGGCAGGGCAAAAATGGCCGACTAAAGTTTTACATTGAAATGTATAGGAAAATTCTTTAAAAATCTTCTCCTCAAGAATAGCAAATACATAATTGATCATATTTATATGGAAGCATCCTCAGGTAGTGTAGATTCAAGTTTTTTTTCAAATCATGACCCCCAGGGGTAGGGCGGGGCCAAAATGGCCGACCAAAGTTTAACATAGAAAGGTATAGGAAAATTCTTTAAAAATCTTCTTCTCAAGAATAGCAAAGCCATGATTGGTCTTGGGACTACATTTGGATTTATTTTAGCTTTTCATGTATAAACCAATTCTGCTTTTTCCTTGCCACCGTGCTCAGGTGAGCGATGTGGCCCCTGGGCCTCTTGTTACCATGTATACTAGAATATCATTACTGTCTTCTATCATAATGATACCTTAACAAAATAATGAATTCACATTGTATATTGACAGATTATCAGATGACTTAGTGTTCCACATTCTTAAAGTCACGGTTCAGGAATCCAGTAAGCTTCTCAGTGATGCTGCTAACTTGGACAAGACCAATTTTGAGCAGATGTTGTCTTCTTTGCCTGTAAGTAGCAGTGTTGAAATGAAAAAAAATCATTTCAAAGTCATTTCACCGAATTCTTACTTGTATCTTTTTGAGCAAAAGAATTAACAGATTTAAGAATAAAATTTTTTGGCTTGACAGATTGCCTCCCCTTGTCTACGATACATGATGGCCCTGCAATCTCATCTCCTGAGAGAAACTGTGTTGATGAAACAGAGTACAGAAAACTCATCACCAGAGCAAGATAAGAACATGCAGGTAATATTTCTCAGATTTCTTTTGTGGTGGTGCAAATGTAACTTGGTGTAATTTGTTTTATACATGAAACCATGGGTAAAAAATAGAAAGAGGCTTAATCTCATAGAATGTGTAATTGACAATTTTATTTTATAGGAACTGATGATAGCAATAGCAAAATTAGCATCAAGAATTTTCTCTGGATCTTGTGAGGTAAGGGTTCAAATTTTCTATTCCATCACTAACTTAGTTTCTTGATGATTCAACATTTTCCCCAATTGTTATGTTTGCTCAACCCCTACCCCCACCCCCCTTACCACCACTCCATCGGAGTCCATCCTACCATTATTTTTATGAATAAGGAATGTGATTAACAACATTTTTCTCCGCAGGTGCTAGAAGTTTTAATAACAACCTGCAATGCTGTCATCCACAAATTCAAGGAAGAAAGAGAGGTTAGACTCCAGGGCCTGGAGCGCATTGCCAAGGCCACCATTCTGGGACACTTACTACCAGTCTTGCTGACCGCCATGAACCATGTCAATCTACATTGTCTCCCCCTGGCTGATGAACTGATGCCCAAACTTGTCAACCTGGTTGTGCTCTCAAGTCAGGTATAATGAAAGTTTGTTTTTTAAAGTTTTCATTTTACAAGATAGGATAAAGGCCTTAAACTGTCCATTCTGTAAGAGGAAGAAAAAAATTGAGGACATAGGGCAAATTAAATTTTAAAAATGTAAAAAACTGATCTTGTCTTGTTAAATTATTTTATTTATTTTTGTGACAATTTTAGGCTGCTCTGCTTCTGAAGAGTCATGTTGAGGCTGTGATGCAGGATGACCTAGATTCTGACACGGACACACACGTCATGGAACTGATGGCTCCCACAGTGGATATAGAGGAGTAAGGAACAATAACTACTTGTCAAAATGAAAATAAAAAACAACAACAACAAAAAAAGAAAATAAATTTTGTTTCAAATTCCATGAATTTTATATGTGCCTGCATGTTAAATAGCAGTGAAAGATATCCTCTTACTATTTATCCTGACATGTATTTATTTTGCATTTGTGTTTTCTATAAACTAGTGTAACTAGTGAGGACACCGAGGAGCAAGGCTTTTTAGCTGGATTGAAAATCCCGGCCCCCTGGTCCTCTGGGAAGACAGTAGAAAGCATCCACCCAGTGAGGGACAACTACAGGTTTAAGGAGACGGTACACATCCCCGGGGCCAGGTGCCTGTATCTGAGATTTGACCCCAGGAGTTCCTCCCAGTATGATTATGACAAGGTATACTGCTGGGCAGGTGAAAAAGAGGATAGATTAATAAAAAGCTTTTTTAAAGAATTCTGTGCAATTTTATTCACAAAATAAATCCAATAAATTGGGAATTTATTCTAGTCTTAAATGGATTTGAATATCTCTGCACTGAAATACAGGAACAAAAAAGGCAGGAAAAAAAAGCAAACTAATGAAAAATAAATGTCCTCACGGTATCCAAGTTGAATTTCATTAATCTGAAATATACATACATTAAAGTATTGAAATAGAATGAAAATTGCTGTAAATTACATATAAGTGGACAAATTCTGTTGTAAGAGAGGTTTACTGTGAGATTGAGTATGATTGATATGCATACTACCGGTAATGCCAATTGCATTGGTTATATGTATTTCAATACTTACAGCTTGTGATTTATGCTGGCCCAACCACAAATTCCAAGAAAGTACTGGAATATGGAGGGAACACATTTGGATTTGGGAGTAGGAGTGTCCTAGGATCAGGCTGGCCAAAGGACTTAGTAAAAGTATGTAGGCTACATCTTAAATTTAATAATGTATATGCTATAAAATGCACCAATAATAAAATTTATGGCCAGTGCAAGGTGGAAAAAAACTTGACTTGCAAAGCAGGTAAACATTTTTCATTCTGATGAAGATTTACTTTACATGTTTTTTGTAGGTTGATGGGGATACAGTGACATTTTCTTTTGAGATGAGAAGTGGACGTGAACACAACACACCTGACAAAGCCATGTGGGGATTTCTCGTCACAGTCAGAGCTCAGGTAATCACTTAATTTTATGGAGCCAATTTTCATGGCCAGGGAATATTAACATTACTCATTCAGTAGGCAGCATAATACAGTTTTATGCAGTATTCATCTTGACCAATGAAATTTCAACATTTTATATGTGGCAGAATAATAGTTTATGGAATTTGTAAGTTAAGAGAGTTTATTAGGAAATATAATGATTCAGCAGCATATTGTAAGAATTTTTTTTATCAACTTTGAAGAAAAAATCTAGTATTTAAACATCTTTGGTTAGGCTAAATGAGATTGTGTTCATGTGTGTAAGAATTCAGATTGCTACTCCTGAAACTGTAAAAATCATGTACAGTCAAACTTGTTTTAAGCGGCCACCTTTGGGAAGTCTGGAAACTGGCCACTTAAGACAGGTGGCCTCTTATTCCAGTTTGCCCTGGGACATTCGGTCAATAAATAAACAACATTAAGCACTACAGTTAAATTAATTAATCATAATTAAACAGGTCAGTTTCACAAAAGCTTTTTATGTGTATATGTAATATTTCAAGCTCATTTAAAAAGAATATTAAAGAAATCGAAATGTTTAAGGTTTTGTGCATGTTTCTGTTCCTACATATTAGTTAAAAAATCTTGCATTCATCAGTGTGCCTTTGTTACATTGAAATATTTAATGTTTTTTAAAATTTTCATTAGAAGAAATATATACAGTGCCTGACTATTATCCTTTTTTATAAAGAAAAAAATACACAAAAATACAGTATAATGGTAAATAAGATAAAGCATAGAAATTTAAGTAAGAATATGTTCATTTTCTTATGTTAAAAAAATTGGTCAGCAGTGTAACACCCCCCCCCCCTTCAACTTAATTAATCAGTAATTAAATTACTCGCTGGTGTTTTTAAAGTTCTGGTTAATTGTACTGTTTATAAAGATGTCAGAATTTCTATGTAACATACACAGACACACAAATAAAATTAACCAGTTGACCAGAGAGATGTATTTACGCAGTTGAAAATCACTCCATAACACAGGTGTCATGTGCAGTAGAGCGTAACTAATCCCTATCGGTAGTCTCTTGAATAGTGAAATACACGAGATAATCATGCCATATGAAGCACTTTGTTTTTACAAGAGTAGCAGTTAGGGCTTCTACATGGAAACAAAATCTAAAAGGTGTGAATTTCTTTAGCTAGAGGAAAGTATCAATTGTAATTAAATTCTTTTAATTTTTCAATCGGCGATCTTAAAAAAAAATTACAAATGGATCTAACAGGACAAATATTTTTTTTTCATAAACACAGAGTTCAGCGTATCTAAAAGCAATTTGTTTTATTGCATTAATAGGTTAAATTGACTATCGAGGATATGATTACCCAAGCAGTGCGTTTAAAAGATAATATATGATCGCAACAAGTGACGAAATGGCCACCTATTACAGTGTCAATAAGAGTTTTACCCAGGTGGCCGTTTATTCCAGTTAAAATATATAGGAAAAACCGTCGGGGGGAACATGGCCGCTGACTGTGAGTGGCCGTTGATTTCATCACTGTAATACGTATGTATGTGTATGGTGTGTTTATCAAACTTTGCCTATTTAGGAATCCACAGAGGAGGTGTCCAGTGGTCTACCCTTCCTAGCTGATTTGGCCCTGGGTCTTTCTGTCCTAGCCTGCACCATGTTACAGCTACTGTACAGAGGCCCTGAAACAACACAGCAAGAAGTTAACTGTCAGCATCTCCTAAAGTCTAAACTTTTACAAAGGTTTGTATGCCGTTGAGTTGAAAAATTATTTTTATCTAAACAAGATTGCAGATTGTGATATTATTTAAAAAATAGACATCACACAAACTTCTTATTGAAATAAAACTTTGAATTTATAGAAAAACGTTTTCAAATTGCTTTTTAATATATTTTTATATATATTAATGTGGGATTCTTACTTAAGCAAATTTTGTCAGCCTTTCTTGCACTAATTCTGAAGAATGCCAAAACAAAAAATTTACATACAATTACTTAATGTTATTGAAACACCAATGAAGCTTTTTCAAATTAATCAATTCTGAATTCTGTGCATTGTAGGTGTGTATGGCAGTCAGGATCAGATCCAGATGTCCTCATGGATAGTCCGTCCTCAACTGAAGACTCCGCGGACTCCTCATTGGCCAGAATTCGACTCTCTGCAGAAATCCTCCAGAACCTTAGAAAATTGTGTAGGCGACAGGCACCTCAGCTGAGACCCAGCATCAGGTATAGAATATCAGGCCTTAAAATCTGCATAATTTATTTGTCAATGTAAATTATTAAATTCTATATATATTTATGCTTGAATATTTTGCCCCTGTAAAATTTACATGGTAACACGTTATTTACATGAACTTGCCTGTATATCTTTTGAGTTCAGTATTTCTTTGATTAAACAGAGACGTGATTAACCCAGAAGATCTGGAGGAGAGAATTGTGTCAGCAGTACTGAAGCACTTGTCTCTCCAGGAAACAGTATTCAGACTGGCAAAGGCCGAGAACCAGCAAACTGAAGAGTTTATATTACTGAGGGCTGTTATTCAGGAAGTGTACACCAAGATAGATGCCTTGTTAAGACAGCTTCAGGTATGGCTTGTCTAGAATTAGTACATGCCCCTTCTCTCTTCTTCTCTCTGAATATTAGATATGAATTTTACATTATGTTATATCTTTGATGTTAAATACATGTTTGTTAAATCTACAGTAAAACATACTTATAATAAAGTGCCAGGGATGGACGATTTTGCTTCGTTAAAAATGTAATTTGTTATATTCATTACCTTCACATTATGTTTTAAACTCACAGGGAATGAAAGTCATTTCGCTGCGAGCATCAGTTCATTATAAGGGTGCTCAGTATAAGTGTGTTTTACTGTAAATTACCTGTAAGGACTTGTTAGGGCCCCGCAAGGATTTGCGGGTGCCCTATAGTAATCACTCTGTCTGTCTGTCTGTCTGTCTGTCCATCTGTCTGTCCGTCTGTCATTCCTCCGTCCACAAATTTTCTGTTTTTTCCTAATAACTTTTTCTATGCTCGCCCAATTAAGATCAAATTTTGTATGGTAGTTCAATAGGCAGAAAGACGTATTTTGATGCTAAGTTTGTTTCTCTATGTCCCCTGGTTTGGAGCTGGGGTGGTGGGGTAGATTCCTTAACTTTATATAAGAATGCATTGGCAAAGAGAGATAACTGCTGAAGATGTTGCCATTGTAAACTGAATGCTGCTATGAGTCCCTTGGGATTAATTAGCTTTCCTCCTGAAGAAAATCCAAAGCATTATCTTTATCTGCATTGAGATGAATTACCACCTCTGTTTGCAAATGAAGTTTGTTTTAAAGTTAAGTCAATTTTGAATGCTATGAGCACTCTGAAATGTGGATTTAAATATAAATATTTATACTTTATTTTTTCATTGAATTTTAAAAATATGAAATATATTAGAGAGGATATATTTTTTTATTTTTACCTTTTTTTCCCTTTATGTAAATTCAAGAATATTTTTAATTTTTAAGGTAGTTGTACAAAAACCCCATTCAAACTAGAGGTACTGTGAGCAATGAGCTCACTAAATGATATCCCCCGCCTCCCATATGATTATAACTGATGACAAAGTCCATGTTTTGCTGTGGCCGGGAAACCCAAAATGTGTGTCGGATCAAAAAGTAAAATAGGAGGTGCACAATGGCAATATATAATAAAGATTCTGTGAAAGTTTCATTAAATTTCACTCATTGGTATAAGAGGAGTTGCGGATAAGAGATTGGTACCCTAAAGCGTAACAGACGGACGGAAATCCCGATTACTATATACCCTCCCACTTTTCAAGCGGGGGGTATAATAATACTGAAAAGTTCTAAAGTTGTAAATTTAGAAGCTAGATATTGATGAGAGAGAAGTAAATTTATCCCTTGGGATTAATTATGGCTTGCAGAAAATTTAGTAGGCTTGTCTTTATCTGCCACTTTAAGATAAATGAAAACCTTTGTCTGCAACTGCTGTTTGTTTTGACATTAAGGTCAAGCCTTCATGATATTTGCATTCATTGCAAATGAAGGCTGTTAGTTGTTCTTTTTTGCCTAATGTAAGTAATAGATAAACCATACAATTTTGACTGTTTTCAAGGATATTATTTACAGGTTTCTGAATATTCAGGAATTATCTTGAAATTTTAAGAATACAGTTGCTGTTGCTTAATTCTTCGTACATTTTTTAATCATTCCGCAAGCTGCACACTTATAATTCTACCCCATGGCGGGGCCCTTGCTGACTGGTCAGTTTTCTAGTTTCTACATGTTGTTATTGGTTCGACTTTTCAGAGTCTGGCTGAGCTAGAACAAAGATGGCACAGTGAAGTGATGGACCACAAAGAAGGAAATACCACTGTCCCACCTTTCTTTGCTGATTTCCATCTTCAAGAGGTATTAAAATGATAACAGTAAAATTATATTTCTTATCAAACAAATACTGCCAGTACATGTATTAAAATTATACTTCTTATCAAGCAAAATACTGCCAGAATTGCAGATAATGATCATTGGAATATTTGTTTTAATTTTTTTTGTAGACAAAAGCAAAGGAACTTGCCATGCTGTGTTTTATGAAGGAAGTCCCATTAGAATCTGACAATGAAAGGGCCGTAAAAAGTTTAAGGTCAGATTTAAGATCAGAAAATCAATCCAATGGCATTATTAACTGAAAAGTTGTAACAAATTTCAAAGCCATACAAGATGGTAGCATAATGAATATGTTGTAACTTGGTACATGTATATGTTTTTCAGGGAGAAATTTGACAATGACATTGGAGATGAAACCTTCACCTCAGTGAAATCTGTCATGCCTAGGACTCAGCACATCATGAAGGGCCTCAGGGCCAGACTTGACTTACTTCTGCAGGTTACCATAGCACCAGGGGAGGGGTTACATGTGTCAAGGTCCATCTCAAATAACCAAGAAAGTGGTATGCCTACTCTTTGTATATTACCATTGTTTCTTTACAGGCAACTAGCAGTTCAAGTAAAATGACACAGCTTTATGAAGATTGTGACTGAATAATAAAACAATGAATCTTAATGACATTACACTGACATTACCACTGTGACATTTTGCAGTGTTAGGAGTAATGGTGAGATCAGATACAGATGTATTAGCCCAGATGACCAGGAGTGTCTCAGTCCCAGCTGGTGTGGAAAGTTTCCAGGACGACTCAATACTAGACATTACTGTTAAACAAAGGTAAGGTGCTCTATGTGATTATTTTGTGAATGGTGAATTAGATAATACAAAACATGATCTAAATGTGTATGTTTAGTTCAGCAGTGATAATTTATATTAGTAGAAAATACTGAGAAATGTCAGTTTTACTTATTGGAGTGATAGATATTTTTTTAGAAAATAAAGGTTGATTTACTTGACTTTTCTATGAAAGGAAAAGGAAAACCCATCGCCGGACCCCATCTAGTGTTCTCCAGGACTTGGTGGATGGAGAGGGACGAGACAAACCTCCTCATACTATTCTGATTGATCAGCTGTTCTCATTTATTGGGAGCAATCCTGAAAAAGCTGTGAGTTCAAAGATCCTTTGTTCAGCTCTAATTTAACTGTATTGTCTTCTTTGTAAGACATGAAATGTTTTTGCTTTCTATTGAAACATGATTGAATATATTCTTGTTTTTGTTTAGATATCGCCCAAAGATTTCTTGTCAGCAGCAGCGACTCGACTAAAGAGAGGAAATACTCGTAAACAAGCATTAATCCACATGAAGGAGCTGTTGACAGCAGCCACAAAAGTGGGCGGGGCCACACATCTAGTGGCAGCTGTCACTTCTGTCCTGCAATCTGGACCCTGGTAATTAAACCTTAATCTGAAATCTTACTGCAGAGACTGTATAGTTAAACTCTGTAAGGGCAAACTTAAAAAAACGTAATATGAAGTGACTATAAAAAGAGAAAAAAAATGAAATATTGGAGAGTTCAGAATATGAAGTTAAGACACACATGCACATTGCAGTTTGAAATTTCAATTCTTTGATGTATACCTGGTACAATTAAGAAACATCAGATTTAAGTTACTGTTCAACCGATTTTATAAATTTTGAATAAATTCACTCAATACAGCATGCATGTAAATCAAGTAAATATCATCCCAAACTATACTTTGTGATGGATTTGTTCTTTTTTCCAGTGTTGAGGAGCTGACCTGTGGAGGAATGGTTCCACAAGTGAGGGAAGCCTTCGCTGAGACAATGACAGCTGTAGTACAACTGGCCGCCAAGTACCCCATAGCCTGCTCCAACAGTATAGGACTTCTGTGTACAATACCTTATACCAGGTAGGCAGAGTATCCCATATTCTGCTTTTACAGTATTGGTTGCTACTTTACAAAACTAGAAGTGGAAAATGAATACAGTTGTTTCTTTTGCATTATGAAATCTGTTTGATTTTGACTTACAGAGCTGAGGAGAAGTGTCTGGTGAGGTCAGGTTTAGTTCATCTACTGGACAAGTTATGTAGCCTGGCCAACCTTAGATCAGACACATCAGAGACTCAGTCTGTCAATCAAAAGGTGTCGGCAATGGCGTGGGCAGGGTTTCAGGTCCTGGCCAATCGCTGTGTCATGTGGGAGACAGAAGATGGTAAGTTAAAGTTTTAAGTGTGTATTATAGACATCTCTAATTTCTGCGGGTGAAGCTTTCTGCATAAACAAATTAGTTGAATTCTTATCTTTGGTTTGGTTTTGCTAATACAATCATGTATCAAAAGTTAGTTATACTGTAGATGAGTGTTCAATAGGGTTGACTTAATCAGACTTGCTAACATTAAGTATAGACTTATTCATTCAAAAATAATCTTTAGTAGAATAGTAATGCAGACATTGTTGTGAATTTGTGTTTTTTATTCACAGGAAGTCAGATAGAAGAGCTAGAACACTCGGGCCTCGCTCGTCAGGTGTCTGTGTTATTGACCAATCATCTTGCCCGAGCCACGGAGTGTATTGGTAACGAGGCAGCGGGGACAGAGGCTCTACAGGACGTACTGAGTCTACTGAACACCTTGGCCCGGAGTCGTATGGGGAGGGCCATACTTAGTCAGCCAGCCTGTGTGTCAAAACTACTTTCACTGTTACTGGATCAGAGGTAATGCAAAATTTGTCTTTGTTTGAGTTTAGCTTTTAGGTATTAGTGAAGTTAGTGTATCTCTTTTTAGCTGTTTGGTATGGTATTATGTTTGTAATATCTTGATTAGAAGAAAAAAAAATCATCATTCAAATTTATGCTTTTGCTTTAATAGCAGACTGTTTGTATATTATTACATTGCATTGATGTGTTCTTTTATCATCGTTACAATAGATTTCAAAATATGGATACAAATAATTACATGTATGTAAAAACTTCATAGCTTTGCTTTCCTTTACTTTTACACACATCGAAAATTCTCACCAGATTTTAGAAAATAAATTAATGGTGAAGAGACAGCTTTATGTTAATACTGAATAAAGAATACAACATTTCCTTCTATTTCAGACCCTCTCCTAAGCTAGTCCTGATCATTCTTCAGCTGTGTCGCGTGGCCCTGCCCCTGATGAACACCGCTGACTGTGAGCTGGTAGAACTCCCCGTCTGGGGCCAGCATCTGACCACCACTCACTGGAACACCTCCGAACCCATCTCGGATCCTCCCGCCAAAATCGTCAGCCTCCTTCTTGCCAAGCTGGGAGACTTTCTTGTACCTGGTATGTAATATTTTTATGATATCTGCAGTATTTCCAAAAGTTTTTAAAGTGAAGGTTGATAAAATAAACAAGATATAATGTTTGAACTATTAGATATTCCCTGCTTTTTCTAAAGAGAGGGGACATCAAGTCTCTATCATTTATCTGTCTGTCAGTTTGACAAAAATGAGTAAAACTCTAAATTTGGACATAACTTTGGAATGAGAGAAGACAGGGGCTTTCAAATTTTAATTTCAGTGCCAATACAGATAAATTTGATATAACCCACATAAACTGACAATCAAATTCAAATCATAAAATGAATATTGAATATTATTAATTTTTGGCTTTGACAGGTGATTATGCTACTCTGGTGAGCCGACGCCCCTCTGTGGACTTGACCCAGGGTAAACCCCAGACAGGGGACAAAGAAAAGTCGGAGGAATCAGACATTCAGGCGGGAAAGTTATCTGTGTTCATCCACAAGAGGGAGGATCAGTTATCTCATGAAGTCATTCAACCTCTGCTGGGGTACGAATTGTGAATGCTTCATTCTTTAATGTACATTTAGTTTATTTTCGAAACAAGTTCAAATTCAATTCATTTATTGACAACACCATCATACATTGGCATATAGTCATGAATACAACAATTAACATACATAAAATAGAATATCCAAGTATGCATATCAGGTTTGTTGAAGGTTTTCCTTCCTGATATCAAAGCACTTTTTCAAGAAGTTACATATTCTTCTAGTAGTTTTAATACTTGTAGTGTTGATAATATCAATAAAAGGGTTTTACTTCATGTAACAATGAGCATTTATTTATCTCGCAATATTTTAATCTACATTGATCATAAATAGGACAATAAAGAACAAAAATGGTTTTCAATAAAAAATTTACAAAAATGACATACACGTTTTTCTCTAGGAATAGGTGGCCTTGAGTATCACCCCATTTCAATATGTAGTGTATGAGCACTAATTCTTAGTTTTGTTGGGATTGTTCTTTCAGATTTCTTCAATGGTAATTGTAGATAGTTTTGTAATTTATATTCATTTAAATCAATTATATTACTATAAAAAGTTAATTTCCCAGAATTTGATTTAGAAATGTTCTTTAATTGTTCACTGATTTTGTGTCTATAATGTTCTTCTAATTTATATTGTAAAGTTTTATGTGATATGTCCAATGAAGATAAAGACAATTTCTATTGTAGAGTATAAAGTTTTCTTTGCCAAGTTATGAGTAGAAACAAACTTTTTAAAAAGGAAACTTATTCTGTGTGTTTGAGTGTTTTATCGATGACATGCATTTGTTTTGTAGGTCAGATAACAGGCCATTTAGAATTGGAGGAGGTGCTAACATGGAGAGAGTTGTTCGTATGGACAGAGAAATGACAAAGGTAAATCTTAGTTATGTATTATAAATATCTGTCATGCATGTACATTGATATTAATTTTCAAGGATTATTCATGCATACTAAGTGAGCAAAGTGCCTCCTCTTTACAGTTTTTTTCTGTCTTTGACTCTAGTAGGTGCTGTTATTGGTAAAAATCATTTTTTTTTAAAACAATTGTCTTCTCTGAATCTTTGTAATCTGTAAGATAAAATCTAGTATATTTTGCCCTAAATCTTCCTATTTTCCATTTAGAGTGGTAAAGCAGAGGTCACAACAGAAGATGCCATAACTGCTCTGAAGAAGGCAGCTAAATGGGCACAGATGGGCTTAGTGGTGTCAACAGGCCCACCAGTGGAGAGTGGGCAGGCTGATACGCCCACTGGGGACAAAAAGAAACAACCAGTGGATGTAGTGTGCAGGGAGAAAAATACAGAACTAGCAAGGTATGAAAAAACTTACTGATAAATATATTATTGACACTTTCAGATAAATTTTGTTAATTTGTTAAACTAAGTATACTTAATATTAAACAGCCGAAAATATTTTATTCAGGTGCACAACAATATATTCTTATATTATTATAGGGTACCTGATAAAGGTGCACAAATAATATAATAACCTAACGCTGCAATTGTTTTACAGGACTGACCCAATAAGACCCTTCATCAGTGGACATGTTGCTAACAACATGGCTACAGAAGTGATAGCTCTCCTTCATGGTCTGTTGAATGCTCCTGAGACACACACGGCTCAGTCATGGTCTCAAGCTGTTCAGAGGGTATGTAAACTTAGGGAAAGTTAGCCGGGGGGATATTCTGTGTACATATATTTTTTCGCAGTTCACTTATAAACTCAAGATTATCTTTTTTTCAAACTGTGTAGAATTAATTTATGCCATTTTAACATGTTCACATGGTTCAAAATTCATTAGGACAGACTTGTAAACATTTTGGTTTAATTATGGGAAGCTTTGCTATACATAAACCTATTTCAGGTACTTCACAACTCCCTGTCCTGCCTGCCCCTGTTGCTGGCCTCTTTGGACACCCTGTCGTCTCCTCGCTGTAACAACAAACAACTCATGTCCATGTCTAAGATGGCTAACGCCGCTCTTTGTGCACTAGGAGGCTTCACAGAGATGATCAAACCAGGCTGTGAAGTCAAAGTAAGATAAGAAACTTCCAAAGAAATTACTATGCCTGCAATATATACTAATATATTGCACTATAATACAAAAACAAAATGTATATACATTCATTTCAAATATGGTAAAAAAGGAATGAAACGTAAGCTGATGAAATGCCTTTTTAGCTCACCTCGACGAAGTCGAGATGAGCTTATGCTATACCCCCGGCGTTGGCGTCGGCGTCGGCGTCGGTGTCGGCGTCGGCGTTAGCGTCGGCGTCCCAGGTTAAAGTTTTAGGAGCAAGTCCATTCCCAAGTAACTATAAGCCCTATCTGATCCAAACTTGCATGGATGTTGCATCTAGGGATGTACACTACCAGACTTGCTTCGGATGCTGGATCTGACCTACATTTTCTAGATGAGTGACCAGGTTAAAGTTTTTGGAGCAGGTTAAAGTTTTTGGAGCAGGTCCATTCCCAAGGAATTATAAGTCCTACCCAGACCAAACTTGCATGGATGATGCATCTAGGAATGTACACTACCAGACTTGCTTCGGATGCTGGATCTGACCTACATTTTCCAGATGAGTGACCAGGTTAAAGTTTTTGGAGCAGGTCTATTCCCAAGGAACTATAAGCCCTACCTGAACCAAACTTGCATGGATGATGCATCTAGGGATGTACAATACCAGACTTGCTTCGGATGCTGAATCTGACCTACATTGTCTAGATGAGTAACCAGGTTAAAGTTTTTGGAGTAGGTCCATTCCACAGGAACTATAAGCCCTATTTGGACCAAACTTGCATGGATGATGCATCTAGGGATGGACACTACCAGACTTGCTTCGGATGCTGGATCTGACCTACATTTTCATTCCCAAGGAACTATGAGCTCTATTTGGACCAAACTTGCATGGATGATGTATCTAGGGATGGACACTACCAGACTTGCTTCGGATGCTGGATCTGACCTACATTTTCATTCCCAAGTAACTATAAGCCCTACCTGAACCAAACTTGCATGGATGATGCATCTTAGGATGGACACTACCAGACTTGCTTCGGATGCTGGATCTGACCTACATTTTCATTCCCAAGTAACTATAAGCCCTACCTGAACCAAACTTGCATGGATGATGCATCTAGGAATGGACACTACCAGACTTGCTTCGGATGCTGGATCTGACCTACATTTTCATTCCCAAGTAAGTATGAACCCTACCTGAAGCAAACTTGCATGGATGATGTATCTAAACACTACCAGGCTTGCTTCGGATGCTTACCTACATTTTCATTCCCAAGTAACTATAAGCCCTAGCTAAACCAAACTTGCATGGATGATGCATCTTAGGATGGACACTATTAGACTTGCTTGGGATGCTGGATCCGACCTATATTTTCCATACAAGAGCCCAGGTTAAAGTTTTGGGAACAGATCAATCCGAATGAACTTGAAGTCTTTGATATCTGCAGTTTTAACAGTTATGAATATTTGTTTACACAATACATGTTTTTCACACTACATGCATAGAAATGTGTATATACCATGTAGAGGGTTAAGCATAACTTGCAAGAATATTGTTGTTGGGATGAATACTTAATATTAAGAAAATATGATGTAGGATTTGCATTACTTAAACTGATAACATTCGTCGAGGTGAGCTTCGTAATCTTTGATTACCTATGTTTAGGTCTCCTGAGTAACTCAGGTGACCTATTGCTATCCGTTTTCGTCCGTTGTCGTCCGTCGTCCGTCGTGCGTCGTGTGTCGTGTGTTAACATTTGAACATTTTCAGCTTCTTCTCTGAAACCACTGAATTAATTTCAACCAAATTTGGTATACAGCTTCTATGGCTGAAGGGGAACAAAAATTGTGAATTTCATGGTCCCCGCCCCCTGGGGCCTGAGGGGTGGGGCCAAAACCACTAAAATTAATGAAATCTTTAAAAATCTTCTTCTTTACTCCTGGACATCAAGCAGGCAAACTGTTGATATGAATGTAATGAGCATTGAGTCCTCTACCAAAATTGTGAAATTCATGGCCCCAGGGTCAGGGGTTCTAGTGCTAGGGCGGGGCTCTATAGCTTATATAGTGAAAATGCATTATTTCTTTGAAAATCTTCTTCTCTGCTCCTGGGTATTAAATAAACTAACTAAGTACATAGTTATGATGAGCAGGAGTGCCTCTGATTTGTGAATTTTATGGCCCCAGGGTCAGGGGTTCTGGTGTTAAGGCGGGGCTCTATAGATTATATAGTGAAAATGCCTTATTTCTTTGAAAATCTTCTTCTCTGCTCCTGGGTATTAAATAAACTAACTAAGCACATAGTTATGATGAGCAAGAGTGCCTCTTCCAGATTTGTGAAATTCATGGCCCCAGGGTCAGGGGTTGTATTGCTAGGGCGGGGCTCTATAGATTATATAGTGAAAATGCATTATATTTTTGAAAATCTTCTTCTCTGCTCCTGGGTATTAAATAAACTAACTAAGCACATAGTTATGATGAGCGATAGTGCCTCTTCTAAAATTGTGAATTTTATGCCCCCAGGGTCAGGGGTTCTGGTGTTAGGGTGGGGCTCTATTGATTATATAGTGAAAATGCATTATTTCTTTGAAAATCTTCTCTGCTCCTGGGTATCAAATAAACTAACTAAGCACATAGTTATGATGAGCAAGAGTGCCTCTTCCAGATTTGTGAATTTTATGGCCCCAGGGTCAGGGTTCTGGTAGTAGGGCAGGGCTCTTTTGATTATATAGTGAAAATGCATTTATTCTTTGAAAATCTTCTTCTCTGCTTCTGGGTATTAAATAAACTAACTAAGCACATAGTTATGATAAGCAGGAGTGCCTCTTCCAGATTTGTGAATTTTATGGCCCCAGGGTCAGGGGTTCTGGTGTTAGGGCGGGGCTCTATAGATTATATAGTGAAAATGCATTATTTCTTTGAAAATATTTTCCTTTGCTTTGGGGTTTTATGCCAATGATCCAAGTATATATATATTTATGATGAAGAAAGGTGCATCTAGCAAAGTGGGTTTTTTATGCCCCCAGGGTCAAGGGGGGGGGGGGGTTACATAGTCTGAAAATAAATTAATGCTTTGAAATCTGCCCTTTGCTCTGAATCAACCATTTTATGATTACATTTGCAAAATTTTGAAATATGTGGCCCATGGGTCATTGGGTGAGGTGCACAACTGGTTATAAAGTGGAAGTACATTTTCTCTTTGGGTATTAAGTAAATAGAGTAAGCATGCTAAGTTAATAATTATGATAAGCAATGGTGCCCCTTTCAAAATTGTAAATTGTGAATTTCATGGCCTCCGGTTTAAAACACGAACCAAATATAATTGTTTGAAAGTTGTTACACAATACTCAGGTGACCTATAAGGCCCGTGGGCCTCTTGTTAATTTACCCATAAGGAATATAAAGCATATTACATGTAATTTTTCTGCAATTATTCTAGACTGTACTTGTCTTGTTATTTGACACAGATGCTAGGACCAGGAATAGATGATAGTCGTGGTTCAGTGATAAGTGTGTCAGAACAGACAGGGATGGTCACGGTTCAGTTAGATCCAGAGACAGAGGAGGATAGGCATCCACGCTTCAGCGACACCATTCAGGTTCCATTAACCAGGCTCATCCCTGTCAGAAATGAGGTAAAAAAGAGGAACAAAAAATTTCAACAATTTGAAAAGTGTCTGGAACATGATATCTTTGTATATGGTGGGAATGAGCTATAAAAATAAAAAATTAAATTATCAAAATATTTAAATTTTAAGTGATATGCACATTCCTTCAGATCTGTAATGAGGATTTTTTCTATGCTAATAAACAGACTAATAACAAATATATAATAAAAAAAAATACTAAAGATTTACTTGTATACTATGTAAGAAGAGAGAAACTGGACAATTTTGAATACATTTTAAAGCTAAATGTTTTTGGCTTTTTACTTACTCAGATCTACAAATCTGCCAATGTGCCAGTGACAGAGTCCCTAGTGATGGCCATTAAAGCCATTCTCCTCCCTCAGGATGACGGGACCTGTCCCCTCCAGCAGACCCTGCCAGTCACGGGGGACGGTAACAGCCTCAGCAATCAGGTGTGTCGCGTCGTGGCAGAGCTTCAGACTCGAGCCTGCATGGTGCTCGCTCAGTATCTACAGGACATTGAGTTTACCAAAGAGTTCATTCAGCATTGTGGATCTACCATTGATATTCTGAAGTCACTAGCAAAGGATTGTAATTCAGGTTTGTTAAATCATGTAATCCATGATATACAGGTACTTTTGACATCTGAAAATTTATGTAACAACACAATAATTTGCATAGACATTAAGATATACATGTGTATGTACCTGCTTGTATTTAATTATAGTTTTGATTTACATTGTAGGAGATAGACTCTCTGTGGTTGAAGCCCACTGCAACAGACTGAGGCTATTATACAGGGATTGTGCTAAACCTCCACCCCCACCGAGCAAGCTTGACAGTCGAGCTGTGAGTAGCTTTCATTGATAAAAATATGAAATGCATTTTTCTAAGCTAAATTGCAAAAAAAAGCTTTGTACACAAAAAGCTACATTTACAAATGAAATGCATAGTCAGAAAAGAAATGAGGTAAACTATTTTAAAATGATGTTTATGATGCCAACACATGAACCTTTGATATTTTGAGGATACACTTATTTATTGTGAGCTCTGTGCTGTATTTCCATTAGAATCAGGAGATGTTGCTGGACGCCAATCGATCCTTCCCCCCTGTGCGGGCCTCTGTCTTCTCTCAGGGTATGACAGGAGTGACCTTCCTTGGTGACCCCAGTACAGGAAGTGGACTACCCAGGGGCACCATGATCTATGCCAACCAACCAGTTCCACAACAGGTACGTCATTTTTATAAAAAAAAATATATATATACCTAGGTACAATGTATATATATTCTTTCACAGCAGTCAATAACACGTACATATTCATGAAAATGTATCTATATTACAACGCACTGAATGCTGTTTTGTGCATTATATTGAAATTTATTTTTATTATCCTTGGCATAGCAGAGTGCATACCATAAAAGCTAATTTTCATTGCTTAAATACCTTGAAATAAAGAATTTATCTTCATTCTTTTAATATTTAGTGTAACTAAGAATTCATCTTTATCCTTTAAAATTCTGTGTACATGAAACCAAGTAATTCAAAACTGAACAAAAAAATATTGAGAGAGAATCAATTGACCCTATTCTTCTTTACTTTTAATATAGGCTCCTGCATTTTACTGGGAGTTGGAGATCTGTTCATTTGGAGACAGTCAGGAGGAGAGTGGAGCTGTCATCTCGTTTGGCTTCGCTCCGTCAGCTGACAAGAAAGATGGAGCCTGGACTAACCCTGTAGGAACATGTCTCTTTTTAAAGTAAGTCCTTTAATACAATTTGAGTTTATCTATAGTTTTACATCTACATAAAATTTAGTCTTTAAGTCAAGCAAGAATTTTTCTACATATCATTGGTTATTTTGTTCTCAAGATAAAAAAATGTGATCAGCAATAAATCTTTTATAGCAATGGTAAGGCCGTCCACTATAACGGGGCCAGTCTTCTTCAGTGGAGGAGTGTGAGACTGGACATCACCCTGAATGCTGGGGACATAGCAGGTATAGGATGGGAGAGGACAGGAGAGTCCCCTGTCCAGGGACAGACCCCAAGGGGTAGGGTCTACTTCACGTATAACGGACATCGCCTCAATGCCTATATGGATGATGTTTCTGGTGGAATGTATCCTGTTGTACATATCCAGAAAAAGGTGAAATGCCATTTTTTTCTTCATTTTTTTGCATTTAAGATATGTAATGCAGTATGACATACTGGGTATCTGAATGTTTTGTTGCTGATGGTGGTTTATTTTTTTATTAGAACACAAGAATCAGAGCAAACTTTGGAACCAGGCCGTTTGCTTTTGCTGAAGGACAGCAACATAAGGAGGCGGCTGATGCAGCGAATGACTTGACGAGGGAGATCAGGGAGAGTTTCTGTCACCTGCCATTCCACCCCCACACTGACAGTGAGAACGAGGGAAGCCCCCAGCCCAGCCCTGATACCTCCATGGTGGAGGAAATCAAAGCCCCGAAAGGACCCCCGTGTAAAACTGCAACCATACCAAAACCACAGAATGGTATGTTACCTGTTTATGACAGTTAGCACTTCTTAAATAACTCATATTTGATATTTCAAAACATTATTTTCTTGTACCTATAGTATGTATGAAGTAGTGGTTTTTTTTTTTAACAAGGACTACCATTATTTCATATATCTTCCCAGCTCATCTTTCTCTAATTGGGATGGACCTTTAATGAATGTTTTGCTTTCAGTCAAACTATCAATGTACTTTACAAAGAAACAAAAGGATTTTACAGGAATGGCATTTGATAATCAAAGCTCTCCTTTCAATAACCTTGAACCTTTTTTCAGTATACAACCCAGAAGACTGTCTAGCTTTCAAACTGTTCAGTTGCTATGATAATTTTGTGACGACTGGACCGGATCAGCGAGGACCGGTGATGCAGGACGATGAGTCAGACGAGGAGACAGTGGAGGAGGACAACGGGTCTGAGGACCACTACGCCCTCCTGGTCAAGGCCTGGGAACAGAAGGTGTTCCCCGTCATCAGACGGAGGTTCAGAAACGAGGCAGAGAGGAAGGATGGTTTGGAGCAGATCAGAGGAGCACTACAATTAGGTATCTTCTTCAAATCTGTAATTATCAGGAACATTTCAAGAATCCATATGTAATACAGAGGAGTTTTGAACAGTGATTAAGATGTGGGAATTTTTCTCATTTCTAAAATAATTTTATTTTTCAATGTAGGTTATTTGATTGGTTGTTGTCTAAAATTTCTAATACATGAATCTGAGATCATTTTCTGATGTTCTTCTAAAAAAAATTGTGCTTTATTCTGTAGGTATGACAGATATTGCTCGACAAACAGTGGAGTTTCTTTATGAAGAAAATGGAGGAATACCACGAGATCTCCACCTGCCCACTATAGAGAACATTAAGGAGGATCTAGCTAAGTTTACCATAGAGAGAGTGAGGAAGGGCACCACCGTGGTGATCAGGAACACCGCAGAAACCTCCACCGCAGGCACCACTGTACTGCCCAAGTTTGCTGTCCGCAGTATGCTCAAAACATTTGGTCTGACTGGAAATGTCCTAGATGTTGACAATGTAAGGAACCAGATTTTTATTTTTCATAATATTCATTATTTGTTATTTTGCACATATAAGTGGGGCTTTTGTAAAAGTCAATTGTTTTCAAGTTACAGTAGAAATAAGGCAATGGCATCAAAAACAAATGAAAAATTTGTAAATTGAGTATTTCAAAATGCTTGATTCATTTTATTTCAGTCTAATGAGATTGTACAAGTTGAGGTGTACCTGAGAAGTGAGGGTGTCCTGGTGAGGTTCTGGTACCCTATAGAGATGTTAGAGAGGCCCCCACAGGGACTGAGGAAGTCCAGCATCACCGGGGGTCAGATACTGGACACTTCTAATGTCTTCATACACAGGTTAGAAAACTGACATCTTGAATTTTGTTGAGGGTCTCTTTTTGAATTAAAATCCCAGTACCATGTATTGTTGAATCTGAATGTAATTGTTCAATTATTTTACAGAGAGCTGTTGAGTAGTGAGTCAGTGCTGGCCAAGATGTTCTGTAGGACAGCTCTACTTAAACTGATCGACCACTGTAACTCCCCAGCGATGGAGATTGTCTCCTGTTCTGCCAGTCTGGGCTCAGGAATGGCCGCGAGTGCTGCCCTCCTTCAACAGTTAGACATTGAAAACCTTCAGTTATTGTCCAATGAACTTTTATGTCCACCCCTAACCCATGGTACTGTCATGGCAACAAATCTGACAAATTCACCCTCATTGGCCCAGTGCTTAGCCAATCAGATGTGTTCTCTTACTAAGATATTGTTTAAAGATGAGGATAAGTTAAAAAGAGAGTTGGCTGTAGCCATTGCTAGAGCTGCCAGTCAAGGAGAAGATTATTTGATTGAATTGACAACCCAGATCTGCATATGCTTCCAGGTAATTTTTAACACCTTTAATGTAGTTCATTAAGAAAATCTAAATTGTAAAGATATTTGATAGTTTAAAAGATATTCATAAATTTGTTTTTTTTTTTTCATATACTGTAGATCACTTAATTTTCGCGACACCTTATTTTCGCGAGATAGTCATTGACTCCTGATTAGTGAGACAAAATTTTCGCGAATTGTGGTTATTGCTCTTTATAATCTTAAGGAATACTATTATACCCGAGAATTAAATTTTCGCGAGCACACTGTCTGGCTTAATTACGCAAAAATAAAGTTCTCGCGAATAAAAAGTGATTTACAGTAGTCTTAATTTCATTTTGTGCAAACTAAAGGTCAATGTCAAAACTTCAGGACATGTCAAGGTCAAATATCAAGGTGAAGGAGCATATAATGCTGATACTTTTAAAGTATTATATGTTACAAATTCTTGTTTGCTTTTATTTCAGACTGCCCCTGAGATGTTCCCTTATGAAGAATTTCCTGTAACAGAGGTCAAGGTTAACACAGACCTCCACTTCCCAGGGGCAGGGTGTCTGGTGGTGTCCTGTAAAACTGACTCCAAAGCTGCAAAGAAAGAGTAAGCACATTTTCCCCTTTACTGTTACATGTAATCCTGAACAAATTGATCTGACATATTACTATTTCATTTTTCTTTTATCAGTACATCCCTGTATAAGTCCCCATGGGCCAGAGTGTTTTCTTACACTGGACAGAGGATTAAAAAGACGGGAAATGCTGCAAAACTGGAAGTTGTGTGTTATCCAAGAGACACCACCTCTACCAGTAATCAGAATGAACAGTACAGCCCTGCCATTGTCCCCACTGACAGGGTCCACATCCGACTGGGTGTCTCCCCACCCCCAGGGATTATCCTGACCATCCATGCCCTGCCCCCACAGTTTCTGCTGGCTGTGGCTTACATAGAGACCCTGACAAGTGAGAAGTATGGCTGTGGCACTAAGAGCTGTGGCCCCAGGGAGAGGTCTAAGATGACGGACAGTCAGCTGACCCTCCAGAACAAAGATTGTCATGACAGTCTATGGAGTGTAGATAACATTGTCATCTCTCCCCCAGTCTTCAGACACATGATTGAACTTCTTTGCAGGTAATTATATGTCTCAGTTTCATTTTACAAAAAAAATAATTGTATTACAAAAGTAAAACTTGTCTAATCTTGGCACCATTAGTTCCTTAGAAATTGGCCAGCTCAGACAACATTTTAAACAAATTTACTTTAAGTTGACATTGTATTAGACAATAATGCACAACATTCAGATAAGACAAGTTTCACTGTATTTTGTTTATACATGTACTGAAAATGCTTTCAATTCTTTATCATGCAATATAGTAATGCTGGTCGTATTTTACTAGATTAAAGTTTGATTTGCCTAATTTCCCCTCATATACTTACTTCTAGACATTTATGGATGACAAACACCCCGGCCATTATTAAGGAGTACCTGTTCCATCTGTTGGCCCAGTCTCTGAGGATCCTCCACTACAGTGAGGGCTGTAACAGCAGTAAGCTCCCCACCCTGAACCCCCATCTCACCCCCTCCACCGGCCTCCTGGTACAACTTCAGGCCGAGCTCCGCAGACTGTATGAGGAGGAAACCAAGGGTAGGAAATGTTTTGGAATATTTGTGTAAAGCATTGGAAAATAATTTTTAAAAAACTTTATTCTTATATGTTTCACTCACTTTAGATTTGGAATCATACTCTTTGTTTGGAAATGTTAATACTGGTAGTAAACCAGCTGAAACAATTTGGTGTTTTAAATGCATATGAAAAATTATATTAGAAGCATTACTTTTCCAGGATGGCAGTCAGGTACTTTAGTGAGTGGAACAGGAATTGGTATTGGTGTTTCAGACAAAGGTAGATTCTCCACGTATTTCCATGCTCTGATGGAGGTAAATCTGGCCGTGGCAGAGCTGCGATATGATGACTACTTCAAACCTCCTCCCAGTCTTGGTGCTCAGTCCTCCTCATCCTCTACTCTGGAGACTGCATCTTCTTCTTCTCTACACCCCCTCAGCAGTCCCACATCTTCTGCCAAGAGGAAGAAGCTCAAAGCAAAACGAGATAAAGAGAGAGGAGGAGCCGTGCCTAAGAGATCCACCACCACTCAGCGTACAAGTGAGAGCGACTCTTCCATGTCCCTGAGCCCAGCATCTTCTTCGGATGTGACTCCAACTTCTTCTTCTGCTTCAGCGGCCTCTGCTTCTCCTTCCACCTCTGGGACTTCTATGGCCACCGCAGACAGTGATCCAGGAAAGGGGGATCCTAGTGGAACAAATATCAAAATGGAGGATATTCTGTGGTTACACAGAGCTGTCACTGTATCCAAAATCGTCAGGTAGGAATTTGAAGTTTGTGTTAGTAGTTTTGTTGATTTCAGGTGACAATTGAAGGAAAAGTAGGCATTTTCAAAATTATGGATTCAATTTTCTGTAGACCAAGTTAAATTACAGGTTGAAAAATATATTCCTCTTTAGCAAAACTAAGTGAGAGTGTGTTTTTACAGGTGCTTGGGATTCAAGGAGAAGCATGGCAGACGTTTTCTGAATGATGCTGTATCAGATGCAGCCAAGACTCTGAGCACCCCCTCTGTGGCCAGTCGCATGCTGGTGATCACAGGAATCCCTCCTAACTCCTCCCCCGAAACAGTAAAACAGGCCATCAGGGCCTCCTGTAATGCTAACGGAGGCCTGGACAGAGACGAGATCTTTTTACCAGAATTAAATGTTCCTGCAGATATTCCTGAGGTGCCATCCATTCCTTCAGGTTCAGTGGAACCCTCCTCAGAACAAGTGTATGAGGTCCCTAGTGTGGGAAGCCAAGAGATAACAGAGGAGGAGGTTCCTATTCAACACATCAAAGGTTATGCTGTGATAAATGTTGTGGCCAAAGCGAAGCTGGAGAATGTCAAAAAGGCTCTGTTTAAAAACAAGGTCTTGCTGGGGAGTCTGACCCAGGACCAGGAGGAGGCAGGGGACGTCCCTGAGGAAATGCTGTCCATCACCACGGTGATGCCGACCCTGGTGGGGGAGCCCCAGGCCAACTCAGCAGTAGAGGAGTACCTCCAGTATAAGTTCTTCAGCGACAAGCATCAGAAGGAAATGTCAGACGCAGCCACTCTGGCTCTGACTGAAATCTTTCACAGTTGTTTTATTATGGAGCACAAGCAGGGAGGGAGTGAGAGCAGGCACGACTCGGGATTCATCTGTCTAGGGAAGGATCAGATCTTACAGAACGTGCAGGAGAATTTGTTGTGTGTGTTTCTGAACAATATTAAACCTCCTAAGAAATCCTTGGCGGAACAAACCATGCATGTGCTGCGACGTTATGGAATGTTAAAGTCTCCAGACAAAGAAATGTAAGAAAGTTTTTACTGGTATTTCACCAAAATAATTTAAGGATATCTCTTTGAAAATGATGTGAATTCAAATTAACAAATTTAGATTAGCCTGGAAGAAATGTCTATCTTCATGTAAATACTTGGATTCTCATGTTCTTATTAAAGAAATCTCAAAGATAATACAGTAAAACTCGGTAATAGGGTTATATCTGTATTAACATTTATAAGGATTACTCAAAATGGGTTCAAAACATATATCTAAGGTTTTATTATGAATTGAATTTTATATACAAATCGTTATATCTGAAAGTTCGTTATTTCAACCGTAAAATTTTACAAATATTTGTTATAACCGAAAATTTTACAAAGAATTTTACCGGGGACCCAGAAAAACTTCACTATATTCTTGAATTCGCTATATCCGTGTTCGTACTAAACAAGTTTTCCTGTACATGTTTGTAAAATTTGGAATTCTTTGAGAAAGGAAACAAGCAACTCTGTGACTATTCATTTAAACATAATTTTATGTCTTTGTATAAATAACTTTAAGGTCACCAAATGCCGATAAGCCTGGAAAAGGGAAACCCTCCAAAAAGTCTCCAAGGGGATCCAAAGAAAAAGTGGTCCTGGGAGTTGTAGAAAAGTAAAGAATTTTTATTTATCACATTTGTTCAATTCATATTTACATTAACTATGTCTTACTGTATATTTGTTTAATTCAGAAAAAATCTTCTAAGCATTAATTAAAAACTTTCCAGAGTGAACCAGAAAGATAAAAAGCCAAAAGGAAAAGACTTTCCAGAAAAAAGTTCCAAGGAGGGTGCCACCTCTGATCCAGTATCCACCAAAGGCATGAAAGTAAGGATAACAAAATCACCACCCCAATCATGTCACACAAGGGCATTCTTTTGTGAAATAACTGAGAGTGTATCTTTCAATTTAGACTTCATAAACTGTGAAATCACTAATTTTTGTGGGGGTTCAATTTTTGTTGTTTTCGAGGCAAGGAGAGGCCCACAAATTTATGACCATCATGAAATGTAAAATTTCATATATATTATTAATAAAATATTCTCAATACACGAAATCAAGTCCCCACAAACCAAGATTTTTCCCTCAAATCTTGAAAATTGGACCCACAAAAAAATGTGAATTTACAGTATAAGCTTCATGTAACGTATAGATTCTTGAGACAAAATATTGTGAAGGAAAGAGAATATAAAATAAGTGTTTATTTTAGGGGAATATTGTTTAGTCCCTGTATGACTTTCAGATTTGTAGTTATTAGTAACTTTTGGTGATCCTGATTATGCAAAATTTTCAGCTTTAATTTACTCTTTTTTCCCAAATCTGCAGCAGGCCTGGATGCCAGAGGAGGCTAAGTACTTGACTCTGGATGGATTCTTCCAGTTTGTTCTGGATTCGGCTAAACAAGATATCCGCGGAGTATGGAGAGCCATTCTGGCTTGCGGATTTGACATCCACTTTGAAAGGTATAAAAGAAAATATTTCAAAATACATGTTCATTGTATTTATTGCATTTGTGCAGAAAAATTGATGAAAGCCCCCATTGGACTTCTGAATTTGCTTAATTTATAAGTAAATGTGAATGTTTGCAGGTGTGCCTGTTTGGACGCCAGTCAGGCGTCCCAGATGGCCAGTCAGTGGACACCAGAGATGGACTCGGCCCTGGTCCTACACATCAACTCCTTGTCCCGGAAGCTAGCAGTAGCCACTGCTCTGTTACATCCTCACGAAATCCATATCTCAGAGGCAGTCCTCAGTAATGAAAAGTTCAGCTGCTTACAAGGTACAATCTAATCATATACTGTGAATCACTGATTTTTCGTGGGGGTTTAATTTTCGTGCATTGAGATGTATGAAGAGACCAGCAAATTCATGTCCTCCATGAAGTGTAATTTTTCACCGATATAACTACTCAACAATTCTTCATCAAGAAAATTAAATCTGCATATTTTTGCCTCAAACCACTAAAATTTAATTCCCCCAAAAATATGTAATTTTACAGTATCATTTTAATGTACAACTTATTTTTGGAAACATGAGAAATTTTTTGGAAAATTTGCTTTCATACATGTAAATTATCAAATTATTTTTTTCTTGGAGATGGAGACACTAGAATGCTCTTCAAATCCATGGTATGATCCTTAAAAATAAATTTTACCTTTATTCTTCCAGGTGTTCCTTTGGAAAGCATTCGTTTGAGGTTTGCCCTCCTTCAGTCCCTTAATAATACTCTGGAAACCTTCTTCTTGCCCCTGGTGGACCTCAGACCGGCTCAGACGTATAACAGAAGTACAGCGGCTCTCCTGTCTCAGCTGAGGGGATTGGTGTTCTATGATACCAAGATTAACCTGATGAACCGAGTTCTGAATGCCACCGAACAGAGAAAACAAGACCAGGCAGCACCGGAAATAACCCTAGATCCTCTAGAGACAGTAACAAGTATATATCTCTTCTGCATGAAAAGAAATTTTTCCTAAAAAATAGGCTAGGGAATATGAAAAAGAAGAGGGAATGATATAGCAAATCATTTTCTTGTCTGTTAGAAATAAATATATATTTGAAAAATAAAAATTTATGGAAGACATGAATAATACTAGTTACAATGGTAACAAGGTAGATGTGATGAATTCCAGACATAATATTGAATGACATAACCCCCTGTTGTAGGAGATGTGAAGAACTGCCCGGCGACCTGGTTATGTCAGGCCTACAGACAGCTACTGACCGTTCCGTCTCGTCAATTCTGTGTGAGACTGGCCAGTGGAGGCGACCCAACCTACGCCTTCAACGTCCGCCTCACGGGGGAAGAGGTCCACGGAACAAGTATGTTAAAACTCATAAAGGATAATTATGTAGTATTCTGATAGATATTAAGACACCGATAGACACCTAGTAAAATGGTGACAATATTTATATGTACTTGGAAGTTAAATGGTAAGATATATTTTAGACCCCAATCATATTTTTCCATTTATATAGGATGTAATATACAGAACATACAGGTCTTGATTAGTGTTAAGGCACCTTCTTTAAGTTTTTAATTTCTTAATTTCTTTTTCTTTCTTTTTAATTTGTTGCAATCCAAACCTTTAAGATTTATGACATTCTAGTAAACTTATCCAGAAATGCAATTTAAAATTTTATATCTAGCGTTTGATTTTTTTCTTTTTAAGGTGGCTCGTTCCGACAGTTTTTATGGCAAGCTGCCAAAGAAATCAGTGGGCCCCTGGTACGTTTACTGATTCCCTGCAATAACTCGGACAACAAAGGTCGCTACATCTTCAGACCCGGCCCCATGTCCTACTCAGAGGAAAGGCTTCTACAGTTCTTTGGTCAAGTAAGATTCCTTAGAATATTTGCTTGTTCACAGAAAAGGTCTTTTTAATAATGCATGTGTTATTGAAAGAATGCTCTTGTCTTGCATAATTGTTTTAAACGATGAAATTTTTATTCAGGGATAAAAATATTTGTATCCTTATTTACATTAATCTATGCATTGTTTATTTGTGAAATATGATTGGTTTTATGATCAACATTGATCTAACATTGGTTATTTTTGTGCAGTTGCTAGGGATAACAATGCGGGCAGACATTCCCCTGGGAATGGACATGTTGTCCTGTTTCTGGAAGCTTCTTGTCGGGACAGAACTGGACCCGGTCCAAGACCTGAAGGAAGCTGACCAACTGACTTACAACTACATCAAGAAGATTGAAATGGTATTTTCAGTGAAGCTAGATCAGTAAATGACATGTTGTTGTTTCCTAAGTTGACATTTTTTCTTAGCTGTAATTTACAAAAGTCAGAAGATTTCCTTTTTAATGAAACAAAATTTAAGCTCAGAGACCCTCTTTTAAGTCACTTTCCCTGCATTTTAGCATATTCAGGTAAACTGTGTGCATAGTTAATTTTCGGGTTTTGATATATGGTGAAACTTGTCTGATCCTGATGTTGTTCATTTTGTAATCTGGCATACTGAGATGTAAACTTCAAGTCTCACTGATTTCAAAAGGTTTTCTAATCGGGAATGTTTTTTAAATTTAGCCAATTTTTTGGGGAACCAGTGGTGGTCGGTGTGAAAAAAGTTTCACTGTTTATGAAATATTAAGACATTTAAAAAAAGCAATAAAGATTATGCTACTTCAGAATAAATGAAATTAAAGTTTTCTTTATGTAGACACAGAGGAAATCTATGACAGGACTGAGTGTTAAATGTTGTAATAATTATTGTAGGTGGAGACAGAATCTGAGCTGCAGGCTCTGTGTTCGGGGGCCTTCTCCAGATTTGTGTACTCCTCCCTGGCAGGGGAAGAGGTGGAACTCGTCAACAAGGGGGGAACAGTGCAAGTCTGGTAAGGGATTTACTTATAATACCGGGGGGGGGGGGGGGGGGGGGGGGAACAGTTCAAGTCTGGTAAGGGATTCACTTAAAATACTGGTGGGAACAGTTCAAGTCTAGTAAGGGGTTCACTTATAATACTGGGGGGAACAGTTCAAGTCTGGTAAGGGATTCACTTAAAATACTGGTGGGAACAGTTCAAGTCTGGTAAGAGATTCACTTAAAATACTGGGGAGAACAGTTCAAGTCTGGTAAGGGATTCACTTATAATACTAGGGGAACAGTTCAAGTCTGGTAAGGGGTTCACTTATAATACCGTGGGGAACAGGATTCACTTATAATACTGGGGGGAACAGTTCAAGTCTGGTAAGGGATTTACTTATAATACCCGGGGGGAACAGTTCAAGTCTGGTAAGGGGTTTACTTATAATACCGGGGGGGGGGGGGGGGGTTCAAGTCTGGTAAGGGGGGGGGGGGGAACAGTTCAAGTCTGGTAAGGGATTCACTTAAAATACTGGGGGGAACAGTTAAGTCTGGTAAGGGATTCACTTATAATACGAAATACTCTAATCAACTGAACTAGTACTGGCCAAAATATATGCCTTGCATTGTATATCTTTCTTCATGTATTTTGCTTTCTCCCTCCTTTACCGTAGACAATGTAAATATGGCAATGAGCAAAACTTTGTTTGGTAGATAAAGAGATTGTAAAAAAAAAAAAAGGCACCAGCATTTCCATCATGTTTACCTAGAGTTATATATTAATATAGTATTAAAAATACAAATCCACCAGAATGTTAAAGTTTTAATATTTCAACTTTCTCTTTAATATTAAAATCCCAAAAATTCCTTATACCAAAATAACCTGAAATAAGGTAACTCTCTTGATAAAAACTCTGGGCTTATAATTGAAGCTGGGAGAACAGACAGGAATATGTGGACGCCATCAGACGACTCCGATTCCAGGAACTACTGTGTGAGGACAGGGTTAGGGCAGTACATTGTGGACTAGCATCAGTTATCCCCCTTCAACTGATGGCCCTAATGTCCCCACTGGATCTAGAAATCAGAACCTGTGGCTTACCAGTGGTGGATCTAGATTTTTTGAAGGTGTGTTTCTTATTTGATTTACTGATAGTCTTGCTAAGTTTTCTTTTGAAAATTTCTTGATGAGCATAAACCATATTGTAACCTTACAAACAAACATGAATTATTTTATTTAAGGCCCACACCATGTATCAGGTTGGGCTGATGGAGACTGATCAACACATCCAGTATTTCTGGAACACTCTGAGTGGACTTAGTCAGGAGGACCTGGGAAAGTTCATCAAATTCGCCTGTAACCAGGAAAGGATACCCCAGACCTGTCCCTGCAGGGATGGGGGTGCCGACTCCACACACGTCCCTCCCTATCCCATGAAGATAGCCCCTCCTGATGGACCAGGTAGGTGGTGGATACAAGAATATGAGGAGTGGATTTAGAAACAATTTTCTTGTGTACATGTATTGTATGCTCTGTTCAGTTTAATGATGTGTGTTATTATTAGATTTAAAAAAGAATAAAAAATGAAACACAATTTGGCAAACATTTCCTTTCTCTACAATTTTGTATTTATTACAAAATTTTAAATATCTTAAATAATAAAATAGATTATATACACAATCTTTTGCAGTTATTATAACCTGCTTTTGCACTGTTTTATGCATAGTAAATTCTATTTTTAGGTCAGCCAGACTCGCGATACATAAGAGTGGAGACCTGTATGTTTATGATCAAACTCCCCCAGTACTCCAGTCAGGAGATAATGACCCAGAGACTTATGTATGCCATTCACTGTCGAGAGGACCCCCTGAGTGGATAGGGCCACCCCTCATAATCCAGGATCCAATTTGGAAAACTCAAATCCATCCCCCAAAATGCTGGATCCTTTGTGGAAAATTTGAGTCCCCCCCAATAATCCTGTATCCCATTTGAAAAACCTTGTGAAATCTACACCTTACTGGAATAGATCCATTAAATATTAGAAACCTAGCATTTATCAATTTATTATGACTATCAAGTGTGATTTGCATTTGTGATGTATTTACAAATTTGTCAAATACACCAAGTTGTTGTAGTGTTGTTTTTTGTCATGCATAGTTATGTTATTTGATTAGCACATTCATATGCACCGGTGTACTGAAAGTATCAGGCATACAACCAAATATTGGTAACACGTTACTGTGCTTTATAACTGATGTATACATGTATATAAAGTGTGCGATATTTTGTGATGTTGTGTAAAATATTTCTGCCATTTTAAGAGTGCTATATCAGAATGAACATTTTGTATTATTAGAGGTGTGCTCTTTTGTTTTATTTTGGGTTTTTTTCCCAACACAAGTATTTGAAGCATTTATAAAGAATCTGTAGTTAGCATTTTGTTTTTTTTTTCTGAGAATTAGTGGAATTTTAGGTAAAGTTATTTATTTGCTTGAAGTGAGTTACAAGTAATTGAGTTGAGCAGGTATATGTTCATACATGTACATGTATGTAGTAAAGTGCAGTAGTTGTACATGAAATATTAGCATGTTAGACATACTAATATTTTTTTTTTGCAAAAGTACTGCATAATCCCATTATTTATGAATAAAAGTGTAAAAAATACAAGTAGAATTTTTTGATATGTGCACTTTATTGCATTCAAATGTGAAGGTATTTCGTAAACAAGAGAAGTGAACTTTGAAAGTGGTTGGAATTTTTTTTTTAGTTACATACTACATGATACTTGTAACAGTATCGTCTTTGTTTAGTATTATTGAAGGCAAACAGTTCTTTAATTTGCATGTATGTTTTTAGTAAAGCAGTAAAGTATTTTAGCATTTTCATTGCCATTGGAATTTATCAATGTTCATATAAAGAGGATTGTTTGACAATTTTTGTTGCAGCTGCCATATTGATTAAGTTAAACGGTCCATAACTTTACACATATTAGTTGTCACACAGATATAATCTTTTTTTTTTTGACCAGAGTAAATCTGACTTTTACAAAACTAACAACCTGAAAGCTCAAGGGAAAAAAAGTATTCAAAAAAACTTGCTTAAAATTCATTCTTGATTACCTTGACACCTCTGTATACTTGCAAATTCACTTGGCATATTTTTACCTTTTCATTGCAGGTTCTTATGTCATGTGAGCTTCTCTTCATAAAATATTGATGACTTATATGCTAATGTTTTTGTTTAATGGATGAAATTTAGAAGTATATCTAATTCAATAAACATTTTATGGTGAAAGTTATATATTACACCAAGAATATGATTACCGTGATCATATTATCCAATAATGAAAACTTTACTTGAATAGATCCATTAAATATTAGAAACCTTTTAGAAATTATCGAACATATTTCTTTAAACTTGGTTAAGATTTCATTGAGAGTTTGTACTTGATTTAAAGATTTTTTAAACCAAGAAATATTTTAATTTCTCTAAACTTGAAATTATCAAAGGATTGTTTTTCTTTAGAAAAAAATTCATCTTGACAAGAGTGAGTATTTGAAGTGTTTGTATTTTAGTTTGGTCAAGCATCCTTTCTTCTGCTATTACTAGGCCTTAGGCCATTCTTTAAACAAAAGCAATCAGTGTAAATAACTATGTTCATTTTAACTGTATTTTATTGACCACATTAAATGTGTAAATTTTATTTATTTTTTTTCATTTTAAATTGCAAGAAATAAACTTTAAACCAATTATGTGGGGGTTTTTTCTTGATTTGAAATTTTGGAAGTGTTCGTGTACAGTAATGCAATGAAAATTTTCATTATTTTAATCAAACAAATAATAAAACTTCAGCCTAAAAAATAATCTTTATAATGCTCATATTAACATTATTTTTTGTCATTTTTAGCCCTACTGGTCAGAGACCAGAAGGGCTTATGCAATGATAAGGTTTCCGTGTGTCTGTAAACATTTTTTCAAAACACTACTCCTCCTATAGTTTTGGTCTGATTTCAATAGAACTTGGCACACAAGTAGACAACACTAAAATACATAATTCTATATATCAGGATTTGATTTTGATGAATGGTGTTGCCGTGGTTACTAAAAATAGAAATTTCTGTAAAATTTCATTTACAATGCTACTCTTCCTACTAATTTCAATTCAACTTGGCACACTAGTAGACTCTACTAAGATAGATAAACTTGTGCATTGATTTTTGATGAACAGCATTGCAATGTTTCTGAAAAATAGAATTTTCTGTGAAATTCAGTTTTAATCTGATTTCAGTACAACTTGGCACACAAGTAGACTTCACTAAGACACATAATTTAGTGCATCAGTTTTCGATTTATTTGAATAGTGTTGCCATGGTTACTAGATTTTAAAAAAAAATCCTTTAAGGGCCTCCGACCCTCAGTCAGGAAGGACAACTCTTTAATTTATAATTTAATTCAAAAAGTCTTTAAATTTAGCTTGAGAATTAAATACTTTCATGCAACAATTTTCATTAAAATCTGGTGTGCAGTTCAAGTTCTTTGCAAAGGGATAAATCACTTCTAATTTCATATCATGTTAACAAACATTGGTATCTAAAAATGCTTTTTCGGGATAAAAATATCTACTTTTAATTAGACCTTTCTGAGAAGTTCAAAAAACCTTGAAGCACATTGAGAGGCATACAATGAAAATTGTTGCATGAAAAGATTTAATTTTCAAGCTTCATTTAAAGACTTTTTTGTTCTAAATTATAAATTAAAGAGTTGTCATTCCTGGCTGAGGGTCGGAGTCCCTTAAAACGCTATTCCTCCTCCAGTTTTAGCCTGATTTCATTTTAACTTGGCACACAAGTAGACAACACTAAGGTACATAATTATACCCCCGTTCCAAAGGAAAGGGGGGTATACTGTTTTACCCTTGTGTGTCCGTCCGTCCGTCTATCCGTAACAAATTTTCGTCGCAGTTTTTTCAGCAACTACTCAGATGCTTGAAATTTTAACACAATCCTCTGAGACATGCTATATGTTAGGATTAATTTTTGTTCACATCTGATGTCAACTTCCTGTTTATCAGTGCGTCTGTGTGTTTCATACATAACAAATTTTCTTCGCAGTTTTCTCAGCACCTACTCATAACAGATGCTTGAAATTTAAATACAAGCACTGCTCATAACAGATGCTTGAAATTTAAACACAATATTCTCTGAGGCATGCGACATGGTGGGAATCATTTCTGTTCAAAATCCGATGTCAACTTCCTGTTTGTCCGTGCGTCTGTCCGTTTCAAACATGTTTCAAGCTTAAATTTTTGTCACAGTTTTCTCAGCAACTACTCATAGCAGATGCTTGACATTCTTCCCTGAGGCATGCTATATGGTGGTATCAGTTTTTGTACAAATCTGATGTCAGCTTCCTGTTTGTCAGTGTATCTGTCTGTTTCATAAATTAACAATTTTTCGTCGCAGTTTTCTCAGCAACTACTCATAACAGATGCTTGTAATTTTAGTACATACTTTGGTCGAATTTCTTTTTTTCCTTGCATATACCGGTAACGTTTATTAACATGATATTGTATATTCACATCAGAGTGGGGGTATTATTAGTGAGCATTGGCTCACAGATTTCTTGTTTAGTGCCGCTTTTTTTTTATTTCGATGAAGGTACATTTTTCTCTTTTGGCTGGTCACTGTATTTTATCCAAATTGACCTATATGTGAAAGTCTAATTGTGCTCAATATGCTACACATACGAGGGCTGTTCAATAAATAATGTCCTGAGGCGGAGCTCTATGACATACAACATAGAAATCATATAACATTAAGCTTGACTTTCTCTCATGATTGAATCTTTAACAAATTGATAACAGTTTATGTGACCACTTTTCATCTCATATTTTCATTGTGAGAAGCTGGAAAACGAGGGCTATTCGAGACACTGCATTAAAAATGAATGGTAAAGAATCGGTAAACTAGAAAGAAATTAAACCCTTCATTTAAAGCTGCTGTAAAACTTGTCAAGAATAAAAAAAATCACTGAAATATGTAAAATTTATAGCAACCAATGTGTGTTTTATAGACACATGAGCAGATGGATTTCAATGACACAAAAATTACATAATTGGCATCAAAAATAGGCACCGTCATTGGAAAAAAGTACTTTAAAAAACGTACTGTTTGCAAAAATTCAACAAACTATCATTGATGATGTTTGATTGACTTTAAGACACAAAACAAATTTGATAGGCATCATTTTTGGAGTAGTTCACACTGATTTAAAGGAACAGTTGACAGTAAAAAATGTAAGTACTCAATTGGTCACCCTATGTCTTGTGAAAACGAAAGCGTGTAAGAATATCTGAACAGTCATTTTTTTTTTTTAATTTAAATTTTAGTTATCCTTGTTTTTTTGAAATTCAAACAGATATAATGAAGGTCTCAATAAATCAAATACACTGTACATGTCAGAGAAGATCTATAAAAAAAAAAACAAAAAAAACGAAAGCCATGATTAACTCTGTCGATATGGACACAGCCTCGTAGAGTGTACTTACCACAAACAAAAAATGGATGTACGGGTTGATATATGTTTTTTGACTGATTTTGATTTGAAATGACATAAATAATAAATCCCTGAATTATAAAGAAATCGTAGGTTTTCCTTGGTGCTTAAATATGAGATTTTGTTTTGCCTTCTTTATAATTCCATGCAAAAATTTTCACAATTTTTTAACCTTATGACAAAACCTTATAAAATTCTCCTAAACATTATTAGGTTACCATTTTAAATGTTAATTTATAAAATAATGCTGCACAAAAGTTTGTTTGTGTTATTTATCCTTAACATGACACCCCCCCCCCCCTGCCCACTAATATGTATGGCACGCCAAATTCACAAAAATGTATGGCACGCCAAATTCACAAAAATGAGCTAAACATAGTTTCACAACCGATAAACTAGGTTTATCGGTTGTTAACTATAGTTTACGGACTGTAAACTATAGTTCAACGTTAATCGTCTATTTTACATCCGTAAACAAATTTTCGCGATAATCTATGTTTCACAACCGTAAACTATACTTAACACTGAAAACAATCATTTGCGATTGCAAAACGTTTTCTGATAAATACAGTTTCCTCTTGTAAACTATGCAAACCGTTAACTATGTTGGGGTCTGATAAATTAGTTTGTTGTGAAACTATGATTAACAATATAGTTTACAAACTATAGTTTACAAACGAATCTATGTTTATCAACAAAATCTATTGTTTACGCTTATTACAGTCTGTGTGTTTCATAAACTATAGTTAACAACCATTAAATATAGTTTTACAGATGAAAACTATTTTCGAATCGTAACTATACTTATAACAGATTTACGATTTGTAAATTTAAACCTAGTTTATCAAATATTTTAGCCCATTTTTGTGAATTTGGCGTGCCATAAAAATGGTGGGAACCTATCATTTCTGATAAACAAATCCGATGTCAACTTCGTTAAGTTTTTTCATCTGTAAAACTATATTTAACGTTTCATACATGTTTCAAGCTATTAAATTTTTGTCAAAATCGTGGACAGTTTTCTCAGCAAGTAATGGGCATAAGCAAATTTTCAGTAAATGTTTATTCATCATATTTAAGTGCATCATCATGTTTTTGATAATATATAGGCAAAAATGAAGATTTTATTATGCTTGAATGTATCAATTTTAAAAATAACAAGGTCATCTTAGAATACACAAGAATGTCAGTTTTCAATACATAAAAATGTCAGTGTATCTGTCTGAATTTTGTCGTCTTTATAAAAATTTCAATTTGGTCAATTTTTGGCAGTTTCCCGCATTCGTTGGTAAACACAATACACAAAAAATCGCGATTTTTAATGACAACTACCATAACAGAGATTTGGATGTTGTAATTTTTTAAATGAATACATATGGAACTTCACTGCCTTATAGCAGAATTTCTTTTTTGTCAACCTTCCATTACATTATCACCGTGTCAAACCGTTTATTAACATGATATTGTATATTCATTACATTATGAACTCTTTATGGCATTAACCCACCCTACTATTGCATTGTGCCAACCTTCCATTACATTATGTCAACTCTTTATGACATTAACCCACACTAGTGCATCTTTTTTTTTATTGTATCAACTCTTTATGACATTTACATTTTTCTCTTGCATTTCGTTATGTTTACTTTTCATGACAATCTATTTTATTAAATTGACCTATATGTGCGACTCTTCTTCAATGTCTAATTGTTATGCGAACGCGGGTATTCTCGCCTTTATATGACACATAACGTATTTTCTGTTCCGAAAGCACTAAAATAGATGTCCTAGAAGAGATTCGCGATTTCGGAATGACATCTTTAAATGAAAACTACAACATAGAAATCATATAACTTTAATTAAAGTCACGTTTTAATGGTGTTTACTTTCTCTGATAATTAAATAAATCAAATATTATGATTGAATCTTTTTTTCTTTTTATTTTGAATTGATAAAAGTTTATTTGTAGGACATTTTAGTTTCACATTAAGTTTAGCTGAATTAAGTTTTTTTTCATAAAAGTGTGAGAGCTTCTCCGCTTTCCGCCCTTGAAAACCATATACCGTCCCCCTTCCTTGTTCAAGATTCCCATATCTGCCACTGATATGTGCCCATGCATGCTGCATATAAATTTAATGAATGGTAAAGAATTCTGGCCCTGGAATGATTAAAAAAAAATTAAACTCCAGTGACGTAGCATTTTTTTTTGAAAGAGGAGGTCAGCTGTAAAAAAAAATCATTTATCCGAAAAAACTAGAAAAAAAAAAAAAAGCCCGAAAATCCTACTGAAATAATGTAAAATATTATATTACCCTTAGCATATTTCAACAATGTGTGTTTTATTACATTTTCACATAAAGTTATGTCAGATGGATTTCAATGACACAAAAATTACATTTATTATATACTAGATATACATCTTTGAAAAAATGTATTTTTGCATCAGTAATGAACTTGAAAAAAAGAGTTAACAATATAAAAATTTTTAAATCACATGAGAAAGAGTTGGCAAAAAATATATCCACAAACTATCATTGATGATGTAATAAAGTGTTGATATAATATAAAGACATGTTCACATTATGTTAAATTTGACACCACGTAATTTTTGGAAAGGTAAGATGTGTTCACACTGGTTTAAAATAAAGATAAATCCAATTCACGTAATAATACTTTGATATAATAGAAATATACACTCTCAAAAAGGAATGGGCTTTTGACTTCATGTGATGATAAGTTTAATTATAAAACACAATTTACTTGACGTAATGCAATTTTTACCTCACATATTAAAGAAATGAAATGATGAAAGAAACATTCATTTCAAATAAAGTTTTAACACAATGTAAACACATTATCACTTCACATAATGAATTTTTTTTTTTTAATGAAAGGATGTATTTACTTCATGTAATAACATTTTGATGTTATATTTTCCTTGTTTTTCACATCACGTAAATAAATTGACGTAATAAATGCATAGTTGTATGCTATAAGGCAGTGATGGCGTCAAATACATATATCAAAAATCACACTTTACATGTCAAATGAAGTTTTCTATATATATATAAAGTAAAAAATGTGAAAGCTGCTATTGTAATAGCAAAAGACGCTGTCATTGTCGACTGTTGATATGAGATTCTCTGTTATTTAGATGCTGTTGAGAATACTGTCCAAAACTTGCGAATGAATTTTCAAAAGATTGCATGTGTGTGCCAAATGGGCTCCTTATCTGGTTATAGACAAATTCACAAAATTTTTAAATTTAAGTGGGACTAAACCTACTTTCACAATTGATAAACTAGGTTATCATCCGTGCGCTGTAAACAATACATAACATAACATCTAATTATTATGATTTGTTTATTTATGCATATATCTATTTGAAATTTGTCTGTATATTCATAATATATGTAAAAGAGTATAAAAATTTAACGCAGTGATGTTATTTTTCAAACTAGACAACTTGTCCACGATTTTACGGTGCTAATCTAAGTTTATCTGTCTGTAATAAGCGTTAACAATAGATTTTATTGATAAACATAGATTCACGTTTGTAAACTATAGTTTACAATCGTAAACTATAGTTAAGAGTTGTTAATCATAGTTTCACAAATCGTGAAACTATATTTATCAGATCGTTAACTATAGTTAACGGTTTGTAAACTATAGTTTACAAATCGTGAAACTGTGTTTATCTGATAATCTATGTTTTGCAATCGCAAATGATTGTTTTCGGTGTTAAGTATACTAGTAGTTTACGGTTGTGAAACATACATTATCGCGTTAACTATGGTTTACAGATGTAAAATAAAGATTAACGTTGTTAACTATAGTTTACAATTCGTAAACTGTAGTTTACAACCGATAAACCTAGTTTATCGGTTGTGAAACTATGATTAGCTCATTTTTGTGAATTTGGCGTGCCATAAATATGTTTAAGCTTTTCAATATGTAATTTCTTATTGCCTACATTATACTTGTAACTCAGATAATTATATAAAATTCATTTTAAAGAAATGGTTTGAAAAGCATCGTGTTGAGTGCTGGCCTAAAAACATTTTTAAAAAAATACTTAAGTATTACATATGTTTAAACAACGATTATCATTACTTATTAACAAATAAGGATTCTTTATATAAGATACTTAAACTTATTGGTTTGCATCCATCATTTAGGTTCAATTCCTGTGTGTGATATCGATCGTTGCTCTCATAGATTTATTACAATGATTAAATCATAATGCTTTGTTTTCTTGTTTTTGTTTTTGTTTTGTTTTTTTTTTTGAGAAAATTCCATTATTTTCAACTGTTGTCCTTTATCACTGATGTGAAAACAATATACTTTTACAGTTTTATAACCCTAAACAGTTGTTATGTTATAATTAATTTTAAAAAAATTCATTATCTATCATTATTCCTTGTTATACCATCCTGTTTTCAGCATTAAACTTGATCTGATCGTGTCATTGTCTTCATAGAGCTTGTACCCACAATATAGAGACGAAACATAATGGAAAAATATGGCGTATTAAGTGTCCTACTTTCGATCATTGGTAAGTATACATATTGAAAAAAGTACAATATTTCCATTAGTATTTGTTTTCTCTGTAATAATTCTTTGCAAGTTAGTTGAGTTGATTTCTTGATAATTCTACCGGAATGGAAATTTCACCAAGTGAAAGGTCAGGAGCTAGGGAGGTCATAAATTAGCATGTACGAGGGTTGTTCGGTAAAATCGTTCACAAAGCATTTTTTTTTACAAAAAATAATGAGCGCAATAAGCTGACATTTTCAGCAAAAGTTTATCAAGTTTAAGTGTAGCTGCAGTACTGTAGCGTTATGGTTTTATAAATTATATTAGTCTTTGACCATTATCACATAAACACATCTTTTTTTTATGTCCCCTGATCAAAGATTTGGGGGGTTATAGTATTTGCCCTGTCCGACCATCAGTTTCTCTGTCTGGCTGTTTGTATGAGAAAACTTTAACTATCCGGATAAGTTTTGAGTGGGTGGGGCTATGGCTTTCATGTTTCACGGATGTATTCCTTGTGACAAGGTCTTTTTTCGGTTACCACAAAATTTGACCTCTTGACTTTGAACTTTGGGTTTGACCCTCTTTTGTTAGGGTTTTCATACTTCACATGTGTATTCAATGTGAGAAGATTAATGGGTATAAAATATTTGACCTCTTAACCATAGAGTTTGACCCACTCTTTAACCTTTCACCTTGTCCATAACTTTTGAACTGTAAGTACAATGGCTTACATATTTTCCAGGTGTATTTTTTGTAAAAAGACATTCCTTTGGGTTATAATAGTTTGGCTTTTTGACTTTGATTAGCTTTCATACGGGGGAATCAGTGTTTTACAAACTCATCTTGGTTTTTATGCCCCCGTAATCGAAGATTTGGGGGTATAAAGTTTTTGTCGTGTCCGTGCGTAAGTCTGTCTAGCTGTCTGTCTGTTTGTCCACAAAACTGTAAAACCTTGGTCATAACTTTTGATTTAGTGGAGCTATGACTTTCCTATTTTACATGTGTATTTCTTGTGACAAGACCTGTCTCTGGGTACTACCAAATTTAACTTTTTGACCTTGACCTTGGAGTTTGACACACTTTTACACAAAAATTCCAAACTTTTACTTTGGACGTATTTTTTGAACAGTGGATACTAGGACTTTCATACTTCACATATGTATTCTTTGTGACAAGTCCTTTTCTTGGATACCAATATTTTTTACCTTTTGACATTGACCTTGGATATTTAAGTACTTAAAAAAACCTTTAACCTTGGCCATAATTTTTTGAATGGTTAAGGCTAATGCTATGGCTTTCATACATATATACACAAATATTTATCCCTGTGAGGAAACCTTTCATTGGATACCAAGACGTTTGACCCTTTGACCTTGACCTTAGAGTTTGACCTGCTTTTTAAAAACAAATCTTGATCATAACTTTTGAAGAGTTATGGCTTTCATACATCACATATTTAATCCATGTGATAAGACCTTTCATTAAATACCAAGAACTTTGACAATTTGACCTTGGAGTTTGACCTACTTTTTAAAACATTAACCCGACCTTAACCTTTGAACGGTATGGGCTAGGGCTTTCATACTTTACATATGTAATCCTTGTGAGAAAACCTTTCGTTGAATACCAAGAACTTTGACCTTGACTTTAAAGTTTGACCTACTTTTTAAACATTTGACCTTGGCCATAACTTTTGAACGGTTAGAGCTAGGGATTTCATACTTCACATATGCAATCCTTTTGACAAGACCTTCCTTTAGAAACCAACAACTTTGACCTTGACCCTGGAATTTGACCTACCTTTGAAATACTCCTTTGCCATAACTTTTGAATAGATGTTGCTAGGGCTTTCATACCGGTAATTCACAATTGTATTACCTTACTTTGGGTACCAACATATTTGATTTGCATTTAAGAAAAGTTTAATTAACCTTCGCTATGTTGCCATATGGGGGCATCAGTGTTTCACAAACAAATCTTGTTTGTTTTTGTATCAGAAAAGTTTTTCATATACCACGTATGTTTTAGATGCATACTGCTCTGGAGCTAATATTTCGTTGAATTGTGGTGAGTGATCTTTTTTAATTTTAAAGATACATGTACAATTTTGAATTACAAATAGGATTTAATTGGTTTGACACCAAAATATTCTGTGTAAAAAATTAAATTTTACTTTTCTTCTATGTATAATAACCTATAGCTCCGTGTAACACTTAACAATTCAAATTTCTAAAATGGTTTTAGGTTTTAGAATGTTAATATATTAGTTCAAATATTTAACTTTCAAAAACTCAAGCTGATTTGGTATATTGAAATTTAATGTTTTAGTTCAAAAATCAAAATTTGATATTTTTTGATATTTGAAGAAAACTTCTAAAAACTCAAAATGTAAAAAAGTGTTTTGGTTATTTAAAAGTTGAGTTTTTAAATCGAAATTCTAAATTTCTAAAAATCTAAAGCGTTTGAAAGTTGGAAGTTTTAAGTAAATTTTAAATAATCAAAAGACGAAAATGTTACATGTATCGAGTTTTAGATTGTCAAGAGTAAACTTTCCAAACAAATGGTAGATTAAAAACTCAAAAGTTTAAAATACAAAATTTGATTTTGAAAAATTGAATTTTGAATATTTAAGGTAAAAATCTAAAAACTCAAAATGTTAAAACTGTTTGAAAATTTGAAGGTTTGGGTTTTTGAACTAAAATATTAAATTCCAATATTCAGTTTGAGTTTTAAAAATTTAGAAATTTGATATATTATAGTAACATTCTAAAAATCTAAATCGTTTTAGAAATTTGAATTGTTAAGTGTTACACGGACCCCTATACCATTATTAGAATAAGATGTGATAATATTCATTTCTCAATATATTTCATGCATTCTTCCATATTATAATCAAAAAGGGCATTAAAGCAATTATATAAGCTGCAATTCCGATGTTCAATTTTCTGTTGCAAAATTGTTAATAACTATTTCGCAGAGAGGGAAAGGAATATTTATAAAATTCTGTTGTTCAGATTTGTAATAGAAGTATTTACAATTAAGCTGTTAATGATGCTAAATTACTTTTTTGTCGTCTTGTACAATACTGTTGTCTTAAGTAATACTAAATATTTGATTGTACTGAGGTATATCTTATGAAAAAGTTTAATATTTTATTTCAGGCTAATTGATCATAAAGGTTTTAATTACTTTCAAAATCATATTGACACATTTTAATAGCAAATTGAAATTTTCAAAAATGCAGCTCATATTTCTTTAACTTTCAAGATGACATTTTCAGGAAACGCCACTTGCTCATACGATAGTACTGTATGGACTTACAGGTCCAAGGATTGTGATGAAAATAAAATGAACGTTTCATTTCAATGTAAACAAAAACCTTTTTGGACCTTTACTGCGATTTGTTCAAATCAAAGTCAGTTATGGGAAGAATCAACTCCATTGTTCTGTTCGTGTAAGTTACAATACTCTCGTCTAGCATGTAAATCGCTGTTATGAATTCTTTCGACTCTGTTAAAACCCAAAGGTTGTGTCTGATTATTTACATGTACCCCCTCTCTCTCTCTCTCTCTCTCTCTTAATTTTATTATTACACATACAAATGAAATGAAGATTTTTTTTTTATTTATTACATTAAAATGATAAATATAATGCAGAACGAAAAATAAATGAATGTCATCCATACTGAATTTCTCAATCCCACTCTGAATTCCAAACAATGCACATTGAAATTCTTAATTTTTTTTTGTTTGAAAGAAACATTTTAATCTTTCTTTTGAACGTTGCTTGTTTCTTTATAACACACTCATTTCTTTAGAATAAAAATATTAGTTGTGATGCTTTAGGACATCCCACTCTTTGTGACTATTCGGCAAACCTCGGCTGATTCCGTCGCCTTCATCAAACATTCGGCAAACCTCGGTCGATTCGTACTTCTGTCTTTGATGAAGGCGACGGATTCAGCCGAAGTTTGCCGAATGAGATGAGGTACGAATCGGCCGAGGTTTGTCGAGTGTCTTTGTGACTAGCAACATTACATGAACTAAAGTTAAGAAATCCGTATCCAGTGCATTTAACAAATTATTTTTTCAGAACATGAAATAAAAATAGTGATGGTTTTTATCTGAATTTTTAACTGAATTGGACTTAATTTATTTTAATTGAAATTGCATTCTAGTCCAGTGCAATAAGTGCAGTTCAATTCTTTTTAAGATAAGCAGGATAAATTCCCTTTCAAATAAAAATATCAATTCATAATAATTACTCTTTACTTTTCCAATATTTAAGCTGTCTTTACAGTATGTTCTGCAGTTTACCATACATGTTGAAGTTTGTCTAAATGATTCAAAACTTATTTTTGAAAAGGAAAATTTATCACATTCTGTTCATTACAATTGAACAAAAACCATTATTTTTAATATGCAGCATCTATATATTCTGTGAAGCCTTATATATAGAACATCAAATATCAGAATGTGGTATTTTAGTCGAAACAGTTGTATGTCCCCGAAAAAACAATTATTTATAACTTTTCTTCTTTATTAGAATAGTCACCATCTTTCATCATCGCCATATCGGAATACTCCCCTCTCTTTCGTAAACCGAATAAACCACCATCGGAGGTGGTTTGGTTGGTTTCAGTTCCAGCCAAAAAAATAAAAAAATCTTAAACCGGTTCTGGGTTTAAACTAGTTTAAAACTACTTTGTGGAACAAATGAACAGTTTACAAGACTGGTTCAAAACTAAACCCAGTTTTTGAGAAATAAATTCACCCTAAGAAAAGCTGGATTAATTCCCTTGCAAATAAAAAATCCATCCATGCAGCATTCAGAGACAAGTCTTCCTTTCTCCTGGATGGTTTGTGAATACCAAAACTAGTCAGTTGATGAAAAGTCATTAATACGTAACTTTTTCGAAAAGTCTTTCCAGGACACAATTATTGATAGTTGCTTTTGATTCTTATCAAAGAAAACAAATGTGAATTAAAAGCAATTCCAGCTAGTTCGTTGGTTTATTTTTTCTAATTCAGAACACGAAATAGGAAAAGTGTGGATTTTCATTTATGTTTTTGAATTCAGTTGCGAAACAAATTGACTAAGTTTATTTCGATTGGTAAACTTGTATACAATGAACTGCAGCAGCAGAGTGCAGAATCATGCAATGATACTTTTATTTAACCCCACCATACACCCTCCAAAGACAGCCTATTTATACATTTCCCCCTTGCGATTGATTATAAGTTGTAAAGTTTGCATAATGTAAGTTTGTTACAACATTCCAGATAACTCAAAATATGACTCTTTGAACAACGTATATAACTAGTGCTAATTGTAACGGGGACCGTTACATATGTTCCCCAAACGCTCCCCAACTCCCTTTTGGTGCCATATTCCCTGTTATCTTTATTAAATAAGAAATACTTTATGGAATTTAGACTTAATCAAGGTCTTCCAAGAAAAATACAAAATATATTTAAAAAATAGGCATTGCACGCGTGTTCATGTGCGTAACGACCATATTATCTTGTCTACACTATCTAAAATTTTAATAATATCAAAGCATTTAATCCAAAAGTATTAAAAAATGCACTCATTCGAGTGTATTTCTTATTTTAATCATTTCACGTGCACGCACGTGCAAGCACGTGCATAATGACTACACCTTCTTGTAAGAGTCCCTTATATTTATCCAAGTTCTAAATCCCATCCTGTTTGGTTGAAAAACAAGAGAGTTATAGCCATTTAAAGTTTCAGCCAATCAGATTGCAGCACACGTGCATGCGTGTGATTTCATGAATATTTTCTATATCATATTTTAGGATATCGTTATGCATGACTATGTTTTAAATTTCAAAGCATTTCGTCAAAAAACAAAGGAGATATAGCCATTTAAAGTTTTAGCCAATCAGATTACAGCACGCGCGCATGTGCATGCTTTTATTAAAATTTTAATATATCATGCTGTAGATCTTCATAATGTAGGACCATGTTCAAAATTTCAAAAGATTATGACAAGAAACAAGAAAGATATTGAGACTTTAGTTTCAGCCAATCAGAGCGAAGCGCACGTGCATGCGCGTGAGATCTTGCTATTTTGACCATGCCATCTTGTCTATACTACTAATGTATCCTTACATTATAAGTTTCAAAGCATTTTATCAAAAAATAGAAAAGTTCCGACTATATCTATTATATTGGTTATTTCAAGTGTTGCACGTGCGCGCTCTTGCAAGCACGTGCGCGCAAAATGACCTTGATTCCGCAAATCTGCATAACATGTCTACTTACCCTAAAAAGGTTTTACCTACCTCGGACGAACAGTTTACAAGATCATTCCCGGACAAAAAAGTACCCAGGAAGAAGAAGAAAAATAATAATAATAATAATAAGAAACAGAGTAAAAACAATATGTTCCCCAACTTCGTTTGGGGAACATAATAAGAAACAGAGTAAAAACAATATGTTCCCCAACTTCGTTTGGGGAACATAATAAGACAGCAAAATTCAAATTCTCATTTCTCTACTAGGATTTTTACATCGGGCTCGGAGTTGGTTTTATTCAGAAAGACAGGACTGGGTTCAGGCAACTACATGTAAGGGTACCACACCGGTAATTGACCAATCAAAATGAACTTAGTCAATTGTAGTGCCATACATATAAGGCCGATTTTCCTTTCTTTTGAGAGTTTTTTTTTTTTTTTTAATTTCCTTCCAGGCCATTTTGACAACTCTGGTACATGTGCCTAAGAAATTTTATCTACTCTGTAAATAAATAAAGTGTTTAGACAGGAACTATTTTCTCAGGGTATAGGAGGCTACTTCCTGGGGTGCTTTTGAGATGTTTATAAAGACATTGAAAACACGTGGATTTGAGGGTAGCCTTATTTGCAGATGCAAAAAAATCAGAAAATGTCGTGTACGTACCCTGGTTTTTTGGTGCCAGCTAATGTGACAGGTATTGTTTAACACCCCTTCATTAATATTTTTTTCATGAATTCAAATACCTGATGTTTTACGGGAAAGAAACGTGTATTGCTTTTTAATATACCAAAACTCGCTATTTCGGGGGATTGCGTAATTCTAAAAAAAATTCAGATAAATTTCAAAGGTAAAATAAAAGAAGAATGCTTGGTATTAAAATATAAATTCATATCAGTAGAATTGAATGCTATTAATGTCATCTGGAGAAATAGGCTTTATAAGGTTTATATCATATCTTTGTTCGTCTGCACTTAAATTTCAAACACGACAGAATTTGTAATTTATGCCGTAAAAATTCATAAATTCTATATACTTTAGAGACTTACCGTAAAACTTTCAGGAAACTTTCTATGAAGTCTTTTCTGCACCTTAAGTGAAATTTTATGTCGATTCGAGGTGTCGATTGATTTTCAGAGAAATTTTCTATCTTGCTATTGATTTTTTTTTTAAGGAGAAGGGGGGGGGGTTGACTTATTTATTCTAAGCATTTGTTAAAGTCAGATTTGTAAATACATCTACGAACTTCAGCTGGATTGTGACCTTTGGGTCAGGGTCAAAGGTCAAGGTCAAAGGTCAAGGTCATCAAAACATTTCATAAAGAAATATAAAACTAACGGCCATATCAAGTATACTAGTCACTTGAGCATTGCACGCGCGCGCAGGTGCAATGCATGAAAGCCATATCATCGTGACTACACTTTTAATATGTTTCTATTCTTTGAATTTCAAAACGTTTCATAAAAAATTTACGACTATATCAAGTAAATCGGTCATTTAACGCATTGCGCGCGCACACGTGCATGCATCTCCTTGCATTCAAGTTTGATAGTAGCATAATGTAGGAATCCGTCATATCTATTCATATTCTAAATTTCATCCTGTTTTGTTGAGAATCAAAAAAGTTATAGGCATTTAAAGTTTAAGCCAATCAGATCGCAGCACACATGCATGAGCGTGTTTTCTTGAAAATTTTTATATATCATATTTTAGGACGTCTTAAGGCATGCTTATGTTTTAAAATTGAAAGTATTTTGTCAAAAAACAAGTAAGATATTGAGATTTTTGTTTCAGCTAATCAGAGCAAAGCGCACGTGCACGCGCGTGCATGCATGTGCATGAGGACTATAACTTCTTGTAGGAGTCTATTATGTCTGTCTGTGTTCTAAATCTCATCCTGGTTGGTTGAAAAACAAGGGAGTTATAGCTTTTTAAACTTTCAGCCAATCAGATTGCATCGCACGTGCATACACGTGTTTTCATGATAATTGCTATATATCATGTTGTAGGATATCGTAATGCATGGCTATGTTCAAAATTTCAAAGGATTTCGTCAAAAAACAAGAAAGATATTGAGACTTTAGTTTTAGCCAATCAGAGCAAAGCGCACGTGCATGCGCGTGAGATCTTGCTATTTTGACCATGTCATCTTGTCTATACTACTAATATATCCTTACTTTATGAGTTTCAAAGCATTTCATCAAGAAATACAAAAGTTATGGCAATATACATTATATTGGCCATTTAACGTGTTGCACGTGCTCGCTCTTGCAAGCACGTGCGCGCAAAATGACCTTGATTCCGCAAATCTACATAACATGTCTACTAACCCTAAAAAGGTTTTACCTACTTCGGGTGAACAGTTTACAAGATCACTCGCGGACAAAAAAGTACCCAGGAAGAAGAAGAAAAATAATAATAACTAGGGCTAATTGTAACGGGGACCGTTACAGATGTTCCCCAAACGCTCCCCAAATCCCTTTTGGTGCCGTATTCCCTGTAAGCGCTATTAAGTAAAACACACTTTATGCAATTAAGACTTAAACAACGTTTTCCCAGAAGAATACAAAATGTATCTAAATTTTAGCATTGCACGCGTGCTCATCTGAATGCATGAGCGTAATGACCACATCATCTTGTCTACACTATATATATATATATATTTTAATATACTAAATAACAAATCAATTAATCCAGAAGTATTAGAAAATACACTCATTTAAGCGTATTTTAATATTACTCATTTCACATGCACGCACGTGCATGCACGTGCATGAGGACTATACCTTCTTGTAGGAGTCTATTATGTCTGTCTATGTTCTAAATCCCATCCTGTTTGGTTGAAAAACAAGGGAGTCATAGCCATTTCCAGTTTTAGCCAATAAGATTGCAGCACACGTGCATGCGCGTGTTTTCACGACAATTGTTATATATCATATTGTAGTACATCCTAAAGTATGTATATATTTTAGATTTCATAGCATTTCGTCAAAAAACAAAAAAGATATTGAGATTTTTGTTTCAGCCAATCAGAACGAAGCGCACGTGCACGTACGTGCATGATGACCATACCTTCCTGTAGGAGTCTATTATATCTGTCTATGCTCTAAATCCCATCCTGTTTGGTTGAAAAATAAGGGAGTTATAGCCATTTCAAGTTTAAGCCAATCAGATTGCAGCGCACGTGCATGCGCGTGTTTTCACGACAATTTTTATATATAATATTGTAGAACATCCTAAAGTATGCCTATATTCTAAATTTCATATTATTTCGTCAAAAAACAGAAAAGATATTGAGATTTTTGTTTCAGCCAATCAGAGCGAAGCGCACGTGCAAGCGCGTGAGTTCGTGCTAATTTGACAGTGTCATATTATCTACACTATTAATATATCTTTATATAATGAGTTTCAAATCATTTAATTAAAATATGTAAAAGTTAGAGCGATATTAAGTATATCGGTCATTTCACTCATTTCACGCGCACGCACGTGCATGCGTATGCGCGCAAAATGACCTTCGTTCCGCACACCTACACTACACACCTATTAACCCTAAAAAGGTTTTAGCTTAGTTGGGTGAACAGTTTCTGAGAACACTCGCGGACAAAAAAGTACCGGAGAACAAAGAAGAAAAAAAAGAATAATAATAATAATAACTAGGGCTAATTGTAACGGGAACCGTTACAGATGTTCCCCAAACGCTCCCCAACTTCCTTTTGGTGCCTTATTCCCTGAAAGCTTCATTAAATAAGACAAACGCTATACATTTAAGACTTAAAAAAAGTTTTACCAGAAGTATTCAATTTCAGCATTGCACGCATGCGCATTTGAATGCATGTGCGTAATGACCATATCATCTTGTCTACACTATTGATATATTCTAATATACTAAATATTACAGCATTTAATTCCAAAAATATCTTTAATCTAGTGTATTTAGAATTTTGCACATTTCACGTGCACGCACGTGCATGCCTGCGCATGTTGACCATTCCCTGTTGTAGGAGTCTATAATATCTATCTTTGTTCTGAATCCAATCCTGTTTGGTTGAAAACCCAGGGAGTTATAGTCATTTAAAGTTTCAGCCAATCAGATTGCAGCGCACGTGCATGCGCGTGATTTGATGAAAAGTAATATATATGACATTGTAGGATATCCTAAAGCATGCCTATGTTTTAAATTTCAAAGCATTTCGTCAAAAAACAAAAAAGATATTGAGATTTTTGTTTCAGCCAATGAGACCGAAGCGCACGTTCATGCACGTGCAAGCATGTTCATGATGACCATACCTTCTTCTAGGAGTCCATTATGTTTGTCTATGTTCTAAATCCCATGCTGTTTGGTTGAAAAACAAGGGAGTTATAGCCATTTAAAGTTTAAGCCAATCAGATTGCAGCGCACGTGCATGCGCGTGATTTGATGAAAATTCTTATATACCATATTGTAGGATATTCTAAAGCATGCCTAATTTTTGAATTTCAAAGCATTTCGTCAAAAAACAGTGAAGATATTGAGATTTTTGTTTCAGCCAATCAGAGCAAAGCGCACGTGCATGCGCGTGAGTTCGTGCTAATTTGACAGTGTAACCTTATCTACACTATTAATATATCTTTATATAATGAGTTTCAAATCATTTCAGTAAAAAATGTAAAAGTTATAGCTATATTAAATATATCAGTCATTTCACTCATATCACGCGCACGCACGTGCATGCGTATGCGCGCAAAATGACCTTCGTTCCGCACACCTACACTACACACCTATTAACCCTAAACAGGTTTTAGCTCAGTTGGGTGAACAGTTTCTGAGAACACTCGCGGACAAAAAAGTCCGGAGAAGAAATAAGAAGAAAAAAGAATAATAACAATAATAATAAGAAACAGAGTAAAAACAATATGTTCCCAAACTTCGTTTGGGGAACATAATAAGAAACCGAGTAAAAACAATATGTTCCCAAACTCCGTTTGGGGAACATAATAAGAAACAGAGTAAAAACAATATGTTCCCCAACTTCGTTTGGGGAACATAAAAAGATCGTTGATCTTTGTTTTATATTATGCAAATATGCAGTCAATTCTAACAGGCGGAAAGTTTGTAAACTACATAAGACTTCAGAGATTCATTTCCAAAATGATGAAGACAGAGTCAGAGTGAAAAACGGTAATGTCACCTGTAAAGTTTGGTGTTAAATTTGAGTTAATCTCATTAAAGAAGTACTGCTACATAATATCATTTCTTTTTTTTAAAGATACATCTTATTTTTTTCTCTCGAATGAATAGTAAATGGGTTTGCCATACCACAGAGTCGGTGGATTCATTACAGAATCAACAAAATCTTTTTCCCCACCTTTGTCTGTATATAAGCCTATAAACAAGCAACATATTTCCAGATGCATATGTAATTACATCCATGTAGAATTTGAATTAGTTCAATTCATATAAAATTTCAAAATATTATACATGTAATTCATCTAAATTATATATCTAGCCCATTTGTCAACATCAAGCCCAAGCACAACTTCAACCACAACAACGAGCCCACAACCAAAAACAACCCAGACAACCACCACAAAGAGCCCACAACCAACAACAACCCAGACAACTACCACAAAGAGCCCACAACCAACAACAACCCAGACAACCACCACAAAGAGCCCACAACAAACAACAACCCAGACAACCACCACAAAGAACCCACAACCAACAACAACCCAGACAACCATCACAACGAGCCCACAACCAACAACAACCCAGACAACCTCCACAACGAGCCCACAACCAACAACAACCCAGACAACCACCACAAATAGCCCACAACCAACAACAACCCAGAAAACCTCCACAACGAGCCCACGACCAACAACAACCCAGACAACCTCCACAGAGAGCCCACAACCAACAACAACCCAGAAAACCTCCACAAAGATCCCACGACCAACAACAACCCAGACAACCTCCACAGAGAGCCCACAACCAACAACAACCCAGACAACCACCACAAAAACCCCACAACCAATAACAACCCAGAAAACCTCCACAACGAGCCCACAACCAACAACAACCCAGACAACCACCACAAAGAGCCCACAACCAACAACAACCCAGACCTCCACAACGAGCCCACAACCAACAACAACCCAGACAACCACCACAAAGAGCCCACAACCAACAACAACCCAGACAACCACCTCAACAAGGAAAACAAGTACAACCAGTCCTCCCCCGGAAATATCAAAAGTAACCACATCCCCAGCACTGTGCAATCTGGACAAACTGATGTCCAAGTTTAAGTCCAACCTTAACGTTGTCCTTGAAGGAACATCGAAAAAGCAAAATTTTCAAGTAGGAGACAAGCTGAATTTTAAATGTGCCAAAGATACCCGGTTTATGAATGGTTCTTTGGAGCAAGAGTGTGGATCTGGCGGATCCTGGGAAAAGGAAATACCTTACTGTCAAAGTAAGTAATGAAATCGTCGCTGGCTGGAAATTAGCTGCTGATCTGTAGCTCTCCGAAAAAACATATATTGATCATAGGCGCTCCCCATGTAATTCTGTAAATGACGTATGATAAGTATATATAGGTCTACCCCTCTATACTATAAAATATCCGGATATTTTATAGTATAGAGAGGTAGACCTATATATACTTATCATACGTCATTTACAGAATTACATGGGGAGCGCCTATGATATTGATAGATCGGAGAGCTACAGTGCCACCCGTTGTAAAATCTTTTTATTTATTGCGCACAAAAAGTGTGCTCGGTTCTCGATTTATTTCTCCATGTTTTTAAAATTGTAATCTCAAACTATTACTAACCGTGTGTTCCTGACATATTTTTTGACTCTTTCCACAACAAAACATTCATCATAATTGTTGTTAATAGTCCTCCTGGCCCTGATTTTGTAATCATCGAACATTTCGCTTACACATACTGCCATTTTGGTGTCAAAGATAATTCGGTCCAATATGCTTCGTTCAGATGTCAACTACGAGAATACTTGATAAAAAAGAGAGATTTCTTTTTAAATCTTCCATATTATGCAACTGAGGTAAGAATTTGGAAGAATTAATCAAGAACCGAGCGCACTTTTTTGTGCGCAATAATAATACAGTTTTTTTTCAATGAGTGGCTCTGTAGCTCTCCGGTCTATCAATATATATATTTTTTCTTTTCGGAGAGCTACAGATCTGCAGCTAGCTGGAAATCAGGGGGTCTATACAGAATTCACTTGTATACCAGTCTGACTTTTCGATGTTAGAATAACACAAATTGAAAGACAGTTCCTATCAAAACATAATCCACTTGTTAATATTTCCGCATATGACAACCCGAGTCAAATTCGAACACTCTTCACTGACTTGGAGGTCGAAGTAAAAGAAATGCTTGTTTTCACACTTTCTTCTTTAACCAAGTTATCCATTTTTTTAAATGGAGATTTTCTTTGACAAATGTGCTTATAGCCCTCCCCCCCCCCCCCCCCCCCCCCCCCCCCCCGCTTTCGAGATAAAGAAGGGGACATTTAATCTAATTCGTCTGTTTGTCTGTCAGTTTGTAGATTTGTCCGCTTGTCACAAAAACTTTAACTTTGGTTATACCTTTTGAATGAAAAAAGATAAGACTTTCATATTACATGTGTATTACCTGTGACAAGACCTTTCTAAATACACTATGATTTTTGACCCCGTGATCTTGACCTTGAAGTTTGACCTATTTTTTTAAAAAAGCTTTAATCGTGGTCATAACTTTGGAATAAGAAGATTTAGGGCTTTCATCTTTCAAATGTATATTACCTGTGACAAGACCTTTCTAAATGCACTATAATTTTTGAGCCCGTTACCTTTGACCTTAACGTTTGACCTAATTTCAAAAATGTTAATTTTCCCGTGTAACTTTTTATGGAGAAGATGGGGCTTTCATATTTGACATGTGTATTACCTGTGACAAGATATTCCCGAGCATGCTATTATTTCTGGACCCTCGACCTTCATGTTTGACCTAATTTTAAAATTATCAACTTTAATAATATTTTTGTATGAATGACATATGATAAGGCGTTTATATTTTACACAACATGCCATAAATAATGACATCTCACCCACAACGACAACCGAAAGTGGGGGACCACAATTCTTTGACTTCTTTTTTTTTGGGGAGGGGGGAGGGTGTTTTGTTTTTTGGCAACACGATGCGATTTCCCTTCAGTATAATCTCTTATGAATCTCTTAATGTTATCAAAGAATGTTCTTAAATATCGCCCGCCGCAAAAACTTTTCTGAACTTTAACGTATGTACATATTTGGTCAAAATTTGTTAAACTTCCAAAACTTTTCTTATTTTTTCACAGGATGCAAATGTCCATGTACACGTATGAAAAACCAGGTAATTATCAGGACACAAAAAGAACTTCAGGACAAAATTTCTGCCATACAAAAGAAACTTGTGCTGGAAAAAAAGAATCTGGCCAGCCAGAAGAACGCCAAGATTTCTGTTGCGGATCCTCGTCCGTCGGCAAAAGCAGTAGGATCTATTGTCGGTGTGGGAATTATTATGTTCACGTTCGCGATCATTGTTCTCTCAGACCTGCCTGTATTGTACAGACATATTCGATTTGGTCCACGCAAGAAAATTAAGAGAAGCGCCAAATCACATTCCAAAAGTCAAGGAAAAAAGAAGAAAAATACTTGATTTTCCATGGAAATAAAAACAGTGAATTTGTAATCTATCTACTATAGTATATTCAATAAATAATTTGACTTTATAAAATGACATGATATAACTGGTTTGGATAGTAAGAGCAGAGTATAATGATCATTCTCTTTTCGGGAATTAATTATATAGTAGCCATGAAAACGACAACACTCAAAACTCGATTTCAAAAAGAGGAACAGGGAGGGGGAGAATTTAAAAAAATTAAAAATAGTAGAGAAAGGACAAACTACATGAAATTCAGAAAATTTGTGTCCCCCGCTTAGGGAAATAAACATGTTTACTGAAGCGGATAAAATATGCCAATATGGATATAAAGATTTGATTGCTTATTCTTTATTATGTGTATAGAAGATTCTTTTTATATGGAATATTTATCACACTGTAGTGATGATTTTATGAGTTTGTACAAGTCAGACCTCATAAATTTTTCATTTCACATGCTGAATACTATCATTTAGTAAAAAAAAAGTATTTTGGGAAAAAAAGAAAATGGATCGTCCCGGATTCGAACCCAGTTCCTCTCACATGTAATGCGAGAGACATACCACTTTACCACGTAAATGCTTTAAACTGACGAAAGTTATATGTAAAGATGAAGTCACATACATGCGTATATTCACGTTCGATATTGTCAAAATTTTACACAATGCATGGTGTCTTATTTAACCTTTATTAAACAGTTCTAACAGATGTAATAAGAATATAAAGTCCGCCGATAAGCTGTTTTATACGTAATACATATACGCCAAATTCACAAAAATGAGATAAACCTAGTTTCACATTTGATAAACTAGGTTTATCGACTGTAAACTATAGTTTACAAACCGTAAACTATAGTTAACGATTCGTTAAGTAAGTTTTCATCTGTAAAACTATATTTAACGGTTGTTAACTGTAGTTAACGAATGATAATCTAAGTTTATCTGTCTGTAATAAGCGTTAGCAATAGATTTTGTTGAAAAACATAGATTCACGTTTGTAAACCATAGTTTACAATCGTAAACTATAGTTAAGAGTTGTTAATCATAGTTTCACAAATCGTGAAACTATATTTATCAGATCGTTAACTATAGTTAACGGTTTGTAAACTATAGTTTACAAATCGTGAAACTGTATTTATCAGATAATCTATGTTTTGCAATCGCAAATGATTGTTTCCAGTGTTAAGTATAGTTTACGGTTGTGAAACATAGATTATCGCGTTAACTATGGTTTACGGTTGTAAAATATAGATTAACGTTGTTAACTATAGTTTACAGTCCGTAAACTATAGTTTACAACCGATAAACCTAGTTTATCGACTGTGAAACTATGTTTAGCTCATTTTTGTGAATTTGGCGTGCCATACATGTAACTCTCCTCATACCATTGTGCTAAAAATAGCGTAATTGTAGTACAATAAATACTAATAAAACAAACGGATAGGGACACTTTAAGAGGGGTGAGAGAGGTCCTAGCGAGGTTTGGTATAAAATTACATTGCAAAAGCTCAAAATCTTCTTGAAATATCGCCCGGAAAGGAAAGTGTTACACACAGAGAGAATGTATAAATTTACGACCTTGAACTTTGACCTTTTCACCTCGAAATCAATAGGGGTCTTACTTAGGCCACAGGGAGTTGTTATGGAAAATTTCATTGCAAAAGCTCAAATGGTTCTCGAGAAAAATGTAAAATGAAAAGGCAAGTTACTTTACATTAAAATTTCATTTAAAATGTTTTTTTTATTTTAAAATCTCACAATTTTATTTTTCAAATGAATGTGAATGATCATATAACCTGTAAAATAAATGTATACAGTGTATATAAAATTTTATGAATTATATGTAACAATGGCAGTCTACACCCACATCAAACAATCCCAAAGAAAGTTCCTCGAATTTAATCTTCACCTGATCACATTCAAAGGCAATATTTCTGACTTTTCGCCATTATTACTTACAGCTCTATAATTGCATGCAAGATATGGTTTAAACAAACATGCAAGTTTTACAAACAGGATCGAGGAAAATCTCATAAAAAATATTAAGAAATCAGAAATTATGAAAAGTTTCAATCATCAATCATTCAGAGAATTTTTGACATACTAGAGATACAAAGTGCTCGCAATAAGTCACAGCTGCATAATTTTGGACAAGCCAGCTGTAGACAACCAATCAAAAATTACATCTCTCACACAAAATGACAACCTGTTTGTATGGGTCAAAGAAATGGAAGGAATTTTGCAGATGCTTAGAAACACTTTTAAAAAACAAAGTTCAATGATGTTGAACTCTGGGGTAGTGATCGAATTAAGATGTGTGGAGTATTTTCCCCCGAAAACTTCTATTCAACAATAAAGTAATGAAATTTATGCAACATGTTACCTTTCAGTCACAGAAAGTCTTCCAAAATTTCTTACAGCTGTAATGGCGACAACTTTCACCAGGAATGTAGTCCTACAAATAGTTTGCTTTTTTCTTAATAATCTGCATTCATTTGATGGACAAATTTATTTCTTTTTTTTGACAAAATCAACAAAACTAAATTGATTTTTCAACATACCTCATAGCAGGAAAAGTTCATAAGAAAGTCCTCACACTTGAAAAAGCCCAAAATTCTCTATGTGGAAATAAATTTGAAATTCAGTTGTAATTCCAATATTTTATGCAGAAAACTTTCGAGACATACTAGTGTATAATATTAGAATATTATTCAGCTTATTCCAATTTTGTAAATTCAAACCCTTCCGTATTTTGTAATACATGTATAGG